TTTGTTCCTCCCCATCACACAGACACGTGCAAACCGGTCCTACCGCCCAGCCTTTAGCAGACATTAGACACCCCCTTCTCTTCCTAGAGTTCAGACACATCCCCGTTGGCCAGTCCGGCTCCTTTTGTGCTGAACAGTCTTCATTTGACAGCTATGTCAGCGACCCATCTGCTGCTTATGTTCTCTTATGTCTACTTATGCTGCCTACTTCCTTTGGTGGGATGCATTGATAGCTGTTTCTCCCATCTTCCAAGCAGCAAAACTCTCAACAAGGAAAACTTGATGAGCCAGAGGTAACAGGTGACTCAAAAGAATCCTCCTGTGAGCTCCATTAGTGTGGGAGATGACTCAAGCACTTGACTAGAATGATAGGACAGGGAGAGATGCAGCAGGTGGCATGGTGACAATCCCCTAGTTCCACTGTGTCTTCAAAGTCGGTCTGTATCAAAACTGCTTACAGGGACAAAGGGGGAAGAAGACACCACTCTGCTTCTGATATCTGAATTCAGACTTGCCTTTGTAGACGGAATCAAGACCTAAGGGAATTGCCAAGAGATTTGGACGCTCCTCCTCCACGTGCACTTAGTCCTATTTACGACGACAGAACTGCAAGCAGATGCAATTGCTCATGTAGAATAAAGTGATAAAAGGACACTGTGTTAGTCTGTTTTGTGTTGTTATAAAGAAAATACCTGAGGCTGGGTAGTTTATAAAGAAAAGTGGTTTATTTGGCTCACAGTTCTGCAGGCTGTACGGGAAGCACAGCGCCAGCATCTGCTTCTGGTGAGGGTTTTAGGGAGCTTGCAATCAAGGTGGAAGGCAAAGGGGAAGCAGGCGTGTCACATGGTGAGAGTGGGAGCAAGAGAGGGAGGAGGTACTGCCAGGCCCCTTTAAACAACCAGCGCTCTCGTGTGAACTAAAACAGCAAGAACTCGCTCATTACAGCTGGGAGGGCACCAAGCCATTCATGAGGGATCTGCCCTCATGACCCAAACACCTCCCACCAGGCCCCACATCCAAAACCAGGCATTGAATTTCAACATGAGATTTGGAAGGTCCAAACAGGTAAACCGTATCAGACACTCACCAGATGTTAACAGTGGTTATCCTGGGATTACCTGGAAATCTCATTTTCTTCTCGGTGTTTTTCTCAAAATTTCCGTAATGAATGCAAATTCGTCTTATAATTCCCCCAAAAGAACATCACTGTATTGAAAAAGGTAAACTGGCTGGTTGAAATAAATTCCTGATGTATGTACCCTATCAAAAGGGTCACTTGGAGGGGCCGTGCCGTGAAGTATCTGAAAGCACATTCTGGAACCAAGGTACCTGTGTTCAAACCTCACTTCTGCCACTTACTAGCTGTTGTGACCTTGGGTGAATTTCTTAACCTTTCTGTGCTTCAGTTTCCTTATGTATGAGAATAATAATAACTGTTAGGGCTATTGTTGTGAGGATTAAATGAGTTAATGTATAAGAAGCTCTCAGAATAGTATCTGACATGTAGCAATTACATATTTGCTGTCACTACTTACTGCTACAGTACTGCCATCGCTCAAAATATTTTTGGATCACCTTTTGAGAGCATTGTCTTCAGTCTTAAATGTATTCCCTTGACTCACCTCAATATGGATAAAATTTCCTCCTTTGAAGGAGCTAATTCTAGTGAGCAGTCAAGTTGTTTGGGGTCCAAAATAAGGTGTATTTAGGAAGCCAAGAGTGTGATGTTCTTGTGTTGTTCATCTACTGTCTATGAAGAATTCCACAAAACACAGGTACACAAACACTCCCCAGACAGTTCTGTACCATCTAGGACTTGATCAATCCCTGGATAATTAATACATTCTGCCTTTGCTAGAGAAAGGTTGAAAAGTAAGTTTTAATTATGAAACTTCTTTGTTTGATCGATCTTGAAGGCGTTAGAGATTGGTGTACAACCAAAGGGCAAATTTCATAAAAGGCTGATTTACATTTAAATCTGAGTCTTTTTTCTTCCTCAAAGTTTGCTGATGCTGAGTTTTAAGTATGAAATGTCATTGTTTTCATACAAATATTCGCAAACATTGCCAATTGTCATTTTGGCATTAAAGAGGGTTGCCAACATTATAATTGTTAACATTAGCATTTTTAAAAGCCTAACATCATTGTTCTGTAAATTGTTGGAGACTCAAATTACCCTACACATAATCTTTTTAAAAAATTAATGGGGCACTAGCATCAAAGCCAGTTGGGGTTGGTTGAAAAGAATAGCAGCCACCTCCTTTTGCTGGGACCCTGATGGTCTCATGCTAACCCAATTATCGCCCTAACAGAACATGTTGCAATGACTTGCCTCACTGTGTATGTGTGTGTATGTGTGTGTGTGTGTGTGTGTGTGTGTATGTATATAGAAAGGTGAGTAAAATGTGTGCTAAATATTCTTTTCCCAAAATGCAAAGGAGTTTGATAAAATCTATCTGGATTGTTGCGAAGCAAAAGAATCCTCAGTGTTCCTAATTATTGAACTCTTTGCAAAAACATTTTCTGGTAAAAAAAAAAAAAAATCAGCCTGAGCAAGAGTGAGACTCCATCTCTACTAAAAATAGAAAAATTAGCCAGGCGTGGTGGTGCGCCTGTAGTCCCAGCTACTTTGAAGGCTGAGGCAGCAGGATCGCTTGAGCCTAGGAGTTGGAGGTTGCCGTGAGCTAGGCTGACCCCACGGCACGCTAGCCTGGGTAACAGAGCAAGACTCTGTCTAAAAAAAAAAAATAATAATAAAAATAAATGAATAAATAAAGGCTTCATTGTTCTCCCATCAGTTGGGAATATTGCGTTCCACATAAATGACTTTGCAAAAAAATCCAAGTATACTTTATGTCTCCAAACATTGTTTTTAATCTTTCTAGTGAGAATGCTTTAAAAATGTATTACCTGTATCCTTGGAATCCCTAGACAGACAGTATCATTATTACAGACCTCTAATATTACACCGACAGGGCAGAACAGCATGCCAATTCAGAGCAGCAGTTTAAGGATGCAATAAATCTAGATTATTTCGACTCTGCCATTTATGTGGGACCTTGGAGAAGTTACTCAGCCTTTCTTTAGACTTTCTTTTTTTAAAAAAAAAAAGATGAATACCCAAACCATAGGATCACTTCTAGAATTTTTTTTAAAAAATTTATATAGAGTTTGGCGCAGTGACTAGCAAAGAATAGGGGCTCAATAGAAGGAACTATAATTATTCTAATCTGAGAGGCTCCTTGATTGCAGGACTCTGGCCCTATGCTAAATGGCCCCGACGAGTTGCATTTTTGGGGTTCCTTTGCCTCTAACATAGATTTTCTAGCAGTTGAACTCTAAGGTTCTTCTATCCTTTCAGGGTATTTGCTTTTAGCTGCTTCAACCCATTTTTAATTTGCTGTGGGCTAGGGAGACAGAAAATCAGAGCTGACAGGTGCAGTCAGAATTTGGGAGCTACACTGAGGTATCTCCTAGGACTCAAGAAAGTTCCTCCCATAGAAACTTTAAAATCAACACAAAATAGTCAAAATAATCTGACAGATACAAGAGTTCTCAAACAGGAAGATTCTATTGTAACCCAGTCTGACTGCATTAATATTAGCTCCAGAATGTTTTAGTGACGGGGAGGAGTTTGTTCAACAACACAGGAAAAAAAATGAGTCCGAGTAGCCAATATGGGCAGCACTCAAGCCCAGGCCAGGGGAACCGTGGCGAATGGATTTCAAATATTAGACCCCACTGGCAAGACCTTCTTAAATAGAAATGGATACAGGGAGATATAACCTGAAGGTTTCAATACTTTGTTCATAGGGAGTACATTATTCCCGCTGTGGAGTGTCAAACATTCATTCATTATTTATTGGGCAACCACTACCCTAGCCCAGACCCCTCCTACTTTTTTCATTCTACACCCCTGCTGACCAAGCAACCTTCTAGTTGCGACTGGCTCCCTGGGTAGATCTCCCCACTGGTGGAGAATGCACGGGTGGTGCTGATGCTGTGACAGGACTCTTTCCCAGGGTGAATTATGAATTAATAAATGGGCATGATGTTGCATATCAGTCTCCTGAGCTTGGCTAAGGTGTGTTTGGCCACGAGAGATGAATTCACCATTGTATACTCACAAAAATTATCTGAGCCTGAAAACCTAAGGGCTTAGCCACGACCAGGTAGATTCATCCAGGTGGCCGCTCTCCCCTGGGGATTCTGCTTGGTGCAGTGTGTTGGAATGGCATGTTCTGACACTGAATGGTGACATGAGGCAGCATGGCGCAGTGATTTGGAACAGGATCTGGGGTCAGAAATACCTGGGATTAAAAGCTGGTTTTGCTATTTACTCTCGGGGTGTCCCCAAAGTAAATGGCTTAACCCCTCTGTGCCTCTTTTCCTCATCCGTGAAACTGGATGATAATACTTCACGGCTTTGCTTTGGCTCAATATCTAAACAAAAGCCGCATATCAGATCTGTTAAAATTTTAAAAATCTGCTGCCCCCTCAATCCCCCAGTTCCACACCCTGCAATCCTGACTTACGGTCCATTTGCCGTTCACCCGCCCAGGTGAGACACTCTTCAAAGACTTGTCTACAGAAACTTCCTGAAAGTTCTCTTAGACACACAGCTCATCTATGCTGCTGTGGTTTCTTCTCTTAGATTTGAAAATTGCCTTCTAGCAAATTGTCTCTTAGCAAATGTAGTTACATCTTTAACGGAGCCATTTTAGTCATCACCCCTACGGAATAATTCTATTTACTTCGAAACAGCCACCACGTCTCCCCGTTCCTCGGCCACCACAAAGACAGCGTGTTCTTCAAGGATCCACCATCTGAGACCAGCTTGTTAATAACAAAATTATTCCAGGTCTTGGTGTTCTCTCATCTATGAAATAAACACTCTTTTAAAACAGACCAGTCAAATGGTGTTTGGAGACCGCGTTAGCCATCTTTATTGCACTCAAAAGAACAACTCAAGACACACGTAGAGAGTGGATTTTCGAACATTTTCTTGACCCAGTTAAATTTTATTCAGTGAAAAAAGTTGACATTGAGACAAAAATCATCTTAAAATTATGCAACAATATAGTAAAATCTTCAGCAGAAATCAGTGACTTGGAAACTTATCCAGGCAATTGAAATTATAAATACCTAATTTCACTTTGGAGAGAAACAAGTATACAGTGTTTCACTTTAAATAAGAGCAAAATAGGCCTTTATTTTGCTGCAAATACTTTTCATTTTTGCCTAAAGTTTCTAATAATTCATAACAAGAGTCTTTAAATGAGAAGTGACATGGAATATCTGAGGATAATGTTCCACTTCAGCATTCGTGATTATTCCATTTGAGCTATTACATATGAAACTAATACCATTCTTGGGTTATTACTTGGCTCTGATGATTTAATTCATAATATGGCTGCTCAAAATTAGTGGGCAGAAACGTATGTGTAATCTATCCTCCCTCAACCCATGTTCGGTGGTGGTATCCCTTCTGAAAACAAATCTATTGTCCGGGTACCCAACAGTACATATCTCTTGCGATCTATTCCATATCTCACTCTTGCATAGAAAGTAGTCTATATAAACTTAATGCACTGGCTTTTATTACACAAAAATTGTACCTGAAAGGCAGCACACACTCCAGTTAAGAAAAGTAACATCGTTAAGAATGTCAACATACAGTCCCAACACAAGATTCTGCACAGAGCTTTAGAGTCAATTGCTAAAATCAACATGGGAGTGGTTTTCAGTTTGCTTCTATCTATGGATCCCTTCTCTTTGGGTTTCCCCCAACTGTCTGCTGAAGGAAGAGAATTCTCAGGGATTCACCATGATCCCCTTAGTGGGAAAGGGACTAACCAAATCTGACAGCACAGGGTTTCTCCCCCTAAGGAAGTACTGGAAAAATAATCTTACCAGCTGGAGTGACCACTGGGTAGGTATCTGAAGGCAAGATCCCTCAAGCAGAAGCAGGTGCTTATCTATATGGGGCTCACCATACTATTGCTCTCCCAATTCCGCTGAAAATGGCCACGGCTTTCAAAAGGGTCACATTCCCTAAATAGTTGCGTATAGCTTAATAGTTGAGTATAGTGGCCGCACGTGATGGGCAGGAGAGAGCATGTAGCTGTGTGTCCCCCCTCCGTCCCACCCAAACATCCCTAGTGATACTACCAGCGACAGAACCCCAAGAACCGCTTTTCCAAAAGTCAGTTTTCACCAGTTACCCAGAATCATAACTATTTACCCAGCTTGCCAGGGTGGCCAGTAGTTACTGGAGCTTCTCACCTGTCTGGAAACATAGACATGGCCTCTCCCTGGAATCCTCTGTAAAACCCCACTCTCTGTCACTATATCTACATGGACCCATGTCTCATAAAGCTCAATACATCCAAGGGCAAAATGAGCTTCCAGAGAAAACTCACACAATCTCCCTGCCCACCAAGTTTTGGTGGCCCATCGTGGTCCACGTGGATGCAGGCATCTGGCATTCTAATGTACTCTGGGAGAGAAGACCTTCTCCCTGCACAGTGTAAACTTTCAAAGTGACATCTCCATCAAGGTATAAAAGCCCCTTCTTCACAAGCAACCAAGGGCTCCAACTGGTCACAGTGAAGATAGTTATCTGGTCACCTTCAAAGGCTGCATGAAATATTTGTTTTCATTTCCTCTTGTCACTCCAACCTCTGGACTCTTGCAGACAGCATATATACATCAAAATCCCCACAAAGCTATGCAGAGAGAAATCGGAGTGCGTGCTTCAAAAGTTCATAAAAATATACAATTTACACATAGCTGCAACTATCTAGCTTAGTCTTCAGGAACTTAGCTCTTCTGTTTATATAAAATACTCTAGCCCTATAAGGCTGCTTTTTTCTCAAACAGCACAGTGGCATTTTCCAAGGAGAGGGGTGATGGCCAGTCTATACAGTACTGTGTTCTAAGCTTTGGGAGGCACTGGTAACTAGAAGTGGATGCTCGAAATATCTCAAGCTGCCAACTGGAGACATATGCTCTGTAAAAAGGCTTGCCTATGGAATAATTGAAAATAACATCTCAGAGCCTTTTAGATCATAGCTTTTACAAATGCCACCAAGAAGTTGGCAGAAAAAGAAAAGAAGAAAATACACTTCCTAGTGGTTCAATTAAATGACTTGCCTCCCACCAGATTGTTAATCTTTCAGCTACTTAAAGAGCTTATTAAAGGAGAGGTGGTGGGGCTTGGAGGTTTGAGCAAAACTCCAGGATAAGAAAAGATAAAGCCAAAGAAATTCCAGTCTTTAAAAAAAAGGAGAATGATGGGAAAGAGAAAATATGCTGGAAGAAGGCTCATCATTACCACCACTTGTTAAAATGAAGTAGAGCCCTACCTATATGGCACGCTAAATGTCTGCAGTTTAAAATATTCCTCGCCTAAGAAACATATAAATAAACATTTTAAAAACTAAAACATTTAATTAGCTCTTTGTTTTCCAAACAATCCCCAGGTAGAATGAAACTATATTATCACCCAAGAATGATACCGAACACTTGTGAGAAGGTGATACATTGCATCTAAGGTGGCATAGAGTTTTACAAAGCTTGCATATAAAGGACACATGTTTAGAGGCATGACTTTGGAATATTCCCAGAGCTCACTGCTTCTTGGGGGGAGGAAATTATGCAGTGAGGTTCATACAGTACAAGTCGCAACAATGCTGGACATGGGGCCTACAACACTACGTCTACAGGGTGGGCATCAGTCCAGATGGAGTCTGCATCACCAGCAAGTGGCCGTGATGGGAATACAGGGGTGGCATTTTAAAAGCAGAAGAAAAAAAGCACAGTTTGTTTTACAGAGAGAATAAATGAACAAACCCTAGTGTTTGCGGCTATTGTTAATTGGATAGCGTGGTCTCAAACTTTAAGATCTCTTCTACCTCTGTGAGAGCGTAGAGCACTTTCTTGTTAGATTGGGTAGGGGCACAGGCGAGGGAGCTGGAAGAAAAGAAAAACAGAGAGAAGGCACTGACCCAATTCAAAATGACTGCACATATGGGTATGGACTTTTAAGGACAAGAAGTGGCCACCTCAACCCAAATACAAAATTTAACATTCGAGATTCTTCAGTGGTAAGCAAAAACAAAAAATGGAAAATGGAAAAATTGCATGCTATATTTGCCAGTGTATCGATCATGGCACAGATCTAGAACTCTCTCCCATAACCAGGGTGATTTTTTGCAATGACAATGAAACCAGTGTATAACAAAGCAGTGTTATCATTCTGTAGCTTTTGACGCTACATCTTCTGCGGCGGCAGAGGCGTATACAGTGAAATTCCATCAATTATTAAGAGCGGAAGCTGGTGACTTGCAGGGCTCCCCAAGCTGTGGCTCCGTTTTACTGAAATCCAGAATGACCCCGTGCTCTCTCCTGTCAAAGACCACTTCATGACACACAAGTGAATAAAAACGGATTACTTCTGGGAGGCAACAAAAATGCTTCTGTTCCTCACCCCTAACCCTAGGGGTGAGGGGCTCATAACACACGTGGTGTCTGATGACACTGAAGTCTGGCCTTATACAGAGTCCCAATAAATTAACAAAATAACATAAAAGAACCTTCCCCCAAAATACACCCAAACACGTTCATATAAACCAAATCCAAACAAAATTTAAAACTTTAGCGTACTTTCAAGGAGAAGGGATTCCACCCATCACTCTCTCTTGAGGTTTTTATTAAATACATTTCTGTGTCTTAGAAAAATAAAAAGAATGGCCAATTTACTGAACCAAAATTATCTCACAGACTTAAAAGCATGCCCAGCAAGCACAGCCCTGTAAGACTACATTAATGTCAAATCAAAGCAATTTGGTTACTAAAATCAACCTGGTTTGAAGTTCACAGTTGATTACTACAAAGTTTATTCATTCCTTTCTTTCCTTTTTTTTTTTTTTTCTTTTCATTTTTGTTTTTGGCCCATATAAAAATAACATATTGCAACTCAAAGTGCATCTTTTAAAATAAACCATCAACTATCTTTATCAAATAAAATATTTACACCATTTGGTTTCTAGTGAGGAAAGCTCTTTCAGGCTATCACCATGGGGACGTCGTCTGAAAATCCAGTTATCATAGGAGCATCTTCATCATCCTCCCCTAAAGACAAAACAATCAGGCCTTGGTGAGTTCCAGCACACTTTTACCTGACCCCACGTCCCACCACTCTGCCCACCCTCTCCAACCCTATGGCAACCCCACAACTGGGAAAGTCAATACCACAGTCAGCCAGGTACAATCATCAGTTCTTTACCCTCTGCCACCTCTGGTCACCTTCTCCCCATCAATGGATGCCCAAGCCTATTTTAATGGTAGTTTGAACTTAGCCAAATAAGGAAAGTAAAGCTTTTAGAAAAAAAGAATCTCATTACCTACCCAAAAGCTCAATAGGTGATTTGGCTTCTGCAATTTGAATTATCTACACCCTACATTAGCACAATGAACGTCATTGTCTGCTTTCTCTTCTGAACCAAACTGCTTGAGGAAAAGGATCTTGGAGGGGTTTAAGTATTTTGAGGACAGCTTTCCAGACTAACGTCTGTCCCCCTGTGACCCCTGAAACAATCCTATGCAACTGAGTCCCAATTCGCATTCAGGGATTACTGCATGGCACCATGACAGGTGACTTCTTTGGTCCCAAGAGCGGAAGCAAAGAAGTGACCCCATTCAAGCAAGGCAGTCCAAGTACTTGCTTATTAAACAAGAAAGGAAACTGGGAAGGAAAGGCAGCAGAACTAATATCATATAATCAGTGGATGGGAATACATACATGTCTCTATAAACACAGAAAAATAATTATAACTAGTTTACAGAAAAAATAAACTCACATTCAGCAGTCTGAGTTTGGGGAAGCCTTTTAACACACCCACTTTATTACATGGTCTATTAGCTCTATCAGTGTTTAGGAATTACTGCCTGTAAAGACTTCAAAAAGGGAAATTTTCTTCTTTTTCCCTTGCTATGTGCTACCAACACATAAAAGAATGGCGGGTGAGGTTACACCAGCGACTGCAAAGAGAAACAGTAAGAGGAGGCCGGGCATGGTGGCTCACGCCTGTAATCCTAGCACTCTGGGAGGCCAAGGCGGGAGGATCACTTTAGGTCAGGAGTTCGAGACTAGCTTCAGCAAGGGTGACATCCTGTTTCTACTAAAAATAGAAAGAAATTAGCTGGGCAACTCAAATAGAAAAAATCAGCTGGGCATGATGGTGAAGCCTGTAATCCTAGCACTCTGGGAGGCCAAGGCAGGCAGATCGTTTGAGCTCAGGAGTTCGAGACCAACCTGAACAAGAGCGAGACCCCGTCTCTACTAAAAAAACAGAAAAGAAATTAGCTGGACAACTAAAAATATATAGAAAAAATTAGCGGGGAATGGTGGCACATGCCTGTAGTCCCAGCTACTCGGGAGACTGAGGCAGGAGGATCACTTGAGCCCAGGAGTTTGAGGTTGCTGTGAGCTAGGCTGATGCCACGGCACTCTAGCCCGGGCAACAGAGTGAGACTCTGTCTCAAAAAAAAAAAAAAAAAGAGAGAGAGAGAAACAGTAAGAGGGAAAGGGCCTCTTTCAATAGAAGCTGATTGGGAGGCATCACTTTTTGGCCTGACTAGGATCCCCAGAGATGTCAGACCTGCAGGTCTGTGAAGGGCAACAGAGAGGTTGGGCATTTCTGAGAATTTCCCCACACATCAGGAGTCTCCGAAGCCCAGGGCCTATCTACCATTCCTGTGCAAGGCAAGTTCCTACCGTTTCTTCCACAAAGCCGCTCCCTGCTTCAGGCCAAAACCGTACTATTGAGAACATGGAATTTTAATTTAAAATTTAAATTTTTAACTTAAAAGTTAAAAGCTAGGGCCCCTGACTAGTTTTAATCTGAAGCAGTGGAATCACTGCTTGAGGAATAACTCCCTAGTGTCAAAAGATGAGCCGAAGGTAGGTGTTTCCTAATCAAGCCCTTGGCTTGGTTGGGGGATTGTGGGGGATCTGTCCTGGGAAGAAACCAACTTCCTCTGCCCCACTTACCCAGGTCATCCCCCGAGGAGAAGATCGCTGAGCCCAGCCTGGAGCTGTAGTGGCTGTTGGCAAAGGCAGTGAAGCTGCTCTGCAGCCTCCGATGCTTTGTGTACAGGATGGCAAACCCGACCCCCAGGCTGAGCAGTATCAGGAACAAGATGGGGACCACCACGGCAGCAACATCCGTAGATCTGGCAGCCTGAATCGCGGATGCATCTCCACCTGCCAAGGCAAAATTCGCACTGATAAGCCTACCTGAGGGCAGGAGAACGGACCAGGCAATCTCTCAAGGCTCCACCGACCAAAACAGCTAGGAGTTGGCAACAGCTACTCAAACTGCCTGTCTGGTGTGACGCGTTCCTCCTGCACGTGCGTGATGCCTGATTGTTTCCCAGCTACTTGCCATGAGCTGATAGACCAAGGGCCTTGTGCATGCAAATACGGTAATTACATTAGACTCCTAATCACTGCCTTGTTGGTTATTTAGATAATCTCTTGGAAGGGAGACCTTTGTTGGGGTATCAACATTGATTTCATTAGCATTATTACTTAAGACCACTTGCTCCCCTTACATAAGAGGATGTGAAATCAGACCACTAATTAACGAGATTGCAATTATTTCCCCCTACTTGGCACCAAAGTCACTCTGAACTGCAATTACCTGAAGCTCCATTAAGTGATACAAACGAGATTCCCTTACTACAATACCGACTTAACAGCTCATGAAGTTTTATGAGGTTTTTTACTTAAGTAAAAAAGAGAGAGAAAGAAACACATTTCTGTATACATTTAACATTTTTTAAAGCTCTTTGCAAAGCTATTTAGGTGTTTATAACCTAAAAACAATGCCCCCCTCCCATTGTCTTAAACGAACACTGGCTTTGTGATGATTTACTAGTAGATTTGTCCCACTAGGGCTCTAGGGCCAAGCCATCCCCCACCTCTCACCCTGCTGGGGTAGGGGCCAGTCAGTCTCTTTGAAAGGAGTACGCTTTTCATGTCGAAAACTCTGGGAAAAGTCTGAACTTGAAGCAGGAAAATTAAACTTCGGAATCGGATGTTAGCAAAGGAAGCAGAGTGGACTCTCCTGGTCCAGGTGTCCGTGAGGAGCCTTAACAGGCTGGGGGCTGCTCCCCAGCACAGGGAGTGGCACGGGCAAGGCCTCTGCCTCACGCGGAAAGCTCTGCAGCTGCCCGGGGTCTCATCCGGACAGGGATTCATAAAGATGGGAGAGAAAGTAGCCTTGTCTTACAAGCCTAATCTAACCACTCAATATTCATGTCTGTATTTAAGTTTCTTACATTTTCTCCTTGCCAAAAAAAACTCCAGCAAAATCTTAATTTAATGTGTCCCAACCCATCCCAACCATACAGTGGTAAATCAAGGCAATGCCCTCGGCTGGAGGGTAGCACAGGGAAGGCAGCAGGAATAAGTGAGCTCCCACCCTGGCCCCACTCCCAAGGGGAAGGGCAACACCAAGGGGCAAGACACAGGCCGAGAGGCCCAACAAGACAGTCCTTCTGCCCAAAACCCTGGGTTCGTAAAGGTGGCTGGTAGGGGTCCTCACAATAGGTTGTCCCACGGTATATTTCACAGGTTGCTAACTGGTTTTGCCTAAAAATGAGGCTCTATTTAGGAAACACTAGATCAACAGGAATTTTGCTGTTTGATTTTTGGTAGGACCTTCCCCAAACCTCTAACATATTAATACTGTGACTCCCCAAAGGGAGGTGGTGGGCAATGTTTCTCTCTTTCAGCAGGGTGCCAAGGATAAGCACTGCACGAGATCACACCCTGGGAAGCATTATGTGACGGAACGTTTAGCAGCTCTAACACAGGATTCTGGCTTGAGCACTGGTTAGTTCTTGGCTGGGAGTAAATGGAACTAAAAAGACCAGTGGCAAAACATTTGTTGAAATCCTGGCCAAGCGACTACAATATAAGCAGACTTTCTATATGAACAGAAAGGTCCTCTTCCCTACCACTAGCACGGCTCCAACACCAACATCTCTGAATGTCCCCAAGACAGAGACTCCAGGCCCAATGCTGGTCCTGTGGCGACAGCTAAGAAATGGGGAGGGCTACAACATCAGCGACTGCGTGATGGGGAGATCATCTACTGACTCGGAGGATCACAGGTTAGAGGCTCTGAGAAGTCCCATAAAACACAAACAACAAAACTCGTGTTAACCTAGAACCTCCTTTTTAAACAAAACCTTGCCTTGATTGTACTTTATGTTCAGAATATGGTCACCCTGTAATCCCAGCTCCTGGTATCATACCTGGTTCAGGAAGCATTTGTTAAATAAATCAGTACCTTATTAAATTGATACATAAATGATTTTCTTTTGAGCTGAATATTTTAAATGTCTTTGAAAGACACCTGGTCATCACACCATACTATACTCTTGCGATTTTCCCAGAACTAGACAAAAACTGGCAGCGACGGTGACTCACCAGACCCCAGCTCATCGTACAGCAGGACGGCAGGCTCCCCGCAGATCTGGCTGCCAAAAAGGCATCTTGCTTGGACAGTGAAAGTATAATTATGACCCATCTTCAGGTTGGAAATCTTAAAGAAATTGTCAGTAGTATTCCCAAGGTAAGCTGTGATATTCATGGCACTATCAAACATGTGTATTTCATAGCCCTGAAAACAAACGCAAGAGATTGCTCAGCAAGATGAATAAGGAACCTGACAGCCACTATTACTGCTTCCAATTTTATGTGAGCTCCTTATTGCAGCTTTTATAGATGCTAAAGCACTTTGGGTTTCTCACTAGCTCTTTTTACATTATTACCACAGAGATACTGAATTCAGAAAATGGAAATTTTCCCATCCCCAATGTCTCAAATAACTATCACACCCACTTGTGAGCTGCATCATGGAAATGAAAACTGTGGCCCTAAGGAAAGCCACTTTAAGAAATTCCCACCCAAAGTTCTGGTCAACAGATCACTCGTCTCAGGCAATATTAAATGCCACAAAGAATATGGATAATTCGGCAACAGTTTGCTCCAATGGGATTTGGCTAATAATAAATCCAGATCACAGGGGACTCCAGCAGTGGACTAAGAAAGGGGAACCTGCAATTACAAAGACAGGACCTTTCTCCTTAGAACAATACGTAGGACTGTCATGGCCGGCTCACCTCCTGCCTGTCTACTTTCTAGCTCTGCCTACGCTGATCTCAGCCCCTTAACAACCTGGTCTTGAAATATGCACTTCGGCAGGCTCAGCCCCTGTTCACGGGAGGGGAGGATGAAATAATCCTCCCAGCTAGACTGTCTCAGGAGAGTCCTGGACTCCTGTGCTGGGAAAAGTCACACTTGGGACAGCCCCAACCCAGGATGCTGGTTGAGATGAGGGTTGACAACCTGACTTCTCTGCTAATCCCCAAGTATTCCAGTGTCAAAGCCACCAACACTCCCCACCGCCCCCCCAAAAGACTCCATCCCTTATGTCTAGCCATGTATGGGGCCCCCTTGCATAACCATGGTCTCTGGTCTCTATTCCACTGACCTGCCTATTCTCTGCACCCCAAGTCAGGGGGAGGGAAGAAGGACATGCTATGTCTATGCCAGAACCTTCCACTCAGAATGGAATACTGACCTGTAACCCCAACCTAAAAGCTGGGCTTTTGCCACCCAGGAAGGACCCCCTAATGGCAACTGGCTGCCAAACTGGGCTTCCCAATACCTGCCTAGAATACCGTCTCAGCATTTTTTTTTATAAACTAGCAGTCATTATTTTCTACCTAATATATATTTGGTGTAGAACATTAGTAAAATACATAAAGGTATAAAGAAAATAAATTACACAAACATCAAGCACTCATAACTGATTTAACTAGTCCTCATCTATTGGGCACTCAGGTTGTTTCCTCTTTCTTGCTATCGTAAATATTGTACGTGAAGTCTTTGTGCACAGTGTCTTCTTAGTGTAAAATCCTAGAAGAATTACTGGATCAAAGGGTATGAATGCTTTTAATGTTTTTGACACCTATTACCCACGAGCCTTACAGAAGGTGAAACCAATTTATACTCCCAGACTGCTTATTTCCCCAACTATTATCCAAACTGGTAATACTCTTCCCCCCAAACCCTGCTGATTTAATGTGAAAGTGCCGTATCTTTGTTGTTTAGGTCACTAGTGAAGTCGGAACTTTTGCTTACTTACTGTGGCTGGAATTTTTTCCTCTGTTATCTGAACCTTTTTCCAAATTAGAATATCTCTGTTGTGAATTGATTTGAAAGCTTTCTTTAGATTTAAGGATATTATATGTCATCATTGTGAGATTTGTGAGAGTTCTTAGAGTGAATGGTAAGAATTTTCAAATTTTAATTGAGGTTTGCCGCTGGCCTTACAGAGTGACTACTTAGAGTCCTTGGCTTTTCGCCTACACTGAACCTCCAGGTGGCCACAGTGGTTCACTGCGCTGCTATTTAGCTAATGCTCTGCTGTCGATGGGGTCAACCCAGCTCCACTCGAGAATATGCCCACCCTTGGTTGGCAAATCTACTCCCATGTCTCGCTCTCCTTCCCCCATCTCCAGCTGTGAATGCAGCATGGGTCTGCCAATGGCAAAACAAAACTATGATGTTCTTCATAAGTCAACAGAGTATCTTCAAGTGCTTCCTGCTCCCTCTCACTTCTCTGCAAAGAGAGTGATGGGGTGTGCAGGTGGGGTGTGCCGCTCAGATTCTGGTTCTGAAGTCACCGCCCGGCCCTCGGAGGTGGTGGGAAAGGTGGGGGGCCCTCAGAGGGTGCGGGAAAGGTAGAGCTCCGGGGTTACCTTGTGAGCCCCAGGCCAGCTGCAGGAAGCACAGCAAGGGCTCCAGCCCACTTCCCTTTCCTCAGGGAAGACAAGTTCAGGATTAAAAACTGCTTAGTGCAGAGATTCTCCTCTTTAATGGGCAGTATAAACATTTCACTAATTAGCAATCCCACAGAAAATAGGCCTTTAATTCTCAAGTTCACTTCTACGCCCTATTCTTTTTTACTTTTTACACTGTATATGCCAGCGTGCTGTTAACGAGCTCATCTCTAAAACAGCATTTCAATTAAATTTCCAAAGTCATTGAGAATGAGGGAGGAACTTACCCTGCTTTCATTGAAATGCTTTTCCTTTAAAGCTAGACTTTTCCAAAACAGAAGAACGTGATCATTTTCTGTTATGATTTTTAAGGCATCAGGTGCTGATAACGAAACTGAAAATTAAGGATGAGATGGAATGCAGTTAGTGGAACGCAGAAAACATTTGAACCTCTGTTTTCTTGTTCGTCAGAGATTAAATAATGCTAGCCCTGCCGGGCTGGGTTAAGGAAGAAATAAAACACATATACTGCTTAGCAGAGCCTAGCACATGGTAGATACTCTTTAATTGGCATCTCTTTTGTTGTTGTTATAACATCTTTAGCCAAGAAATCTGGACCGTAGCTAATTTAATAGCCCTTGGACCCAAGGGTGAACAAAAATAAATGGGGTGGGGTAGGGGTGGTGGGGAAGGAACGAAATGGGATAAGGAGTTCTGTCTGAACAAAGGGCACTGCAGTGACAATGGGGTATGGCCCAGGCCCACGGCTTACACTGCCAGCCTAGGTGGGGCTGAGCCTTCGTTACCCAAACTCCCAACACTGTCTGCTGCTATCCAAGTAACTGAGCTCATTACCTGTTCTGAACTTGAGCCTGACTGCCCTTTAATCTACTGCCCAGTTACCGGTCTCCTTTTCAACATGTCAGATTGCTACAACGAACTGCTGAGAACCTTCCATCCAGGTTTGCAGATGCAATGCTTGGCCTTAGTGGTAAATACTCAGTTTTATTTCCTAACTCTCTTGGGAATTACCCCCCTTCTCCTCTGGTAACGTCAAAATCAGCTAAGGGAGAAGAGAGTAAAAAGGACTTAGAGAATATAGAAAATGAGAGCGGGTCCCAGGCCGCCATACTGCAGCCCAGACAGCGGCGCCCTGCATTGGTCTGCCCCTGGAGGGATCCTGCAGGGCAGCGCCTGCACTTCCTGGGCAGTTCCTACAGAAAGCACGTGCCTGGAGGTCTGCCAGCACTGTGGGCACTTGGCCGTGTGAGAGGCCTCCGACCTCTCTCCTGCTTACCTGTGGTGATTTTTATGCTGGAATCTTTGCTCATGTTCCCCAGCTGGACAATGACATGGTATTTCCCTCCAGGTTCCAACTTGTTAAGGGTGTATTCCACTGTACTGTTGCAGGATTTTACTTTGTAGCTCCTGTCGGTCTTTCTTATTAGGTCTTTAACTGCAATGGCATATAACTAGGACCAAAAAAAGAACATCTGAATGGTAATCAGAAACTGGACATTGTTTACTTCTTCCAGTTCAATGGTGGACAACGTAAGTATATCAATGGCTGTGACCCACAACAACGATACTTTGAGCCCCAAAGCCTGACTCTGTTCTTTGTAAAGCCTTTGGGGTGACCAGCTCCAGCCTTACAGCAAGTATTCACTCACAGAATTGCACACAGAATTACCAATTATATCCCCCCCCCAAAAAAGAAAAAGCAAAAAAGAAAAGCCCTAGGGAAGGCCACAGTTATCGTGGCATCAGCAGGTAGGTTGGAACAAGCAACATCCAGATTCAGAACTCAATGTTTGCATCTCCACCACGGCCACAGTGGATGTTGCCAGTGGAGAGAGAATGAACAAAAAGCGTTCAATCCTAGCTCTAAGGACACAAAACTCTGCTTACTTTCTCCCACATTGCTTCTTATGTAATTGGAGAAGGGGGGGACATAAAGGGACATGTAGTAAGTACAGGAGACTCGATCATCAGGAAGAAGTTTAAAACCAGCCACCCCTGCATGGAGGGGAGCGGAGGGGGCAGAGGTAAAGGCACCCGGAGCACAGGAAAATGGGAGATCTAGGATCAATGCCCCTTCTATTAGAGCAGCCGTCCCCAAACTTTTTATAAGGGTCCAAACAGTAAATATTAGGTTTTGAGGGCCAGATGGTCTCCACCACAACTATTTGACTCTGCTGTTCATAGCATGAAAGTAGTCAAAGATAATATATAAACAAATGGGTGTGGCTTGGTTTCAAATAAAACTTTATTAAAAAAAAAAAAAAACCCACAGGGGATAGGCTTGAGTTGGCCTGCAGGCCTTTGTTTGCTGACACCTGTTTTAGAAGGTCAGGGAAGGAGATGTGAGCAGCAGAGAAGGAGGGAAAGGCAAACCAATGTGGCAGCTGGGAATAGTGGAGATGTGCCAGCTAAGAAGAGGTACCTATAAGGACCCTGTCTTTGGCCAGACAGAAATGGGGGGAAGACGGCCTGCTGAGTGTCCAGCACTAGGCCTGTGTTTCTTGCGGCATCATGGGACCTCCTTCCACCCACCTCACCCAAACCATGCTGAGAATAAACAAGGTGGCTGGGATGCCTCGCCCACGCACCAGGTCCTGGTCAGGAGAATCGTACGGCGACTCCCACTTGATGACAGCTGAGGTTTTGCCTATGTGAACCGGATGCAAGTGCCGGGGTGGGAGCCTGTTGTCTGGGATCATCTTCACGACGACGTAGTCAGAGGACGGCCCCTGGTAGGGCACCACCACCCGGACCTAGGGCCAAAGCACATGTGGAGGAATAAAATACCACGTGGGCTTATGCAATCTTTACTACTATTTACTCAACAAAATAGTGACACCATTAAAATTCAGTGAGTGCAAAAGCTATAAAATATAAAATAATTCCCCACCTACCCCAGATCATTTTCCAAGAGGTACCACTGGTAACAGTTTTTTGGGCTTCCTTCCAGAAATGCCCTATGCACATATAAGCACAGATGTGTGTGTGTGTGTGTGAATACACGCATATATGCATGTGTGTATGCATGTATGCATATGTGTAGCCAATTTTTCTGAAATATTTTTTATACAACTGAGAAAAAAGTACACATTATTATGCTCTTAGCCTCTTTCACTTAATATAACCTAGAGATTTTTCCATATCTGTACATTTAGAGTTGTTATATACTATTTCTTTTGGATGGCTGTCCTGTATTCCATGGCACAGGTAATCGATAATATTTTTAACCAGTCCTCTCTTGATAGACATTTGTTTCAAATCCTTTGTTATCACAAGTAATAATGTACCAAACTTCTTTTTCCATATATCTGATTGCACATGAAAATGTATGTAGGCTAAATTCCTAAAAGTGGAATCTGACAAAAGCTTTTTTTTTTATTTCAACATATTACAGGGGTACAAATGTTTAGGTTACGTATATTGCCCTCGCCCCACCCGAGTCAGAGCTTCAAGCATGTCCATCCCCCAGACAGTGTGCACCGCACCCATTAGGTGTGTATATACCCGTCCCCGTCTCCCCTCCATCTGCCCAACACCCGATGAATGTTATTACTACATGTCTGACAAAAGCTTTTGATTGATCTAACCCATGACCCATTTGCCAAATTATTGATCCTCCATCATGGAGCTGCAGTTGGTTAAATGGCTGTTCATTCTGCATCTCTAGTAAGAGCCCAATGATGCTTACAAAGAAGAGGAAATTTCCTCGCGTCATACACGTCGATCCTGGAACCCACATGTCCCAGCTCCCTGGGTCCTGGGTTGAGTTCAGGAGCCCAGACTTAAGGGATCCCTTAAAATATACAACTCCTCTTGACCTCTGGTATGGGACACTTACCAGAAACAAATACTGCTCATCCCTGCTGACAATGACTGTTTTGTTGTGGAGTGAAGTAGTCAAGCTCTTTGGGTTGCGGTACAGGTCAAGAAAGGATGTGGCGTAGAAAATACCATAAACCTGGTGAGAGCAGAGAAGGAGAGGGACATCAGCTCATGGGCAAATGTCCTCGCTTTCTTTAAATCTATAATGTAAGACCCTGGAACTGTGTCAGCAGAGCTCAGAGAGAAGCCTTCATTCAACATTTACTACATTTACAGGGAGGGCACTTGGGCCAGGCCCTGTATGTCCGACTGTAAAGATAAATACGATGTGGTCTCCACCCTCAATGAGCTCATTCTTGAGGAGACAGGAAGAGAAGAGAAACAGACATAATTATAAATAACAGGCTGCGAACATGGAGCATAGAAGCTACACTAGAAGACTGCATGGTGAGCCCAAGAACAGAGGGGATTACCAAAGACAGGGTGGCATTCTACCATCACAGCATGGATGGGGGGCCACCAAGAGGACATGCTGAGTGGGCTGGGGTGCCATGGGAGCTTGGAGAGTGAGCGTGAGAATTTTGGGAAGCATGAGGAGGGAGAGGAGGATGGCAAACACTGCTAGCTGCCCAGCGGATACCCACTCTCCCTTTCTTACTTGGTAGAATCCTGGTTCTTAGGGAGAATTGCTACCTGGAAAAACGTCTACACTTCCCACCTGCCTGCAAGCTATGATAGCCCACATGACAAGCCTCCAGCCCCCAAGACGGAGGCAGAAGTGTCACGTGGAAAGCCCTCAGAGGGCTCATTACAATGGAGGAACAAGCCCTTCTTCCTGCCCTCCTGATGCCTGGAATAGAGATCATGGCTATGGCCCCAGGAGGCCTCTTGGACCACAAGGTGACCTTGAAGATGAACATCACAGGCGATGGCAGGATCAAACTGTGCTGCTGCGGTAGAAGCCCTGGACTGCTAAATTCCAAAATTCATTGAATTGAGAGGGAAATAAACTATTTCAAGCCACTGTTACTTTCGGTTCCTCAGTTATATGCAGCCATTCTTAATCCTAACCGGGTACACATTGGAAACTGAAGGAGTTTCAAGCAGGGAAATGGGAAATTGATGAAGCTTACAACGTGCAGTTTGTAACAGAGGGTAGGAGCTGATGGAGCTTTCTTTGTAAAGGAGAATCAAGAAGTATTTTCTCCCAGAGCATGTGAGCAGGGAAGACGTGAGCAGGAAGAGAACTGTATGAGCTTGGAGGAGCCTAGGGAAAGCGGCGGGGGTATGCAAAGGGATTTCCAAGTCCCAGACAACAGTGTGATTTTCTCTAACACTGCTCAGTGGCTGAAAAGAGACCAGAGAGGGGAAAGCATGCACAGGGCAAGAGGAAGGGAGGCCCTGAAGCAGGCAGTCTCTTGGGAAGAGGTCGGCAAAAGCAGAGTTAAGGAACTCAGAAGGGTGAGAAAGCAAATGCACATAGAACAGCAGTGGGGCACTAGGGAGCTACAAGCATGACACAGGACGATGAGGCCAGGTTGGGGGTCCAGAGCTCAGGGACCAGACCATCTCGCCGAGGACAAGGCCCATGGCTGCCAGGGGCAGGGTGGCTATGGACAGTGACAATGGCAGTTCTCGCGGCAGAGAGGAAAACCATGAGAGAGCTGCTAGAGTCCTCAGGAACTAAAGAGGAGCAGAAGGTGAGAGCTTCCACCTTGGTGATCTCACTTGGTCCCTCATCCCTAAAGCTATGATGAGTGTGACCACTGCTTGAACCAGGATGAGGCTCAAGACAAGTCAAACTCTCCAAGTTTATACTTAACCAAAGACCCTAAAATCAAGGGATGTGCCAGTGTTCTGTGCATTGTGCCCTACTCTAGGAACAGTTGGATTGACTTGCTGGTTGTGCCCTGAGTCAGGTATATACAGAGAGAGAAAGGTCCCTTTGTGAGTAGAGTCATCTTCGAGGTAAAAGGGAGTCCTGGGGATGGCTCCCTGGCCCTGCCTCAGCAGCAGGTGCTGGGGCACGCGAAAGAGCAGCGGCTGCCAAGTCAGCCAGCCCTGAGCGCAAACTCAGTCTACCGCTTACTAGAGCTTCAACTCTGGCAAGTGATCTAGCCTTGCTGAATCTTAGTTTCCTCACTGGTAAAATGGGAATATTTACCTCAGAGTTACAGTCCCTAATCCCCAGGCTGCACCCCAGTACAGGTTCGTGGCCTGTTAGGAACTAGGCCACGGATCACCACCTGAGCTCTGCCTTCTTCTTCCCCCATCCCTCAGGGTCCATGGAAAAATTGTCTTCCATGTAACCAGTCCCCGCTGCCAAAAAGGTTGAGGACCACTGTCCCATAGAAGCAATGAAAGGATCAAGTGGAAGAACGTGTTTAAAGGGTTTTGTACCGTTCCTGGCACACACAGTGGGTGCTAGGTAAATCTTACTTCTCCTTCCTTTTTCACTGCTGATCTTACAGATTGTAAACCTTGCTTGCTTCCCCACGAATTGGTTCTCGTTTCTCTACTCATCACTGGGGATTTACTAGGATCTGATTATAGATTTAATTCTATAAGCATTTCCATTTGGAAAACCCAGAAAATAATCCTTCCCTTCAAGGAATTTACAAACTAGTTTGAGAGAGAATGTAACAGACAGAAATGATCAAATAGGGTAAAGTGTGCCTAATGAAACATTATGCTGCATGGCACCAACTATAAACATCTGTAGGGCTGATAAGGGAAAAAGATCCAATGGAAGGGAGTAGGATTTGCTTGCACGGCAGAAGGAGGGAAGGCCTGCAAGGAGGAGGAAGAGCATAAGCCAAAGGCTCAGAGGCAAGAGGCGGAGGAACGTGCCAAGAGCCTTGAGAAGGCCGACCTAGCAGCAAAGGAAAGTGCACGCTGGGGACAGGTGGGGAGTAAACACCAGCCTCAAAAAGAAGCAAGAACAAATCTAATCACAGTGAATCACAGCGCATATGTAAAAACAAAAGAAAAAGGAGGACCCAAATACCTAAATACAAGCATAGCAGGGAAAACAGAATACTTGGGAGGACTGGTCCAGAAGGCCACCTGTGGGTGGGAGATCATGTAAGATGGGAAGGGGCTGGAGGAGCCAGGCCAGGTACTTAGATCAATCCTCCTTGTCATCGCTGCTGACTTCTCACCAAGTCCGTGATGACGCCAAGGTGAGTCCCCAGGCATAGGAATACTCCACCCTTTACAAGTGTGAGGTCTACTCAATGACAAACAGCATGGGTGGAGGGGCGCTACCTGTCAGATGCCAAGCCAGGTATGGACAGGGCTGGCATGGCAGGTGCCTACAGAAGGTAATCCAGAACTGACCAAGAAGGTAGCTTATGCTGGGGTGGAAAGGCAGCGGCAGCAACAGAAGTAAAAGCCCCAGGGCTATCTGGTGGCCTAGCATCAGGGAGAGTCTGTACTCACTTCGCGATGGTCATTCTGGTCAACTCACCACATTCCGGGGGCCGGTCCAGGTACATTCCACTGCAGTCTGATTGATGGCCTTGGCTTTGAGGCTAGGAGCAGGTGGGCGAACCCCTCTGGTCAGGACATGCTCAAATGCCAGAGGACTATCCCCAAAGTCCGTCTTGGCCCAGGCGGAAATCTCATAGGATGTGTGAGCTGTCAGATTGCCAACTGTGCAAACAGGACAAGGAGATGCCAGGAGGAGGTTGGGGGTGTTAGTGAAGAATTTGTCTTGATACACATACCATTTTTTTTAAAAAAAAACTAATATCTCTAAATTTAAGTTAGTCCCACATGTCATAAGACTTTCATTCGTTTACAAATTCATTCACCGTTTCTGCACTGATGACTACTACATGTGACACACCACATGGGCACTGGGTAATTTCTTTAAAGCTGACCATCCAAGGATATAAATTGGTACAACACCCTTGGACAGCTATTTGGCTCTACAATAAGGGCCCTGAAACTCATATCCTTCAATCCAGTTATCCATGAAATCAGAAAGAGACGCAAAAATGTGTGTAATAAGACAAATTCTTGTCACAGTGTTACGGCAGGAAAAAAGTAAACATAATCTGATTGTCCGGTGTCAGGACAAAAACTAAATAATGTACATTCCATGAACTGCTATGTAGGCACTTAAAGTTGTTTCAAAGAATATTTAATGACTCTGGAAGATTCTCACAATTTTGTGTTAAGTGAAAAGGGCAGTATAAAAACTATATATAGTATTATTCTAATTTTAGAAAAAAGATATAGTGATCAATGCATGGAAAAATATCAGGAGATATCTAAAATATGAGAGTGAAATTATAGGAAATTTTAATTTTCACTGTACTTTTTTGTTTTCTGTAAGTTTTTTGAAATATGATAAATACGTACCACTTTCTAATTAGGGGAAATGTTGTTAAAACTGAAAAAGAAGGGAAGAAGCGGGGAGGGGTAAGCTAAGAGGATAACCTTCGGGAGCAGCAGGACTGGGTTCGAGGCCTGATTCTACACTCTGTGGCTGTATATCCTCGGGTAAAGTATTTAAACTCTCTAAGTCTATTTCCTTGTTTGTAAAATGGAGAAAAATAACAGCACTTAGAGCAGCTGGCTGTTGCAGGGATTAAAAAAGAAAATGCGTATAAAGTGCTTGGCATGGTGCCTAACCTTGCACTAGCCCTGACAGATTACAGACAACAGCTAATAAGACTTCTGTTCCTGACTCTGCCGATTTCTATTGGTGCAATGTTGAGCCCATGAGATCATAGGCTTTGGATTTAGAAAGACGTGGGTTCCCATTTGGCTCTGCCACCCTCTGAGAGAATTACTTATTCTCTGAATCTCAGTTTCGCCTCCGTAAAATCAGCATACTTCACAGAATTATTATTGGGGTTATGGAAAACCACACACATACAATGCATGGGGAAATGCTTGTACACAGTAGGTGCTCAATGTTATTTTGACTCTTGCACAACCTCCTTGGGCAAATTACTTAGCCTAGTACGCCTTTGGTTAAAAAAAATAATAATAATGGAACACTTTGTAGTTTCTACTTCATAAGGCTGGAACGAGGATCGAATAAAAAGATGATTGGAAATACTTTGCAATCAGGCTAGAAGGAGAAAGGAAGATGCTCCTATGTTGCTCTCTGCACTCACAGGCAGCTTTTGTCATCGAAGGTCTTGTCTTAGAAATAAATGAACGTCATCCTTTAGCCCATTTTCAGACATATGGATTTTAGTTGAGGCTCACTATCTGCACAGATGTAAGAGGGACTGGACCAGTTCCTTCCTTAGTTTGTTGGTCCATTCACTCAGTCAACAAATATTTACTAACACCAATTGCTCACCAGGCCTTGTGCCACCTCTCATTAGCAATGGAGGAATGAACTGGACTAGAAAAGAGAGACAGGTAACTAAATCTAGAACTTCTCCTTTTGGAACTCAAAAATCAGAGCTCATCTGGCCTCTTTCCCGTTTTTCCTTCTTTATGGCCTCCAGCTTCCATGAAAGGCCATCAGATTAGAAGGGGGTTTGAGGAGCCGCTGGGTGACTCCTTCTACCTAGAGTCAGGAGCACACTGACAGTATTCTCTTCATGTAGAACGGCCTCCAGGGAAGATGCCCTCAAGCTCTACTGCTGGGAGAGTGTCCGTCTAGCCCCACTCCCTCCTGCCCACACATCACCCAGCTCCAAGGTGTTACCTTTGTGTGACAATATGCTCCCTCGGAAGCTCAAAGTTCTCTTCTCCTGTTTGTGTGTGTCAAACGCCCAGTAAATGTTCACCACGTAGCCACTCACCTGCCACGAACCAAGAAACATGTCAGACGAACTGCTAACACTGTCACAGGGCACACCAAATACAAAAGGCAGGATTAAAAATACACCTCTTTTCTGTTGTTTCCTTAGGTATCTTATACTCACAATGGGCTGGTTGCTTCTTTTGATTTTTAAACAAGTTCCATTTGTGCTACCATTAAATAATGCTTAGTTATACTCTGCTTCTAAAAACAAATGTGGGACTATTTATAATACAAAATATAGATTCAATGAATCAAAAAATTTAATGCAGAATAAAAGAATAGGAACCAATCAATAAAGGTGGAAAGAGGAAAAACTGCAAAGATATCAGGCTGTGGGAATTAAGGATAAATCTTAGCTCAGGGTTTCCTTACAGTCAAGACCAAGAGGTCAATCAATACAGATTGGTTACCTCTCATTGTCTATCAGGAGTAAATACATCCATGTGTCGGAAAGACTACCTTTTCCAAGTCCTGAACTCACAGAAGGATTTGATCTAAATATCTTTAAATATGGGACAACAACAAAATTAGGATTTTTTAAGACCCAAGACTGCAGACGAGGACCACATAAGGCCATCTCTTACATCAACCCACTCTGAAGCCAAGGGCATGACTTTAAGTTACAGGTGAGTAAACAGCACAAGGACTATTGAAGGCTGTTTATCCCACCACAACTTCATGGATGGGGAGGAATGCGAGGCAGAACAAATAGATAAGAAGGAACACTACGGAACGTGGATCTCGACGTGAGAAACCACACGGACAGAGATAACGATGGTGAAGTTGGCTATGTGGATGGGCCAGGCAGAGAGGATGGCAGTGCTGGAAGAGGAGGATGTTGCGGGGATATAAGGGGATACAAGGTGGATATGTTTCCTAGGTATCCGGCTCCCTCACAAGAAGGTTGCTCTTCCACTGCGGGAACCTCAGCACTAGCGCTTAGCACCAGGAAATCCAATAAAGCTGAAAATTACAGGGCATATATATTCTGTTAACACCAACTCTATTTGCACCGTAGCTGTGAACCATTTAATTATATGGTTAAAGAAAAAAAAGGCACCAGGCTGAGGCAGAATAATTATATGTGAAGACTCAAGTTGTTCTTCGTGGGGGGAAGGAACCAACCTAGTTACGGTATTTCAGCTTTACTAGATCATGTCATTCATTTTTCTCAATCTTGCTGTGCTACGTCCTATCAGTTCCCAGACAAAGCAAAGCCCCACCCGACTGCTAGTGTGAAATTTCCACGTTACCTTGATATCACCCTCCGTGGTCAGGGTAAAGCTCAGAGAGTTTTCACCATAGCTGTCAATGTGGATATCTGGCGGTGGGATCACTGAAAACAAAAAGGAATTCAGAAAGAGAAACCACGCGATGAAAAGTGAGGAAGGCAAGACAACAGCTTTCAACTCAACAGACAAAGTGATCTTTCAGCTGGGGAAGAATGGGCATTTCATCGGCAGCTTTTCTCATCTATCTCTTTACCACTGTTTTCCTGAAGCTGAGGTCGGGCCACAGTTGCTGGGTGAACACCCAGCTATCTTGGCTCAGGCTGCTATCCTGGCACTTAGGTCGGGCAGAAAGGTTACATTTTGTAAAAGTCCCCGAGCAGCCCAGCTTCGGCCTGTTTCTCAAAGCTGCAGGGATCACCATGAGTGGCACTAACAAAGTCCCAGTGGTCTCAAGTCGTTTTTGAAAGTTGACAACAGGATCAATCATCCATAATAAATTGTAAATGTACATGTGGCAAGATGGAAAGAACACAGCTTCTGGAATCTGGCAAACTTGAGTTCGAATTCCTGTTCTGACAGCTGTGTAACTCGGGGGAACTTACTTAACTTCCTCCAGCCTAGAGATATTATCTACATCTCACAGAGCTGGGAAAGTTAACTAAAATAATGTACGTACAGTACCTAGCACTCAACTAACGTTCCCTTGTGCTTCCTTTCCAATAAAGTCTCACTCGCGGCAGATTAATGAACCAGGAAGCGACTGGCGTTCTCAAAAAGACCAAGCTCAAGCTGAGAGTTGGGGGGCAGAGAGTGGCCGAGAGAAAAAACCCCTCAGTTCCACTGATGAGCTCCATGCTGGCCATTGTCAAGGTCTTCCCACCAAAAAGCTGACAGTGCTCAGCCTAACATGGCCTAAAAGGGCTCAATGGGATCAATATTATCAGAGGATATTATTTCAACGACAAGTTGTATATTAGACTGCCAGCACATATGCCCCCTATACAGCCAGAGCAAGAGAGACTCACAGGAGTGGATAAGATTTGGTGGCGAAAGAGATGTGTCAAAGTCTAGAGGAGTCTCTCCAGATGACCAACCACGTAATAAAACCGGGCTTGAGGAAAATGCAATAACCAGAAGAAGAAAGGATATTAGAAGCTTCAGTGGCCAGCTCAGAGCAGAAGAGGGCAGGTGCTACGTATGGGAAAGCTGACCTGAATCACCATCATGGCCACCAGAACAGGTCACAATCCTCTCCAAACCCCAGTTTCTTCAGCCACAAAATGAGGATAAAAAATGCTTATCTCTCAGGATTAACGAGAAATCAATTCATGCAAAACAACAGCATAGTGCTTAGCACACAAGAAGTGCTCAGTGAACGGTGGCTTTCTCACTGTCATTATTAATCCACTGCATTCACCGGTCAACCTGGTGCCTCTGGCTGACACCTCTGCTGTTTTTGTCCTTCATCTTCCTATGCTATAAGAATAGCGAGTCACAGATATTTCAAACAAATACTTTTGGAGGCAGCACACAGTTGCCTTCTGTATGTGCTGTAGCCAAAATATACGCAAGAGCTGAGATTCATCAAAATCGCAGCACAGAAAGAAAGCTAAGACAAGCAATTACCCACTGAGATTTTCAACTGCACATATGACCCGTGCCTATGGAATTCAACATACATGTTTTCTGTTGACTTCCCAATGTCCCTTCTTTTTGTTATGTGTGGTACATTTTAACCCAGATTTTGTAGAGAGAAATTATTTAAAAAATAAAAACTCTAGGAGTGTGTGAATTCAGCATCCTTTCCTTTCTTTAATACCTGCAAGCATTCAGCCCCAAGTCTGACTGGTGGCACTAAGTCTGGCTGCCTCGTGTCTTGGTCTTGATGACTTCGGATTTTAGAGGCGACCAGATCGTGACTCTCCCTGACCCAGATCTTATTTCTCACAGGCTCGGGTTAAAGTAAAATCTCCCAATAATATTCCATGCCACAGCATTCATCTGGCTTTAATATCTGCAGGTCCCCACAAGCGAAAGTCCCCAGTGCCAGGACTAAGATCAGGAAAACCACTTAGGAACTGCAGTCCTTAACCCAAAGTGTGACAGGACCCTTCATTTAATTGCTGCAACTCACACACCTATCAACTATTTCTTTAGTTTCTACCGGGTACCAGTGATAGAGTGGAGAAAAACAGACCAGATCTTTGCCCTCGTGCAGCACACATGCAAGATGACAAGCCAGCCACCTCCGGCAAGCAGGGCGGTCCAGTGGGCCGCACGTCTCAGCCCGGAAGGAAGCGTGGAGCACAGTGGTTAAGAATACAGGCTTTGGAGTCAGGCAGATCAGGTTCCAGTCCCAGCTCTGTCCCTTACTCTGGTACAAGAAAAAAACCACCTCCACATAGTTTGTCAGTGACACTGGGAGAAGTAACAAGTAATAGCATGGTGCTTTCCTAAAATACCGTAAATAAACATGCACAAAATCATCTTTAGTGAGAGGGAAGGACCCCTATCTTAGATATCGTACGTGCTCTCAAAGGGATGGGCATCATGGCCTTTGGAAATCCCTTTCTATGTTTGCATTATAAGAAATGCTCAATTCTAGGAGGAGGAATGCACTCAAATCACCCCAAAAAGACTTTGTATCTAAAGCACTGCAGAGACACCCAGAAATGTGGCACGGAGAAGGAAGTTGTGCAAAGTTTTCTAATCTATGCTTCTCCATCTTCCAGTCACATTGAAAGTTATTTCCAAAGGGTTTCTATCTTCTCTAAATCTGCAAATGCTGGAATCATTTACCTTTTCCTTTCATGGTGGTAATGCATTTAGAATCGCTCCAGTTTCCTATTCCACGACTAGTCACCGCAGCCACCTTTTCAAATCAGAGTGTGAATTAGTATGAAATAAAGGCAATACACCATACAGCAAGAACTCTGAATGAGCTAAAGGGGTGAGACTTTGGCAATGAGGGTGGAAAAAGTCCTATACAGAGTGATCCAGAACATTCAGAGGCCCCAGCAATGAAACAAGAGAGGAAAGAGACAAAGGGAAGAAGCCTGGGTAAAGGGTCTCACGATAGTCCTGAGATCATAACGTTTCTGTTGATTGACATATGTCAAGCTTCCTGAAAAGGGCAGGTTGTGTGTGGGGGGGTGTACACATATACACACACATATATAAAGGCTACTGAGGAAATTATCAATGTGAGGGAGTCACTGGAATGTGTGCACTTAATGCTCTCAACAAACGTGTTTTGCACAAAATCTATCTCCTTTCTGCCAAAGATATTAATAATATATTTCATAAGAACCTCACAAAACCAGTTTATAAGTGTGACTTATCATAGCTCTGCCTCACTCTGCAGCTAAAGATAAGCAGAAAAGAGGTGAGTGCAAAAGTATAGACGCTGGAAAGGCAGCAGCAGAACATCTGGGTTAAGAGCAGGTAAAGCTGCATCACCATAAATCTGCAGTTCTCTGAGGGAACTGTGATTTCAAGTTCTTTGTGTCACCAGTTTAAGAGACTGAAAGAAACCATGACCTCCCCATCATGCCCCAGGGCAAGGAGTCGGGTATTTTGCAGACTACTAATATGCATCTCGTAAAGGTAAGCACAGAGTTCTCATGATATGGCAACCATCTCGCTAAGGTCTAAGACTGTGCAGGCAGCTGGAAGGATGTTACCACTCACTCTGACAATGTATAGCGCGTTGTCCAGTAAGTTCGTTATTTCTGTAAAGTTACTAGCGGCTCTCTGGGAGGCCCACATTTTGGATCCACTCCGGCTGTATTCTACCTGAAGCGAGAAAAAAAAATATGAGTGAAAGGTAACTGAAGACCTGGGGCACCCTAATACCTTGCAAGGACGCAGGAGGGGAGGGAAGGGAGTTGTGCATGTAACGTTCTGACAGATGGGTCATACCTACAAAGCGACGCCACACTCAACTCCTGGTCATACAGAATGCCCAGAAATCTCCCAGCCTCCAGGCATAGTCGGCTCCTGGAAGATACTTACAATGTACTCTCGGATGAGGCCGTGGCTGTGGATGGGAGGAGTCCAGTGGCCCACAATCACACCTTCTGCTTCCCTGTGGAGGGACAGCTGGAGATTTCGAGGGGCATCTGGCACTAGAAAAGAGTCAACTTGAGGTTAAAACCCATCTGCATAACGGCCAACTGGGGGGATTTTCCTGAGCTTAAAACAAGAACAAGAAAGAATCCAGGGCTGGCGCTGGGACCTATCCACTAGAAGGGCCATTAGCTTGGTCTTCACATTGACGAGACACCTTTCCTCTTCTTCCAGAAAGCAAGGTGTGCTGTCCACACATCAGATCATGGCTCAGTGAAGTGTGACGTGAATTTGTGGCTCACAAGGGCTGCGGGATGGAATCACTTGGGCAGGTTGAGTCACCACTGACTCTAGGACTTTCATGCTGAGATCTTAATCACCAACGACAGCACCTGCTGTCTCGGCCTCTTGTGCAACAAAATAGAGTACTGCGGGCATGACTACCAAGGAATAAGACCAATTTTCTAACATCACAGAAATTCTATATCCAAACGAATGTGATAACCTTCAAGATAGGCTCCTTAAGGAGTTTAGTTCAAAATACTTCCGGTGATGGAAAAAGATGACAGTCAAGAAGACAGTCGCCCATGTCAACTACTTTGAAGGCAGGGAGGAGGCAGGAGTCTCTCGGACACATGAATTTGGTAAATTTCTTTAAAAGTTAGCCACAAAACTGCTGACAAGCCTCATATTTTAATGATGATGACCCCATAAATACTAAGTACTGGGAAATACCTAGAGAAGGAACACAGGGGTAGAAACTAGATAAGAAATGCAGAAGAGGGCGATGGTGGCGAGGATCTGAAATTCACTTCTTAAGATGCCAGAACATTCTCTGACACAATAAGGAGAATCAATGTTCAACAACTCTGGCAAGACCACAAAACCTGGCCACGATACTTCTGCACATGTGAGACACACGTATGTTCCCACACTCCCGAGCAAGCTTGGGAAAACCCTCTCAAAATGCCACATAAGGTCTTGTGCATGCTATAAAAATAAACCATAACACGTACATCCTTCTGGAGTCCTCAGGGTCACAAAGTCATTGGTGTTGTGTGCCTTGCTCAGACATTGAACTTGTACTTTAACTTGATACGTGGTGTCTGGTTTCAGGACTTTTAATACAGTGTTTGTTTTATTGCTGTGGGTCTCCAGAGTCTTCCATATGCTCTCTCCAACCACCCTGTCCAAAAGAATAAGGATATTGTCATATTGAAGCAGCACAGGGCTGAAATATATGACTCAGTTAATATAGAGTCACACCATGCACACCACAGTGAGTCTACAGAACATCCAGTGGCAACAAAAACACCATTTCCTTCTATGGCAAAAATGGGAGGCACCTGTAGTAGACATTATATACACAGGAAGCAGAAGGCATCTTTTTGGGCCTCGTCCAGGTCAAAGTCACATCCCCAGAGAAGTCAGCTGTCCACTGAAGATTCTGTACTTTGTACACAGTTAACTCATCTACAGAAATAAAGGGGAAAAAGTCAAAGGAAGTTGTATCTTACAAATCCTTGGATTTCAAAGAACCCAAAAGGTCCTCTGCTTTTAAACAGAACTACTATGATCTAGATTGTGAGAAGGCTACGATTATCTGAAAAGACATCCCAGAAAATGTAGTTGAAACTTCCCTATCCAAGCTTTCCAAGGGTCTCCTACATTTCCAGTCGTGATATTTTTTCCTTTCATTTCACCCCCTTCCTGCCTATGGCAATGGAACCCTGTTTTCTCAATAGAGAATGCTACAAGTCCAAAGACGATGTCACAGCTGGATCCATTACTAAACACACTCCAGAGAGGGCTGAGTTAACCCCTCCAGCAGCTGCGGCTCTCTGAAAGCCCAGGTGTATCGGCCTGAGGTGGGAAGTCCAGCAGAAACAAATCTAAGACCAGCTCAGCAACGGGGAGCAGGCAGCTGGGAGTAGGCAGCTGGGAGTCACATCTGGCCAAGCCCCACCTCATGTACAGCTCCAAAATTGGGCACAAATCCGTTTCATCTGCAGATTGAGGAAAAGTTCAAAAGGGTCCTCGCTAGAGATTCATGCACGAGGGCTCACCCTCGGGTAGACGGGCTGCCCGGCCCAGCCCGGCCGACAGGCCAGCACTCACCGCTGCAGGCCCTCTCGTCACTCTCGTCCGAGCAGTCCAGGAAGCCGTCACACCGCTCTGACAGCACGATGCAGGCCTCGCCGTCCTCACACTTGAACTCCCTGCTCGTACAGGTCAACGTGCTGTGCGTGGCTGAAACACAAAGCGGAGGGGCCGCGCTGTGCTAAAGGCTGGGCCCAGGTTGACTCGGGTTTAGGAAAAGTGGTTTGAAATCTGTGAACTAACCAACCTGCTTTTACTTCAACATACTCCTCCAGAATGAGGAGTGGTAGAATCTACACTGGTGCTGTGGTGTCTTATTTAATGTGAATAACTGAGATCTGCCTACAGGGAAAGTGAGCGCCACGGACTCAAACAAACTGGGGTTTAAATTCTGGCTTTGCAGGAGCTTGAGCAAATTGCTTAATATCGCCCAAGTTCAGTTCCCAGGTAAGAGCTGGGGTGACAATTCCATCACTCGAGTGTTTGCAAGGACCTAATGAGATCATGCACCTGGAACAGTGCCCAGCTCCTGGCCGGCATCAACAAATTGCAGCTGTTGCTCTACAGCATTACTGATTATTCTGTTACTAGTATTTGCAGTCTAGAATGGCAAGCTGACTTCTGATTTGGGTAATTCAAATGATGATATGACTCCCAATGATTGTAAGAAGCATCCTCGCTTTATGTAGTAGTTTTAATTGTACAGGTTTTCAAAGTATTTTCACAGAAAATGAAATAATCCAAATAAAGAGCATTGGTAAGTTAGGAGTCATGCAACTCCATGGCTAGGCTATTAACCCAAATGTGATGTTCTCTTCAGTTCTGAAAGTAGATGGAAACTGTATGGGAGGCTCTAAAAAGGAAGAGATGACCATATAATTGCAAATGATCCTAAAAAGAGGAAGAAGAGAATGGCTATAGAAACCAAATCTGCTGCTGTGTGGGGTGAGCCCAGGTGCAGGTATTTTATGACTTCGTGATACAGACTCATACCTGCCCGCCCCGTCCTGTATAGGGAAGGGCTACATCAGAACCCCAACCCCACCAGAGTAGGGGCTAAAATTCACCTTGCTGCTCCAAGTCAAAGATGTCCACATCCCAATCCCTGGAACCTGTTAATACGTTATCTTACACGTGTCACTTTACATGGCAGAAGGGACTTTGTGGATATGAGTAAATTAAGGATCTGGAAGTGGGGAAGTTCGGTCTGGACTATCCAGGTGGGCCCCATCTCATCACAGGGCTCCTTAACAGCAGAGACCCTTCCCTGGCTGTGATCACAGAGAGAGAAGTGGAAGGAGGATCAGAGAGATGCAATGTTGCTGGCTTTGAAGATGGAGGAAGGGGCCATGAGCCTGGGCGTGTGGGCGGCCTCTAGAAGCTGGAACGAGAAAAGAAACAGATCTTTCCTAGGGCCTCCATAGGAACCTGCCCTGCTCACGTCTTGGTTTTGGCCCAGTGAGATCTGTATCAGATTTCTGACCTATGGAACTGCAATAAAATAAATGTGTGTTGTTTCAAATGCTAAGAATATGGTGATATGTAAAACAAAGGACCTACCCTCACAGAGCTTATCTTTTATTGAGAGAAACTGCAAACAAGTAGTAAACAAATATGATAGGGTTATGCCATTTTATACCCGACAGTCAGACAGAGACTCTTTACTCAGAAGAAGATTGTTTTAAAAAAATACCAAGATCTCCATCACTTAAGTATTTCACTTGGTAATGTTGGGACTCAGAAAACAACACCCCAAAATGAAGGCCTCAGGAGCAAAGTTTTTCTCTAACCTTCTCCTGCCCTCCTGTCTCCCAGTCCCATTCTCCCCTGAGGGTGGCCATAGAAACTAGAATCCCTGTTCCCCAAAGGGGATCGTAGATACCAGAACCCCTTAGCCCCAAAGCCAGCTATAAAATCTAAAAATGTCACTCTAACTTCGCCTCTGCCTTTCTGTGTAAAAATTGGCCTCAGGAACAAGATGATCAAAGCTCTGCTCTCCTGGAAGCCGCAGTTGAGGGATTCCAGGACCTGATCAGTCCGCAAAAGGGTAAGAATTTCTTACCAGCCAGGCTCCCAGCCTCTCTGTCTGAGCAATCTGGTTGAGCAGACAGGAAAAAAAAATCAGTTTCCTCTGCAAAATTCTGACTATGGGAGAAAAGATCTGTGTGGCTGGTCTTGGTGTAGCAACTCTAGTGTACTTTCTGGTGCTTTGTGTTATGAATATTCATATTGTTTGATTCCTTCCCTCACAGAAACGGTCTTTTCCTTTGTCTTTGTCTTTCTGTGTTGCTGATAAAGAGGAGTACAGGATAAAGTTCCCTCTCGTCTTCTTCTATGTCCTTCAGAGCGTGACTTGTGACCAAGTGGGAGCCCTCTCTCCTGGTGTCCCCCATCCAGGGGGTGTGAAATCAGGTGGCCAGTCTGATAAGGGCTGGGAACCTGAAGATTTTTTGTTCCAAATGTGTCAAGTTCTCGGGCAAATCTGTCTTAATAAGTCCCATCCATAAGGGCTTTTGTCATCTCAACCCTTATTGCCTGGTTAGTCTATAGCAACAAGAGTCTTTTGCTATCTGAGCCTATTTCTGGGAGTAAATTTTTTTTGGTGGGGATCTTCGGAACTGCTTTGTTATGCCCTCTCCGGGCATGTATTATCTCCCTCTGAGGGTGGGGCAGGACCCTCTCTGGAACAGGGGTCTTAAGACCTATAGTCAAACAACGTAGGTCAGATAATTTCTCTATGCTCTTGACCCCTATAGTAAGAATGTGATAAAATATAATCAAATAATAGCTGAGTAGTAAAGCTGGAGGATGTTTGAGATTTCTTGATAAAACATGTTTCAAAATTTTAAAAGCAGGAAAACAGGGGTTTTAGGATCTGGGAATAAGGTTGTCATTAATCTCTGAAAATTCTTAAGCTGATTATTAAACAGATGATTAATGGGGACTTAGAACAGAATGGACTGGCCTTCAGGGACCAGCTTCTCTAAGAGAAATCATGTTACACTAATCTGATTTCATTTTTTGATAAGGTTGTCAAATCAATGTTGAAAAAATTGTGGATATAGCACATCTTGATTTTAAGACCCTTAACTAAGCAACATCATTGTGAATAAGACGGATTTGAAACAGGCTGAAAACACCAATTTAAAGAATGTCAATTAATGAATTAACATCACCCAGGAGGGAAATCCTATTTCTTTTCCTCTTTGTTAATTATTTTTAATGTTCATCTTCTTATGTGGTTGTTTATTTGATTCAAATGTTCCTACTGTTATTTTGGGGAGTGTGGTATCCACTTGCCCTGTTATTTTAATGCCCCAGGGGTCCCCTTTGTTTGTTCTTGTAACGTAAGCGTAGAATTGTACACTAATCCCTATTCAGTTTCTCTGTGCTGGCTTTGGTGTCTTCCTCCCTGATAAGAACTGTAAATACGACCTGATGTAAAGAGCAAAACGTTCTGCAAGAGAAACCTAAATAAATACCCCAGTCTATTCTTGACTATGGGATCCTCTTGGAACCTTAATTTTCCTATCTCTACAATGGAGATAATACCAAAATAAAAGTTATGTTGAGAATCAAGTGAAATGAATAGATCAGTTCCCTGAGAACAATCGCACCTTAAAACCCATCACCAAATGTTAGTATCCCTTTGGAAATTCTCATTATTTCACCAGAAAATAAGCTACCTTGTTGAACTTTGTATTATTTGCAGATATGACAGGCGTGCCTTCCAAGCTTTCATCTAAGTCACTAAGGACATTTTAAACAAGATAGGGCCACTTAAAAAGCATCAGAAAATTTTACAACAGCAAATTAGAAAGAGCAAAGCAGAAGTCACCTGAAGAAGAGCACTTATGATAAAGCAAAAAGAAAAATAAAACAGCCAAAAAGAGCAAGAAAACAGACAGGCATAATAATGAAAGAAATATAGAAGGCAACAGAATGAGAAGGGGGGATCTGTTAGGGCTTATCCAAGGCTGAAGCACCCTGCAGACATCAGAGAATTTAAAAAAAAAAAAAAAATTGACACAGCAAAATCATTACTCCACTGGCAAATCCAAAACAGGTAATAGTGTAAATAAAACTTTTATTAATTTTGAAAATAAGTGAAAAAGTTCAGCCATACAAATTACAGAAGTGACAAAGAAATGAGAAAGAGATATAATATGGAAATGTTAACCAAAGAAATAAAAATATTCCTTACTACCTAAATTTATTTGGTTTATTTATATGGATTTGTTTATATGGATTCATACACAAGTATCAAGAAATACCAAATTATCTGAATCTTTCTGGTTCCTGATAACAAGTAGTAGGTACTTGACAGAGGGAATCATCCCCAAAATGCATTTGAATCTACTCAATTCCTGAGTTCAGACAGGAAGAGTTGAGTAACGTGAGATTTCTTACAATTTTCCTAAACCAAAAAAAAAAAAAATAATAAGTAAACAAAACAGAAAAATCACCCTAGCTTGGAAATTGAAGAAGTAGAAAGAGTCAAAGAGTATTTCTTGGAAAAAAAGACCCCTAAGTGGCAACTTATCAAATTCCCTGACTTTCAGACAAAGAAAGGACCCTCAGGCAGCCAAAACAAAAGCAGAAGTGACATTCACGGAGATGAAAGGACAACGAACAATGGGGGTCCTGGGACCCCTGTAGAAAAAGTGTTAGAAAAAATCTGTGCATTGTGGAAATAAATGAGTTTTATGTTTCAAGTTAAGGACTTGGCCAAAATTATTTCTCTCTCAAGTCAGAGCATATCAAGACCTAAAGGACCCACTGAAATTTGTCCCCAAAAGCCCATGACAATAGAGTTCATTATAAGGAACAGTGGAAGTATGAAAACTGGCAAAGACTCACAGCAGCAGTTCACTGGAGAAGATCACTAGTGAGAACTGATGTTGTAGAATGCAAAGGAAGGAAATGCCTTCTATGGTTTCTGATCTCCCCTTTGAACTTCCTACTGGGATGCCTCATGCCACCTTAGGCAGTATGTCAATCAATGAACCTGCTGTCATCCCCAGCCCCACCCAGGGAAACCCATGAACATTCACCCTCAGCATTCTCCACCTTATCTGGTAGCATCAGCTTTCACCCACCCATCCAGATGAAACACTCACTCTTCCTTCTTCTCTATGCCCACAGCCAAAATAAAAACCACTGGCTACTGTTAACATTACCTCCAATATACCAAGAGGCCGTTCCTCATTTTCACCTTTGTAGTTCCATCACTAGCCTCCTAACTGGACCCTGGCCTCCAATCTCACCTCCCGCTGCTTCCAAACCATCTCCCCATGATGAAGTCCAAGCAATCTATTATGTAAACACCCCCTCCCTAAAATCTTCAATGGCTCCCTATGACCAGGAGAACAAAGACCAAGCATGGCAGCTGCCCCACCCATGGCCCCTGTCTACCTCTCTGCATTCACTTCTGCCCCACCCATAGCCATTCCACAGGTCTGATTTCTTACACCTCTGAGCCTCACGCTATACATGCTGTCCCTTGTGCCTGGGATGCCCCTCATCTACCACCTTGTCCCAGAGTTCTCCATGAAAACGTTGTCAGGCATCATCAACTGGGATGCCTTTCCTGACCCACTCCCACCTCTTCAGGAAATTGGCCAGGTCCACTTCCAAACCGTATCAATTCCTTGAACAGACTTCTGTTATTGCTAACTCTGCGCTGTATAACGGCTGGCTCAATGTTCTTCCCACTAGAATGTGTATTCCCGGCAAGCTGACCAATGCCTGCCACATTATGCGTGGTCAACAAATATTTGTCCAACCAGACTGAAATGGTACTGAACTCACACCCTTTCCTCTTAACCAAAACTCTCCAGGGAGGACCCAGTCAGGCACCCAGTGGAGGACAATGCTACAGGCAGAGAAGGGGCAGCTGATTCCCTCTCTGCCTTTTCTCCTGAGCCTCCCTGGTTGAAATATTTAGGACAGAGAAGTATCTGCCCAACTTGTCTGAGGCTAAGAATCAGGGCACTATTGAAGTATAGATTCCCAAAAACCCTCTCCTCCAGTGCTCCTGATTCAGTGGTCTGGGGTGAAATGACCAAATTGATATTTTTTATAAGCATTTCCCACATGATCCTGCCAAGTCACATAAATGTGTAACTCCTGAATTAGAGGAATTAAGGGATGACTAAGCTTCTCGGCCTTAGATTCTATTCTACCTATAAATGGTAAGATTTGGTAGGGTTCCATGTGAGGCTCAGTTTTTCCTTTATTTAGGAAGTCTTTCTCTTAAGAGGAAAAAAAAAAATGGGACCAGAACAGGGATCAAAGAAGAGGAATTGAGGCGCTTGTTGCTTAGAGTGAAGGCTGGAGTAGGCTCTCAGCACGGAGGCGAAAGGGACTCTGCCACTCTCTTCTACGTTGACCAGGGCAGAAATCAGACGAGCATGGGAAAACCCTCTTCCTGGCAATGAAGGGAATGTGACTGGCTAGGACATCTGCTGTCTGAAGTCGGCAGGTGGCTGGATGGAGGGGTGACCCCACAAAGCAGGGAGCCCTGAGCCAGAGCAATGGGCCACCATCAGAGAGGCACGCTGGCAGCGGGCTGGATGGGCACTGTCCTGGCTGCACCCTCCCCAGGCCACTACAGCGGTACTGGTCAGTCACAGGTGACACTGGAGTGCAGCCAGAGACCAAAAAACACAGGCTGGTCACACGAGGATACAAGACATGACCTTATCTCTGTGTTCTAGCCTCCAGGACACCTGCTTCCACTCTTGCCTTGTGAGAGTCACTCGGTAGTGCATCCCCTCTGAGCAGACACAGTGGCCCTCGATCAGCTCGCGAAAGCCACTGTCTCCCTCCATCATCTACTCCAAAGACCCCTCAGCCCCCGGCCCAGTGCATCAGAGGAGCGAGCACCAGGACCCACTGTGTTTGACAACTGGCAACTCTGAATATGCATAGAATGCATGTGTCATCTTGCACTGGGCTCAGTTTGCTTTGTCATTATTTCCCAGGTGGTTCAGTACACTATCTTGCCAGCTAGAATTACCCTAAGGGTTGAGACTGAATTTTCTTAAAGGGGTGCTGGAGGTGACCCCTCTAATAACATGTGCTGTGCTAGTAGGTGCTCACTAAACATTTACGGAAAAACGGAGGCACACATAGAAGGTTATGGCTTAACCCACAGCATTTTAAAGAGTTAAACATGTTTGTGAAACCTATTTAAGATATTTTTCTCAGTCATTAAATATTTTTATTGGACATGCTCCTGGTATCCAGGAACTTACTAAAAAGAAGGTGACTATCACAATGATACGAGTCCATGTGGCAAAGCTGTTGTGGAGAACATGGTAAAAACACGGTCACACAAAAGCACACAGACTCACACACGTGTGTGCTAATCCAGACAGGAGGCGTAAGCGGTGGGACGGCGTTGTCCCTGGAAATGTGCCCTGGGAGTGAAGGGCTCTCTGACTACTCACGGCAATTGTCCTCGTCCCGGCCATCCTGGCAATCTCGATGGCCGTCACAGCGCTTCCAGTTGGGGAGACACTTCTTCGGCTGGTGACACTCAAACTCAAATCGGTTACAACGCCCAAGCTGGGTGGGAGTGGAGGCGGAAGTGACATTTGCTAAAAGAAAAGATTTTTAAAATTCACTTTTTAGCATTGAGAGAGCTAGCCAATAACAGCAGCTCGTCGACGTGGTTGGAGACTGCGGTGCTGCGGGAATTACAAAGGGGACCTGAAGACAAACGTGAGCCCTGGATGAGGACAGCAGATGGGACACAGACGTCTAATTTTGCCCCTCACAGCACCCACTAAAGCTACAGTTGAGAGACTGTTTCTAAAGCCCTAACCCCACGAGGACATGATAAAGGGGAAGGAGACAAGAGCAGCACAACGTGGGGAGCTGGAGAGGAGACAGCAACAGTAAGTGACTGGTGAGCCCAGAGAAGGCTGCACCCTGCCCTCAGCTGTCAAGAGAGAAAGCTAAGAGCAAGTCAGATCAACAACACACACTCCTCAAAAAGCTCAGAAACTGGTATCTCTTCACTGGGAATGAAGACAGAGAAGTTAAAATAAGGAATAGCTACATCCCCTCCCTGACCAGCCGCACGAGACACACACCACACGTTACCCCAGTAGAAGACTGGGGGTTGTTATTTAGAGAGGGTAAAACAAAGGATTGTTTAGACAGGCGTAGTCAACAGCAGAAACATCCTACTGATGAAAGGAGGACTGAACCTACAGACAGCTGCATGTGAGGACCCGGCCCACTTCCCTTAGAACCCCAGCACTGGCACCATTACTGTTCGGGCAGGAGACGGTAAGAATCTTCTCTGGGGAAAATGGGCAGCCTCAGAGCCTAACCCTGAAGTAACCGAGATCAAGAGTTGAGATCAAGAGTTCCCGTGGTTCCCAGCCGTGACACTCAAAGCCGACGTGCCCACCCACGTGCCCAGAATTGCTCAGCAGCATCTTAGCCCCCAGCCCTAAACATAAGCAGCGACCAAGGATTATCTGAGGGAAACCTTTAACATAAGAGATAGAAACCAAAACAGAGCCCCGCCTGCCCCACCCCCCAAAAAGAGCCATTTGGAGGAAATAGAGACTTTTGCGAGAAGAAAACTTCAAAAACAAATATCCTTAATATGCTCAGAAAGAAAAAAATATCTATCCATAAAAAAAAGAATAGGATGCCATAAAAAGGAAAGTACTAAAAATGAAGAAGCTCCTAAAATTAAAACCATGATAGCAGAAATGAAAATCTCAGTAGAAGAGCTAGAAGATAAAGTTGAGTAAATCTCCCAGAAAGTGGGGGAAAAAATAACAAAATTTTTAAGAAATAGAAAATACTTATTTTTAAAACAGTAAGAGGACCAGATCAGAAGATCCAATAGATGAATAACAAGAGTTCCAGGAAGAAAAAGAAGATGGGGAAAAAATATCATTAATAAAATATTTCAAAAAAATTTCTCAAACTCAAATAAATACATTTCCAGAATAAAAGAGCCTGTGAGCATTCACCACTTTGGACAGAAAAGGACCCACATCAAAGCATATCATTGCAAAATTTCAAAACACTGGAGCCAAAGGGAAGATTCTATAAGCTTCTAGAGAGTTAAAAAAGAGGTTACAGGGCAAAAAAATCAGAATTAAAATGGCTTTGGATTTTCCAAAAACTGCTCGAAGACAGTGGAGTAATGACTTCAAAGTTCTGAAGGAAACGATTTACGAACTAGCATTCCAAACCCAGCCCAACTGTCAAGCTAGTCTGAAGACAGAATAAAAAACACTTTCAGACAAGGAAGACCTCAAATACACCTCCCACATACCTTTTCTCATGAACTTTCTACCAAAACTTGGGATTAAACTAAGAAGGAGAACAACTGGGATACAGAAAGCAGCAGTTCCAACATGAGAGGTAGGTAAAGTGGGTCCTTAGGGTAGTGATGGTGACAGCATCCTAGACAACAACTGTGCCCCAGGCACAGGGTCACCGTACAATCTAGAGCAGCAAACTCAAGAGACGACACATAGAGAGCCATCATCACTGTATTCCCGGCCACTGAATCACCATATTCACCTGACAAAGCTACTGGAGGGTGTGCTCCACCAAAACAAGAGAGTAAACCAAGAAAAAGCAAAACACAATACTCAGGAAAGGAGACATCTAAATTTGGAGAAAGGCAAAGAGAATTCCCAGAGGGCAGTGAAAGCCCCAGGACAATGGGCATGCAGCAGGCCTGGAGAACAGTGAGAAGGGATGTCTCCAAGAGAAAAACATAAAGGAGGGGAGAAAGCCAGCCAAGGCAGATCATGCCACTTACCCTGGACAATGAGGGAGTCACCAGAAGGCTCCAACTTCTACACTAAACAAATAAGAACCAAGAGCTAGAGACAACAACTAGTTTAAAGTTGCACCAACACCGCACACATAAAAGGAAGCACAAAAGCTGAATGGGATATGCAAATAGGGGTTTGCTCACTGGATTAGTCAGAATTTGTTCACGTCTATTAACATCCTGGTCAGACTGCTAATAACCAAACACAATCTTGAGAGGATAATCAAGTTATTCAATAGATAGGTAGGCCTTGAGGGGAAAAGACAGAAACAAACGTTGGTTTTCTTTTTTACAATTCATTTTAAGCAGCATTTATAGGACATTGACTATTTGCCTATTATTGTAGTAGATACAGTGGGGAATTCAAAGTAGTGTACAGCATGATCCCAGAACAGGACAGCCACACAATTGCCATGAAGAAAAGATATATTTGCATGGGATAATTAGGAAGCAATATCTGGCAGATCAGTGTTAAGAATCAAAAGGTCAATGGGTAAGTTCAACACCAGTTAAAGGAGTCAGTGAAAGCTCCGTGGAGGTTGGGCCCTATTTGTTCAAATCAGAAATCTAAAAATTTAGTGAACCTAAAAATCATACGGGGATCTCCTGGGCTCCCCCAAAACTGATGCTCCATTTTTTATAAACACCCCCAGGTGATTCCACTATAGGTGGTCTTTGTGCCATACTTTGAGAAATACTGATGGCATATCAAGGTTTCTTTTCGGTTGCCCAATGGATGGTGGGTTTCACTGATGAGAAAAGTAGGAGGACAAGGTAGAGGGCACAGGGGTTTCTGGTAAGGGCAAACCTGCCGCAGGCACGCAGGCAGAGAGGAGCAAGTCTATGCAGAGGAAATGAGAACAGGAACAAGGGCAGACGAGGAGGAGTTGGCTCACACAGGGCCTTGACAATAGAAGTTAAGAGTCAAGAATTGATCTTCTGGACAACAGAACAAGAGGAAACCGCTGATGATTTTTAAACAGGGAAACAATGGAACGAATATAGTCATAAGAGGAGGAAAATCAGACTGTTGACCTAGAAGTTTGCTACGGAAAGGATTATGCAAAGCATGGCAAACAACTGTCTATTCTCCTATTATAACTGAGTTCGAAATAGACTCCTCTTTAGGGAAGAACACAGCATCCTTACCTCTGTTCTGCCTGCAATTAAGGGCATGCACTAGATGGAGTTCCAAGGTCTACCTGGGCCTCCGACAATAACAGACCTTCCGCTGCCTCTCTGAGTCCAGCCACTAGATGGCAGTGCTTACCCTTCTTTTAGTAGGACTGGCCAGACAAGCAAGCAGGAAAACCAGACACTCTCCCCTGAGAGTTTGATACACGCAACACACACAATTTAATTCCAATTTATAATTTCCCACTAAGAGGGAAGCAAAGGTGGCCCAACTGCAGCTGGGTGGAAAGCAGGGTGGCCGGCCTTTCTTTGCAGGAGGCTCACAGGGCAGTTATAGAAGACAACTCTTTCCAGTTCCGGGTTCCCATGGGTCTGTATGACCCAGGGAGAGGCGGGAAGTCTCCTGCCCTGGAGGTGCACTGTTGGTGACACCCAGCCTGGCCACAAAGCAGTGTCCCAGACAGCAGGGCCTGTGGCCTGGCCAGCGTGCGCCCCTGGCAGGTCCTCTCCACAGCGGCAGGGGCACGGGAGAGGGCCAGGCCAGGACTCACCGAGCGAGGGGCAGGCTTCCTCGTCCGAGCCGTCTGCACAGTCTCGGTACCCGTCGCACACCCAGGTGTCCATCACGCAGGCCCCGCTGCTGCAGCGGTAGTAATTGGGCAGGCATGTGGAGGGCCCAGGAGTTGGGGAGGGAAGAACATGTGAATCTGTGGAAAACACCAAGCAAGGAAACCCACAGTGTCACGAGAAGCTTGATCCCAGGCAAAACGTGTCCCAAGCCAAGTGTCGATGTCCCAGTTTCGGCTGGACCAGCCAAGCCAGTGACAGGCATGGTTCTGAACACCAGATCATCTAAAAATTCATGTATGATGGGGTGTCCCAATAAACAGAATTGTTTTCCCTTTTGGGCAATAGATTTACCTTACCTACTATATTTGATCTGGCCTAATATTCGAATGCATTTGTTTTTGCAGGGGCTTGGGAATGCTGATGGAAGGAACAGGTGACTCAGGAGGCACAGGGTGGCTAAGAGAATTCCTACTGAGGCTGAGCATTGTTCTCGTTAATTTCTCTGTAGCCACCCCAGACATGGTGCAGAGATGGGAATGCCGGAGAGGAAAGGAACCAGCATGCATTCCGCAAGGATGCTTCTCAAAGGTACCATGGCACACACAGGACCTGGGGATCTTGTTAAAATGCAGATTCTGATTCAGCAGGTCTGGAGCAGGGCCAGAGATTCTACATTTATAACAAGTTCCAAGGAGCTGAGGGTGCTGTGGTCTGCAGACCACATTCTGGGTAGGAAGGCTCTAGATTTCTCACTGTGCCCTGTAAAATATGGAATAAATAACCCAGGAAACAGGAGAAACCAATCACACTGATTTCAAAATAGGAAGGAAGGATAGAAAAAAAACCCAGTCACCATTCCCCCCAAAAATCCAAAAAAACCCCAGGAATAAGCTGGCACATTCTGCACAGCAGATGGAACTACACTGGTTGTGTTGGGTGTGGGCTGGCCTGGGCCTCTTACCTCCACAGTCCTTCTCGTCTGACCAGTCCCCACAGTCGTTCTCCCTGTCACATTTCCACCTGTTGGGGATGCAGTGGCCGTTCTCACACCGGAACTGGAAGTAGCGGGAGCAGTTTGGGGCTTCTGTGGGGTTTTCTGGGGAGATCAACCACACCATCAGCTGCTTTCCGTGCACCAGCGTGAACACCGTGCTCCGACTACATGCATCCTTCTCAACGCCCAAGTCCCAGGGCAACCTGCGCTGCCCACCCAGAGAAAGATAAGGCAGCTTCATGCACCCAATGGGCAGTAGGAAGTACACCCACGAACTCAAGAGAATCCCATCTTCCCAGCCCCTAACTCATGTTCCTCTGACCTACACTTCCTGAGAATGACCACCTGAGTGCTAATTCTGGCATTTTGCCAAAGGAATAAAATAATGATTGATGATGACCCAATGGTGACAATAACTTCTATCACATTATGGTCTGCAACTTTTAGGGGAGGAAAAAGTACATCCCATAATATTTACCATAATTCCTCGCCTCCCATATTCCTTATACATAATGTGGTCTTCCCGACTGGGAAAAGAAAGGAAATGGAATAAACTCTCCCCTAGCACCTACGAGGTGTCAGGTTCCCACTCCAAGACTCCGTTCCCTGTGTGGGGAATTCAGGAACCGGCGGCAGCTGCTCACGGGAAGGGCAGGCCGAGGCTGCGTGTGGGTGCGCTGGCAGCGCCCCTCCTTAACCACAGCTGCCACTGTCACCGGAAGATTAGGACGCGAGGGGGCAGATCTGAAATCTTCTTACCACAGTTGGCTTCGTCAGAGTAATCGCCGCAGTCATCCATGCCGTCGCACTTCCAAATCAAACTGATGCACACTCCGTTCTGACACTGGAAACCGAACTCGTCACAAACCTTGTGGAACTCGGGGTCTTGGGCTACACAAGGAACAAACATTCACAAAGTCGCGATGACTCCCACGCTAGGAGCTCGGAGCAGCAGTGCGGCTCAGAAACAAGGGAAAGAGAAAGTGTCCTCTGCCAAGATACCATCTAACTAAAAATTCCCTGAACGTAAGAGCCAAACCTAACCGTAACAGGGCACACAGGTTGTTAATTAACCCATTCCATGAATCTTTATTCAGTCCTGTTATGAGCTAAGTTTATCCCCCCCACCAAATTCACATGTTGAAGTTCTAACCCTCAGTACCTCAGAAATGTGACCATATTTGGAGACAGGGCCTTTAAAGAGGTAATTAAAGCTAAAATGAGGTCACCAGGGTGGTCCCTAATCCAATATGACCGGTGTACTTATAGGAGAGGAAATCTGGACACAGACGTGTACAGAGGAAACACGGTGTGAAGACAGAGAGGAGGCGGCTGTCTACAAGGCCAAGGAGTGAGGCCTCGGGAAACCAACCCTGCCAACACCTTGATCTGGGACTTGGAGCCTCCAGAATTGTGAGAAAATAAGTTTCTGCTGGTACTTTGTTATGGCAGCCAGAGCAACCAGATGTAAGTCTACACACAAGGCACTGTTTTAGGAAGGGGGCCATGGAAATGAACAAAACAAAGCCCCTGCTCCTGTGAAGCTCAAATGGAAGAGGCAGATGGTAAAATGAACATCCAGGTGCCCAGTGGGCTCAGTGCTGCGAAGACCACTGGACAAAGGTAAGGGCGACCCTTTGAGCTGAGCTCTTGGTCACTCACTCGCCTCCCGATTATACACACCCTGACACTAGAAAGCAGTACTTCTTCAACAAAGGAAGTCTTGGACACTCGATCAAGACCTGCAAGCTAGACAGAGGTGCATCCCCAGGTGGCCAAACCCCCGCACAGGAGCTTCGGTGACTGTGAGTTGCCCCCTGCTGGCCCCACTCACAGCATCCCGCAAATGCCGCATCCTCATCCGATCCGTCGCGGCACTGGATGATCCCATCACACACCATGGAGTGGAACAGGCACTGCTGGCGGTTCTTACACACAAAGTCCATGAAGCGCGTACACAGGGGCTCTGAGAGCAGAAAAGGCCGTGAGCACCCAGGGCGAGCCGGGCCCTCTCCAGCCCTGGCCAAATGCACGCTGGGACAGACGAGCATCACTCAGGACACAACAGCACGAGCCACTGTGTACTGAGCACTCGCTCTGTGCCAAGCCCAGAGCTAAAGCACTTGACATAAAGTGCATCGTTAAACCCTCAGGACAACATATGAGAGACTTTATTGTTTCTGTTTTTGAAATGGGAAAACAGGGGGCAGCAGCATTCAATATTTTGCCAAGTGCACACAGCTGATGAGGGTGAAGCCGAAATTGAAATTTAGAGCTGTCTGACATCAAAGCCCCTGATCTTAATCATATCAATATGACACTGACTCTCTATTACAGGGGTCACAAACTTTTCTGTAAGGGATCCGTCTTACCGGACTGAATTGTACCCCCATAAAATTTATATGTTGAAGCCCTAACATCCACTGTGACTGTATTTGGAGATAGGGCCTTTGAAAAGGTAATTAAAGTTAAATGAAGTCATAAGGATGGGCCCCTAACACACTAGGATTAGTGTCCTCTAAAAAAGGGAAGGGACAGCAGAAAGGCCATGCGAGGACACAAGAAGACAGCCTTTGGACTGAACTGTAACCTCGGCTTGTCCCTGGGTCTCCAGCCTGCTGGCTATCTTTGCAGATTTTGGACTTTCCAGCCTCCATAATCACATGAATCAATTCCTTAAATTAAATCTCTTTCTCCTTCTCTCTCTCTTGCCACACACACACACACACACACACACACACATTAGTTCTGTTATTCTGGAGAACCCCAACTAGCACAACCAGAGAGCAAATATTTTAGGGTTTGCAGGTCACACACAGCCTCTGTTACACCTACATGATCCTGCTACTACAGCTCAAAAGCAGCCATAGATAATGTGTGAACAAGTGGTAGTTACTGCATTCAAAGAAAACTTCATGTAATGGAGAGGTTATGGGCTGGATCTCACCCACAGGCCAGTTTCCCACCCTGCACTAATGCATCAGCTCTCAGCCTGGCATACACAACAGCACTGTAAACTGAGCACCGTAAACAATCTCAACGCCCAAGCCACTCCCTGGGCTCATTAAATCAGCATCTCTGGAGGTGTCACCCAGGCCCCAGGAGCTTTTAAAGCTCCCAGGTGATTCTAATACATACTCAAGGATGAGCATCACCGACCTAGGGCAATCTTTCTGGGGCTAAAGAAAACTGGGGCTAAAGGGTCACCTGGCCTAAAAATGTTTCCCGAGTGATTATGAGCAACACTAATAAAACCAATCAAGTCCACAATTCTAAACAGTCAACTGACAGAACATATTGCAATGACACAGTAACATTCATGGAAGTATGAACTCATCTACCATCCCCGCCCCTCCTCCTGTTCTCCTTTACCCAAACCATGGCTCCCTGCCATGATCAGCCTCCACGAGTCCTGGCCAAACACTCAGGGATCAAGTCAGTTAAAAGCTAACCACAGCAGGTACTGAGGAAATGAAAAAAAGCCCCAGGCTGTGGTGCTGCCCCGGGGTGGGGACTGGACTCACCACAGTGCTGTTCATCTGAGCCGTCCGAGCAGTCGCGGAGGCCGTCGCAATGTTTGCTGGATGGGATGCAAGTGCCATTTGGGCAGCGGAATCCATTGCACTTCTTCTCTGAAATTTAATTCAACAACAGAGAATGACAAAGAGGAAACAGGCAGGCATGCATACTATTGGTGACAGTATAAATTTGTACCACCACTAGAGAGAGCAATTGGCCATAGCTAGCAAAATTACAAATGCACATAAACATTTATCCAGCAATTCCACTTACAGAAATGCATCCTACCTACAGCAATTAAAAAATGATGTTAAGTACAAGGTTACAATCTTGTTCTTAATGTTAGTACAAGCGTTGCACTGCAACACTGTTTGTAATAGATTAAAAACTGTCCATCAATTGGAGATTATTTAATAAATTACTGTACACTGGAACACTAGATAGCTGTAAAGAAACTGAAGTGCTCTACGAAAAATTATGTCCTAGATATACAGTTATATCAAAAAACAAGTTAAAAAACATTCAGAGTAAAACATTACTTGTGTACAATAGGACAAGAATATACAATATATTTAAATTTGCGTATATATGCACAAAAATGTTCTGGAAGTATATACAACCATGGCTTCCTACAGGGAAAGAGTGGGAACTGGGCAGATCAATCTTTACTGTACATCTTTTTATACTTTTTCCATTTTGAAGCACGTGAATGTATTACCTGTTCAAAAATCAAGTATATTTTTAAAAAGAGAAGGAAATGCTTCTATGAATAGAAAAAAGAAGGACATGAATCCTAATTATGAAATCCTAGTTTTTCGAAGCTCTCTAAGTCACTCACCACTTTAATTCTTCAGGAATTCTAAAGCAAAGCCCTTGTAGAGGAAGTACACCTAGATGTTAAGAGCCTGAGGTTTCACAACTAGTTCCACGGGAAATTAAACTAGAACTAAGGTATCCTGACGCTTAACTCAGAATCCTCAGCACTAGGTCACCCTTTCTCCTGACCAGAGAGTTACTGCCAGACGTTAGACTTGAAAATCAGTTCCAACAGGGCAGCCATGGATAGCCTTTGCAAACCCAGCTCTTGGTAGAACAGTTCCATGAGGATTAGGTAAAAGAAAAGAAAATGTGTTTTAATCATGTAAAAAGTCATCATTCCTAGAAAATTAGTCAAAGGATATCAAACAGAGAGAAAAACAGTAAATGAGTACTACTATTGGGAGAAATGGTTAATATCATTTAGTAGAAAAAGTTAAAAATAAAAAGGTATAAGTTAAAATTATGTGAGACAAACATACTAAATTAGTTAATTATATTAACTAAAAAGATAAAAATCTAGTATCAAAAGAGAGTTAGGGAAACATGCACTATATTACTGGTAAAGACGCATTTGGTATAATCACTTGGAAATGAAACATGGAAATACTTCAAGACAATCATAAAAACTGGGCAAAGCCTTCCACCCCACAACTCCGCATCGAAGAACGTACCACAGGAAATATCTCCAAGGAAAAACAAGCCTTCATTTCCAAGGACATGAATACTAGCATCATGGTGTAAAACTGAAAAAACTCAAATGCTCAACTAAATGCCAACTTAGTCAGAAGCAACTAAGTAAACTATGTTATTGTAAAGTGAATAAGCCTCTTCCATAAAAATGCTAACTACTGAAAAATACTGTATTGATACATGAAAATATCTTATTTAATACTGTAACATGAAAGGAGTAAATCTCTAGTAATATATAGACAAAAACTACAATCCCACAAAAATCTGGAATGTTTGGCAAATGAATAAGGACAGAGACCCTTAAAAATATTGGTATAAAAAAGCATTTTATGTATTTTGTTTGTGTGGCAGCATTTATGTATGTTGTATGTGGGGGTGGCAAACTGTTTACTTGATGCTTAAGACTATATAACGCACCCTGATATATCATATGGCAACAGGACATGGGAAGTGGGTGGGCTTGTTTAGCTGCCAGAGTAGAAATATGGGTGTTTCATTCCCTGGCCCATCTGCTGCCTTTCTTCCCGAACAGCAGACGCTGGGGAAGCTCCAGGTGGGACCTGAAGCATTTGCATTTACCGCAGTTGACTGGATCCTCATCAGAACCGTCCTGGCAGTCCGTGTCACCGTCACACGCCCACCGCTGGGGGATGCAGTGTCCATTGCGACACTGGAAGTTGGAGGCCTCGCAGGTGTGGTAGATGGCTGCGGCAGAGAAGAGAGACACAGTCACACCCCTTCTGCTCCATCCCCCACCAGCTGTCAAGGGGCAGACAGCAAGGAGGTTAGCACTAGGTTATAAGGTAGGACCTGAAGGAGCGTCTGAGTTTCTCCTGGGCCGGAAACTAGGCACCCGGGGCTGATCTTACAGCAGCGGGCAGCTCCCTCAATGGGCAATGATTTGAGCCTATGGGTCTGTAAGAAGTGACACAAGCCATTGCATGGTACAGATGCACAAATTAAAACTTCACTCACTCTTCACAACAACCTATGAACCCCATTCACAAATGAGAAGCGGGCTTAGAGAGATTAAGAAACTTATAGGTAATTAAGTAACAGCGCCAAGGTGGCTCAAGTTCAAAGCCTGTACTTTTTCTACCATACATTGGTACTTTATCTTCTCACCTAAATCCTCTTATTCATCCAGATACTCTGAAATAAGGAGAGGTGAGGTGTGCTCAGGAGACCAAGTGCTGGACCCGATCCCAGCCACTGTCCGGCTGCCTCAATTTCATTATCCTTATATTGATATTTAAGGGCTCTTCTAAGCTGTGAAAGGCCATGACCTTACAATTCTTAAAAACACTATGCAAGTTCAAATACGGAAAACCTCAGGCCCAAAGAACATAAAAGAGTCATCCAAAATTGCAAAGAAAGCAGGCCCCAGAACCAACTTAGAATTATCTAACTTTCTGTATAGTAGAGAGCAACATCTACCAGCCAAGGATACGTGGTGTCCGTTACAATCACTAAGAGAAAAAAAGGAGCTAGGAAACAGAGAGTCACTGTTATAAACGAACAGCCTCATCTGCACACACAGGCTGAGGCCACCTGGAAGTCATTTAGAACCATCTTGAACTCCTGGTCAAAGACTAATTCAAATGTTTAAGATTTGCCTCAAACCCAATCAACTCGACCAACTGTCGGAGTTCCCCATCCTCCTCTGAAACAGAAAGCTGTTTGTGTCGGTGCATTGCTGAATGAAAGCCCAGACTGGCCTTGTTTACAACCAACACAAAATAATAGAACCCAGATAGATGGGCTCTGTTAGAATAAATGTGTGGACAGGACGTCTTCACAACAGAAGGTGACAAAACAAACAAAATTGGGTTGTTGAGAGCAAACTATAGTTTTTTATTCAATTAAGACAGTTGGCAATAAGCTGCTCAAGGACTGGGAAAGTTGGCTTACAATGTCCCAATGCCTAGTGAATCTGCGGCTACTTGTTGCAATTGTTGGTGACACAAAGAACCTGATTTTTCAAACCATGTTAAAACAAGTGGTGGTCCATTGTCTGTATCTTCCCATCTCCCCAAAGACCAAGGCTGCATTTGGTAGGGTGTAAATAAGTCTATAGGAAGTTTCAGTATTTACAACCATTGGCACTCAGAATCCATTAAACATCTTAAAACATACTTATTTCTGATAAGAAGAACGAATGTATCATGCATGTTACATGAGTTTCTGCTCCAGTAACAGCCATCGCCTGGAATACTTTTGATCTATTGGTGTTAGAAGTCTGACAGTGTTTCAAAAAATTCCTCACCGAACCCTTGCTCACTTTCATAAAACTCAAAGCTGCCTAACTGATTGCCATATTAATCTACTTATTATTCAGCCTATGCATTTCATTTCTAATTGAGAACAACTTCAGAGTGCTAGTAGAGTTTCCAAATGACAATTCTGGGAGGCATGTCTGAGATATCCTGATTCTATCACAGACACTGAGCTTGGAAAGACTGATCAGTTTGTACAATTTTCCTTCAAGTGGTTAGGTATGAGTAGAATGCATTACATATTCTTTTTCTGGATTTTTCTATCTTCTGAGTAACTTACTAGCTCTTTGATTTTAAATGGCTGGTAAATAATGCATACTTCATAAATAGTTTTGTTTTTTTTTTTAATTATAAGGATAGAAGAAATTGACTTTAATCCAGCCTAAAGAATTTAGAGAAAAAGAAGAATCCTTTGCATGGTAGGATTCATCTGTAACTACAATGGTGAAATCAATGTGATAAACAATCATGGAACTAGAATATCAGTTTCAAATATAGGTCATTATCCTATGATTTATTCTTTGACTCAGACAGAACTTTTCTGACTCATCAAGACCTGCTGGAACACCTGATCAAAAGCATTAGCCAAACATAAGTGGAGCAGAACAGATGAATTAGGTACTGAAATGAGAAATGTACTGCCTCATTTCTTACAAAGCACAGGACTATTAGGAAGTGCATGAGGGAAAAGAAATATGACTATAAACACAATTTGAATGATTAATGACACAGAAGAAAAAACAAAGCATAAAGAAAGAACACTGAAAAATAAAAAGCAGATTTGAAAAAGAACCAAACAGAACTTCTAGATACAAAAAACAAGCTCATATTGCTCAATAGATACGTGAAACAGCAGATTAGATTCAGCTGAAAATAGAATTGTTGAACCGGAAGACAAATCTGAAAAAGTTTAACTCAGATTCTAGCACACTCATAAAGACAACAAACATATTTAATGCAAACGAGAGGCATGAACAGCAGAATGAGGCAGTCCAACAAATCACTAACAGTAATTGCTGAAGGTAGGACCAGAGAAAGTAGTAAGCAGGCATAGCTGAAGAGTCAGTGGCTGTAATTTCTCAGAATTGGGGAACAAAAATAATAAATCCTCAGATCTTAAAAAGAAAACAAGTCTCAGGCATGGTAAATAAATTCACATCCAGGTAGGTGAAACTGCATAATAAAAATGACAAAAAAACAAAACAAAACAAACAAACAAAAAAATACCTTAAAGATAACTAGGAAGGAAAGAATATCTGCTATTTAAACAGATGACCTGACAGCAGAATATATATCAGCACAAAAGAGGCTGGAAAAAATGAAATAATTCTATCAAAATAACCTAGAAACCCAGACTGACCTGAATTCAAGATTGAGGGTAAAATAAAGAAAATAAAAACATATTTATACTAATAAAACCTTGAAAGAGTTTCCCACTCACAGACTCCTGCTGCAAGAACCACAGAAGGATGCACATCGAAAGGAGGCATTAGACACAAGAAGCAAAGGTTGCTGGGAAACAGTTATGTACCTATAAATAAGTCTGGTTATTAAAAATAATGACTAATTTTAGGATTTTTAAAATGTAAAATGGAGAGCAAAGGAGAAAAGTAAGGAATATTCCCAGCAGAAAGTATGGCTCTGAGCTGATGCCAACAGGAGGTCAGCCAGCCTTGACCTGTTTCTTCTGGCAGTGCGTGTAGCTTAATTGAGTAGGTCAGAAAATGAAGTGTCACGCCACACATCATAATGAGCTCACATCCGACCTCCAACTATTCTGCGATGAAGGAGAAAGAGAATTATCCTTAAAAGGTCTGGGAGAACAGCCATCGGAACAAGGCTGGAGGTTGAGCCGCAAGTTTTCCCCAGTTAGCCTTGCCAGCAGAAATATCAGAGATTAAACCACGAGTTTATGACATGTTCTCCCATAGAAATGAAGTTATCAAATCATTCTGGAAGACCAGCACACGCTGCTGAAACACGAGTTTGACTAATGTGGTTGTGATAACAAGATGTTCAATCACACTGCAATTTATAAACTGAAATGCCCAAGTGCACCCTTCTAATTTATTAACTAATTATCCATCCAAACCCAAAGCTTCCAAACAGCATTCATGTGTTTTCTGGGCTGATGGCAGCTCCTTCATGGACCTTGGTTTTTCCTCTTTCTGCAGGCCATACTTGCATACAGAGAGAAGCATTTTCCTGCAGTCTTTCCAGAAGCAGAGGTGCCGACACTGAGACTGCACCGGAAAGAATATGGGTGAACTTTCCAAGGGGGCAGAATTTGGGAACATCACAGAATATCCTGTGTGGTGTATATGGCATTTGAAGAGATACATTTACTTTCTTAAGGCCAGGTAAGGTCACCTCTAAACTAAAACAAATAAGAGTACAGCAGTTGTGTAAAATTACTCAATCTGCAAAGGTTCTCTGAGCACATACCCTACCACGTGCTGGGCACTGCGGAGAACACAAAGGAGTAAAAGACAAGGCCATCTCTGTTCTTCAGGAACCAAGGCTAACCCAGAGCATAACGCACAGTATTTTACACTTAAGTTTGGGATTTAACAGATCTACCTTCTTGGCATTTGCTTTTACAAATTAGGAGGCATGCTTCGAGCCACCAGATGCTGGGCAGTGTAGGAGGTGTCTGGGTACCCTGGGGGCAAAGGCGGTTAAGACGTGGGATTAAAAATCACTCCAATAATTCACAAGACTAATGACGTTGACCCCAGATGATTGAGAAGTTGACTCACCCGCGAATTGCAAAATGAAGCCTGAATTATCAGGGTGTAAAAGCAGATCTGCCCTGATCATAAAATGGTTAAAGGAAACATCTTTATCTCCTCTGCCCAAAATCACTAGAGGGGTTTGAGAACTGAGTAACAACTTCCAGAGGAGGCTATAGAGCAACTTTACTCATCAGATAACAAAATCTGGTGGTTTTTTCCTTAATTTTTATTGTATTTTTTCATCAACTTATAATCACATATAATTATGGGGTACGAGGTGATGGTTATTAAACAGAAATTGTTTTCATTGCCCCACAACCTCCCCAACTCCTGGAAGTACTGACCAGTACAGTTGGCTTCGTCAGACCAGTCCCTGCAGTCGTTGTCCCCGTCACACACCCAGGAGGAGCGGATGCACATGCCAGAGCTGCAGTTGTATTCGTCACTCCGGCACTGGTGCATTTCTGCAGGCGAGAGCACAAACAGATGTTAGGACAAGAGCTCACTCAAAATTCCATCCCTGGTGCAAAACTCTTAAGGGTCACAGACGGATCTATTATCACTGATTATCTGTAGAAAACACAGACAACCAGGCAAGTAAGGTCGCCTAAGATAGTTTCCAATGAATATGATGCAAATGGGTTACAGGTACGAGATACTGATACCTTCAGACTCTTACACCTGGTTGCCTTTTGGCAAGGGCAGCCTTGTCCATTCATCCCAGTGCACTCCACAAGTATTATCATTTTCTATGCTCACTCTGATGGGAAGAAGGTTAGGAAGCAGTGAATGAGGAGGCCAGGGAATAGAACTTTCAAGAAACAGAACACTCCTAGAGACACGGCCTGTGGTTTGAGAAAAGGAATACTGCAAGGTCCTCGTGTGCTGATCGCTGTGAGATGCTCAGCTCAGGGGAAGCGAGATTAGTGCTGAGCTTCTACAACGGAGGAAACGTAGCTCTGGACTTTCTGTGGGCAGAGCTCCAGGGATGTGGGTAGAGGTACTGTCCCTGGAAGGGTGGGGACCTGGTACAAACAAACCAGTCCAGCTTGACCAAGACATGAAAGGAGGCCGCCCTGGCAACATCTTTCAAAGCTCCTGAGGAGATCATTTAAACAAAATGCTATGGTCTGAATTTACTACACACAGTAGAAATTTATTTCTCATAGTTCTAGAGGACAGGAAAATTCAAGGGTATAAACTTCACATGTTGAAACTTACAGTTCCTATGTTGAAACTTAATCACTAATGTGACAGTATTAAGAGGTGGGGCCTTTATGAGGTAATAAAGTCGTGAGGGTAGAGCCCTCGTCAATGGGATTCGTGACCCCATAAAAGAGGTGCGAGGGAGCCGGTCACCCCTTCTGCCACGTGAGGACGCAGAGAAGGCATCACCTATGAGGAACAGGCCCTCGTCAGACTCCAAAACTGCTGGTATCTGATCTTGGACTTCACAGCCTCCAGAACTGTGAGAAATAAATTTCTATTGTTTATAAATCACCCAGTCTAAGGTATTGTGTTACAGCAGCCCTGAATGAACTGAGGCACAGAACTTTGGCACAGAATTTATAGAGCATCAGAAAACAGGAGTAGCCAAGCATGGGGCCCAGGGCAGCCGTCCCGGTCACTCTCCCCAAGAGACAGGCTGACGGTGAAGTTGGTGAATCAGATATTTATGAGGAAAGTGTGCGGAGACTTATGAAGAGGTCCTGCATCAGAGGAAGGGACTAACTGGGACCTTGGGAGGAATTCGGGACAAACTAGCAAGAATGGGCCATGAACAGAGGGAAGAATGAAGCTGTTGAACAGTCAAATGTGCGCCCAGTGTGTGGGGTAGAAGACCCCAGAAACGTGGAACCACGTGGAGTTTCTCGCCTATGGAGCAAAACCAGCTGCACACTTCGCCCTTCTCAGAGCTGGGGAGAAGATGGTAGGAAAGAAGGGAAAACACTTGTGAGTTCCAGACATGTTATCTGGCACTTGATGAAGGAAAACTATGGAATTTAAAAAAAGAAATTCCCCCAAGTGCCAGGCTGGGAGCATCTTTCGTGTGAAGGTGGCCCTGCCTGTGCTGTGTTAGTTAACATGCATTAGGATGATTTACGAGCAGCCCCTGCCCCGCTAATTCCAGGCCCTGTGAGGGAAACCACGTGCTCATAAGAAAGCAGGCCCTGTCCGTGTGCACACGCACAGTGTGGCTGGATCTGCCCCGTGGACAGGGAGAGGAGGCCAGGCAGGGCCAGGCTAGCTTATCGCCAGATCACCTGGCTTCTACTCTCGCTTCCCTCCCACACCTCAATCCCACACACTATGCATATCACATAATGTCTCCTTCAACAGCGAGCAACTATGAGCTTGGGACCAGAGCCTCTTAACTAAGGTAGGTCTCATGAAACTGACAGGGCAGTACGTCACAACAGAAAGAGCGTGGAATTAGAGAACAGGAGAGATGGATTCCAGTTCCCCATTCCGATACAAACTAACTGTGTCACCCTGAATAACCCCCCTGACATCTGCAGACCCCAGTCACTTAATGGAGCAATTAGGACTGGACTAGAGAATCCTTATCATTCCTTCCATTATAACCCATTGTTTCTCTAAATATAAACATTTCCATTCAGTAAACAGATACTCAGTCAATGCCTATACCATCTGCTGACTTCTAACAGAGCTTATTGAATTAAACTGGTTAAAAAAAAAACAAACAGTTCACAAAGGTACAGATCTGTGTCTTTAGCACACTAATTTCACACCCATTCAGAGATATGGGCCAAGTCTGTACAGCTGTCAATAACTGAATTCATTCAGAAATCTTACTTCCTTACTAATTGCCTTTCATTTTTACAGCATCTCTCCAATCACCAAGCGAAGCAGGGTCATTTCCCCATCTTTCAGATTAGAAAACAGAGGCTAACCCAAGAGTAAATAAATGACAGGAACGGAGTCTAGGGCCATGAATCCAGGGTCCCATTAACTCTAGATCAAGTGTTTCCGGCAGAATTGAATCCTCATGAAAAGTAGCAAACAACCTCTTAAGAAATGAATGGAGGAAGGAAATGACCCAACCCTACCACGTGGATGGAGATGGTCATTCAGCTGGAATGTCGTAAATCCTGCAATGGCTATCAGAAACCCTCCACCTCCAACCCACCCTGTCCATCGGCACAGCCCAGTGAGCAAGCATGATGACCCCCTCTCCAGAACGCGGTTTCTGGATGGCATGTCCCCTTACCACAATGACTTTCATCACTGTTGTCTCCACAGTCATCCTCAAGGTCACATTTATAGGACAGTGGGATACAAGTCCCAGACTCCTGGCAACGAAACTGGGTGTCCAGATCACATATGGTGGTAGCTAAATGGGAGAGAAAGACATATTCCATTAGGTAAAATTAATTCCCCTTAGATACAAACATCCTACTGGAACACCAGTTACAAAATAGAAGGAAGCAGATTTGAACTCTAGCAACAAAAATTAAACTTAGACTTACAGAAGAAATAAACTGCGTGAGAAACTGAAATTTACAACCAAGGGAGATAAAGGTGTATCTTTCGTGGACAGCTTCCAGATCAGAACAGGGCTGGGAAAAGTGAGAAACTGTCGTCTGGCTGAGAGAGTGATGGGCTAGATCACCTCCTAAGATCCCTTCGGACATGAAGGTGTCTTCTTAAGTAAGTGGCACAAATACCTTTATCTACAAAACTACTACTAGGGAATCCCAATTTCACTCAGGCAGCTGGCACCTCATCGTCTAGCTGGAGAAGGCAGTGGAGGTAGAGTTCTGTAGTGGAAACACGGGTTCTGCCTGCAGTCAGTCAAGACTGGGCTTCAGGCTGGGCACGGTGGCTCACACCTGTATTCCTAGCACTCTGGGAGGCTGAGGTAGGAGGACTGCTCGAGCTCAGGCGTGCGAGACCAGAGTGAGCAAGAGCAAGACCTCGTCTCTACTAAAAATGGAAAAATTAGCTGGGTGTGGTAGCGAGTGCCTATAGTCCCAACTATTTAGGAGGCTGAGGCAGGAGGATGGCTTGAGCCCAGGAGTTTGAGGTTGCTGTGAGCTAGGCTGATGCCATGGCACTCTAGCCCAGGCAACAGGGAGAGACTTTGTCTCAAAAAAAAAAAAAAAAGACTGGGCTTCAAATCCAGGCTCTACCTCTTCCCTCCAGCAATTAATTTTAATGTCCATAAGGCTCGGTTTCCTCAACAGTAAAATGAGGGTTAGGAAATGTGGCCAAGCACCTGTGATCTCAGTCAGAAAGACTAGATTTGAATCCTGATTCTACTACCTACAACTTACACAAGTGAACCATTCCATGCCTCCATTCTCTCTACCACAAAATGGAGATAACACCTACCTGGTAGCACTGTTAGGAAGATAATAAGGGAACAGGTTTGGGACCAGACCCTACTAAACAGGCTGTAAATATAATGGGCTCTAAACAAATGTCACTTCTCTTCCTCAGCATTCGCATGCCCTTTTGGCATCAGAATGAGCACAGAACTACATTTTCTCTGTCTCCTATACAGAAATTTCTTGTGCTTAAGCACAATCCCTGGAACCCAGAAAAAGACACCCCAGGAAAGGTGCGAGGAAGGCAGGCTGCTGTCGGGAGCGGTGAGGTGCTACACCGACGGTGAAATGTGGCAGAACAGAATCCTGGGACGGAGGGTGGGGTGTGCGTGCGATGAAACGCCAAACGGCGGCACTGCTGTTAGACATCCCGGCAGCTTTTATTTGAGGCTCCATTTCTTCTCTGTAATTGAGCTCGTGGTGGGAGGCAGGGGATGAATGCAAAATGACAAGACTGCAGGGGATTCACGTCAAAACCCCAAGTGCCTGACAACCACCCAGCTGGAGAAGTCTGTTTAAGAGGGAGGGAAATCTACTGACAACATCCCTCCCACGTCCCTCCGTCCTCCCTCCTCTTCTGTTCCCTGGCAGCTGATGGGGAACCTCACTTCCATCCCCATCCAGCAGTACCCAGTCTCACGGCCTGTCCTCCTCCTGCAGCCCTGCCTGCGAACAGGGCGCCTCTCGCCATCTCGATAAGCACCTCCCTCCTCCACGTGCAACTTCCCTGATAAGGGAGCCACGCGTGAAGGCACAGATAAGCCCCTCTCTCTCGACTCCCAGGCTCCGTGTTTCATATCCCTCCATTCCTCATCTCCATGCCTCTGCCCCGTATGACCTGTGGGGACCTGAGCCAAGGGGAAGCGGGAAGGAGCAGAAAAGAGAGCAAGTCCCGGGGACTCCGGAAAGTCAATCCCAGCTGACACTCACACCAAGCGAGGAGGAGGGCAGCACCAGCACCGAACTTCACCCAGAGCAGGACCTTAAACTCTATGTTTAAGAAAACTGAAGAGGGAAACGGAGCTCAGAGGCTGAGCAGAAGGAAGCCACTGAGGGCAGGAGGCCGCTCCCAAAATATGGAGGCCTTCATTTCTCTCAAATCTCGGAACCAATACAAGATCCAGCTTGTCCATTTATTAGAAACCAAGCCCAAGGGCACGAGGAGGAATGACGTGCCACCTGTGTCCCTAGCTATTGGCTATGAGGTCATCTGGTGTGTATCTAGCTGCCTCCGCTGTGCCTATGACTGGGCAATTTCCTTGCAAAGTATTAATTCTAAGAAGTATCTCTTTCCCCACCCCAATATGTAATAAACTCCTTTTCACGATCTGCTTCAACGCTGTTAATAAGCATAAATGTTTTTAAAGAGCTTTGGCTATTGCCCCGCAATTATCACACCTTCCTGCCACTCTGGGTAGGTAGAGAAGGCTTTACAGGCCTTTTCTGCAGAAAAGACAGACACAGAGAGGCTTTCCAAAACCTGCCATTCAACAAGCTCTTCTCCCTCGGGGTGAAAGGCATCCACTGAGGCCAAGGGAAAATAATCGAGGCTTTGCAAATAACCTCCTATCAGCCAAAAGGGGCAGACGACAGGACCATAGGGCCCAGACAAGTTTGAGGGGCTGAATACTTCTCAAGTTGCCTTCTGGATGAAGTGGCATGGGACCCTGGCACAGGCTCCACGGGTGACAGGCTACGTATCTGCCAGGGGCCAGTTGAGTATCTAGAGCCTCTCATCAATCTGCTCTTACAGGACAAATTGGAAATGAGCCTCGGGGTTGCCAAAGGTAAAACACGTGAAAGAGGGGACCTCTAACCTGGTTTATCGCTTCCCTGCCTCTGGTCTTTCTTTCCCCAATGCACTCTGCTCACTGCTTATCTTTCCCAAGGTGAAATCGTATCATGGTTCCCAACTGCTCCTCCAATAACGTCCTCAAGGCCCTTGCTGACCTGGGCCCTGCGCACCCATCCAGCCTCACCTTGCCCCCCTGGGCCCACCCAATGTTTCCCGGCCATGCCAACTCTCCCCTGCTTGTCCTGTGCCTACGACATTCCTCCCTCCACCTCTGCGTGGTTCACCCAGGCACCCGACAGGGCCCTTCATTAGTGCCGACCCAAGTCTGACTTGGGTGCCTGTCCCACACGCACACGGCACGTCCCCATCACAGCACTCAGGGCTCCACTGTAGCTGCAGGCCTACCTTCCTGACGCCCACCTCAGACTGCGGACCCCGTCTCCACCTTGATCACCAATATACACCCAAGCCCAGCACAGAGTCCGGAACAGACGGTGTGCAATACACACTTGAATGTATGACTGACAGAAGGGCAAATCACCTCCTTATAATGTCAAAGCTATTAAAAATTAAGTGAAGAAAGGAGAAAATTTGTGGTTGACAAATTATCTGTTATAAGAGGTTGTTTTTTGTTAAATCCTGATAAACAGGGTCATATACTTTAGTTAGTAACTTAAAAATTATACAGTCCAAAGATGACATTTACATGGCACGCATACCAATGTCCCCACATTCTAGGCCAAACTACACACTACTAACCAACTAAACAATCTCTCTTGAGCCCGGTAAGCAGCCAACATCAACTCATTGGAATGCCACACAAGGTAATACCTGTTCCCCACCCCTGAAAAGGCTGAATATTGAATTTACAAATCAAACACTGTTATCTGGTCACCCGTCTAAGCCACCAGCGTTATTACAGTGCCAGAGCCAAGATTAGAGCCCAGATGACCAAATCCGCTCAGTTTCAGCCATGTGATGTTTATTTATACATCTCCTGTAATGAGTAGGCAACTAACTCATGTGGGTTGTTTTAAAAATAACATGTACCTAAAATTCATACTATGTATCTAACATATATATCCATATTTGGAAATGTTTTCTCCACCATCCAAGCCTTATCAACTTAGATGGGCATCACCAGTAATGGGCTTCTCACCCTGGACCTCAGGCCCCCGCGCGGGAAAAGCTGACCAGCCTTCCCAACGGTAAACGCTCACGTGCTGGTGACCCGGCAAAGCCAGGAGACTCACGGCAGTTCCTCTCGTCGCTCATGTCTCCGCAGTCGTTGTCGAAGTCACACCACCAAATGCTGTTGATACAGTTCCCGTTGCTGCAGCGATACTGGTTGCGGAGACAGGTGTTCTCTAACCATTGGGGAAACGAAACCAGCATTATTCTTACTGCTCAACCACAGGACTTTCTCTTTAGAGTTTCCATTTCTCTTCCTCAAATAACATCGTGCCTTTATGGTAAAGGGACAGGAAGAATGCCAAGCACGCTGTACACAGGGAAGGAGGCAGCCGACAGTAGCCCTCCTTCTTTTCTCTCTTAATTAAAAGTGAAGGAGTAGAGGCAGGCCAGAAGGAAGGAATGTTTAGAGGTGGTGACAATGATGGGAAAGAATAATGATGATGCCAGTTGGGCCCACTGAGTAGAGAATACACCACATCAACATTATAAAATGCTAATTACACAGGAACTCCTTAGTGGATTGTCTCCACAGTATTAAAACATACATATTCAATGTATCTATAGCTATATTTTTATGTAGTTATATATATCCTAATTCATTTAATTTATCAACCAAATGAGTTAGGAAGATTTTTTCTGTGTACTGAGAAATTTTTCTGCCCCCTGCCGGCTTTAAAGCAAGCACTTATAATTCCTTGCAGAAAAAAATGCATTGTTTGGCCAACTGGGTCAAGGACACGTGATGACTGGCCTCTTATTTGGTTAATCAATGGCATTCTGCCGGGGAATATGGAGGAGCCTTTTTCGCCACCTCTTGGAATTTAGTGTTGACTCTATTGGTTTCCAAATAGCTTTAAGATGACATGGCGAGACTGAGAGAGAAAGTCTCTTGTTTCTAAGAAAGGAAGGTTCATCTTTTCTCCAATTGTATTTCTTAAGGAAAATCAACTCTAAGCCTTCTTTTGTGTAACTCACTGCCTTGGACTCAGAGGCTGCTGTGAGCAGTCAGGTTAGGATTACAAAGCAAATGTAACCTTGGGAACAAGGCAAGGCAGGGTTTTTGCCACCAACCGAGGCGCTGCATGGCAAGGTGTCCTTCCAGGGCTTCACGTCATTGACAGAAATACGAGGCTGGGGACCAGGGATGTGATAAGGGTAAAAACTAGGCAGCAAGGAAAATCACATAGGTTTTCAGAGGGAAAAAAATTTAAATCCGTACATTCAAATTCAAAAGAGGAGTAGGCGTGAGGCTGTTACAGCCACTTGGTCACAGTTTGGACGTCAAGACTCAAATCCCTTTGCAGACACTGGTCTGGACGTTCAGGGTATTTGGGGCTGGGCTGGGCTGGGGCGAGAAGAAGGATGACTGCTAGGTGTGAGTAAGTCAACTGTGAAGGAGTCACACTAGCTATTGTTCCAAGTCAGGTTGGTCCAACTCACACGAAGCAAGAGAACATGGAGAACCTAAGAAGTGAGGGATAAGGAGGAGCAGCAGCAGCAAAAGAAAAGGAAGGTGGGCCCTGAATAAAGCCCATGTCATCCGACATAAAACCAAAAGCACAGCTGTTATTTTTAAATGAACAGCCTAGGCCTGTTCCGACTGAGGCCCAGAACCCAAACCAGGATTCTTGCACGTATCCGGTGGATCTGACTTTTACTTTGGACTTTTTCCAACAACACAGAAAAAGTTGGGAAACAGAGAGCACTGGGAGGGAGGAGGGATGGAAGGAAGGAGGGGGAGAGGATGATGGGCAGAAAAGAAAAAGGGATGTACCTTCTTTGACACAGGTGTTGTTCTTCAGCTGATAGCCCTGAGGGCAGTCACACATCAGGTCCCCGGAAGGGAGCACACTGCTGGACACACCCTCTGGACACCTGCAGCTTTTACTGTCGTTGGCCTTGGGCAGGCACAGCAGGCTGCATGGCCTGGGCACACAGGCATTGCTTCCTGGAGAGAAGACAAACAGCAGGAGGTGATGGGTTAACACATGCCACAAGGGAGGCCCTGAGTGGAAGAATGAGACCCACTGCACCCTCCTCGTCTTGTGGACGTGACAACGGGAAGCTCAGAAGGGTCAAGAGGCAAACTTTGGGGCACCTGCCGTGCTGACAACCTCTGCTTGCTTGGTGCCCTGAGCAAGGGCCTGACCCACACAGCCATGGTCTAACCCCAGCTAGATCAGACCCGGAGCCAAACTAGGCATCGGATGTTCCTCCTGGGAATTCTGGAATTGGGTTACTGAAAGAGAAGACAGAGACTAAGGAGCTAGAGCTGGGGAAAGGGTCACAGAGGGTGGGTGGCAAAGGTGGCGAATCACAAGCCAAAACCTGGCGGAAGTCAAAGCTGTGCAGAAACAAACCCTGGGGTATGCAGACAAGGTCAATTTGCAGAGTTAGGAGACTAAAGGAGACTTATGGAGGGAAGAGAGGATGACACCAGGGACTCAGCAAGAGAGAAAAGGTGGCCTTGCCATTGCTAGTCCAGGTCCCCTATGGTTCACCTAGACTTCCACCTTTGGGTTCCTTGCTATCTCCCTTTATTTTTCAATAACACTTTTCACTTGATCTAGCTTGAGTGGGTTTCTGTTCCTTAAGACCCAAAATTAGAATACCTGGGTAATGGTGGGGCAGGACAAAAATCCAGGCTCCCTTTCTCAACTCCGTTGTGCCAGGGCACAGGTGAGGTGCTAAATGAGGAGCCAACCACGGTACCCACTAGCCACCGTCAGGCAACGGATCCACACGAGGACCGGTTCACGCTGATCCAGCCACTACTGCCAGTCTTTTCTCTGGCTCAGCATGCCAAAGAGAGTGCCAGATACAGTCGATAAAATCCATCACTGCACTCTTGAGAGAGGCTTTGTGGATGGGCGAAGATGGCAAAGGTGTTTTCCCATCCCCTGCATCTTTCCTGGGATATGGGGTAGGAGGGTGCATAAATCATTTTGTAACAACTGGAAACAAGACACAACTATGCAGTCACAGAAAAGCCACAGAAATTGTGAAATGTCTGTGTTTTCTTTTGCTTGTGACTATTAATCACAAAAATGGGAAAAATAAACATAAAAGCTTTGATAAAACTCAACTGCTAATTCTTCAGTTGTGCCATCTCATGGACAGAGACAACCTCCCCCCACCAGAATAATATGCAAAAAATATTTCCATCCAGCCAAGTTTTCAGATCAGTCACGCCCATCCTGGCCTGCAGGCCGGAAAACAGGGTTCACCGAGGACAACCGTTATTGCTATGGGTGATGATACACCCAGTAGCTTTGGGTGTGCGGGCGCCTCATCGGTTATTAACTGACATTGCAAATAAAACATGAAAATCACAATGCTATCTCAATAATGTTATTGTGATGCCAAGGAAAAGAGAGTAAGAGGCATTATTAAATAGATAAGGAAGAGAAGTCCATGTGATGAAACATTCAAAAAGGTTCAGCAAACGACTCCATCAAACTATAATGACTTGATTACCAGAGTGGATTAACCAGTTGACGAGAGCAGAAGTCCCAGACCGCGGTTCACCCTGATTAGTCGTGGGCACAGACTGCTCCTTTAGCTCAAATGTACAAGCCACTGGCTACAAGAGGGAAGGTGGAATTGACACAGAGCCACCACTAATGAAAAACCACCCAAAAAAGGATGTGGAAAATGTACTTTATATTCAAAGGACAACATATCACTCAATGTTCCAAGATATTGAACAACAATAAAATATGATGTTAGTTAAAAATACTCAATCACGGGATCATATTTTTCACAAGGATTATGTCTGTGAAGTAACGTGACTAACATTTTCATATGCAGAGCAAATGTTCCTACCCAAACAGACAAGAGCTAAGAGTACAGAACTCAAAATGGGGTGTCATATTTCAGGAGGCTGATCTAGCCAAAGATGAACAAAACTGCCTGAGATGCAGTATCCAGGAGCAAATCCCAAACCAAGCCAACCAACTCATTACAAGAGGTAGGCAGAGCAGGAGTGTCCAGGCTGGTACGAAGCCACAGAACAGAAATGGGAGCGCTACATCAGAGAGAACATGGAAGAGGATGGAAGGAGAATTCAGCAGAATTCCCATGACAGCCACAGACCCTTTATCCAGGATGCCAATCATCTTGGGTTGGGGAGGCAGGCAATGTAAAGACCATCATCCCAAGGTGAAGAGTGGACAAGTGACAGCTATCATCTACAAAGATGCTCCCTTACAAGAACAAACACTTAGGCCCATGACGGCTTCGCTGGGCATATTCAGAACAAATTTTTAGATTTCCTCTTTGGAAAATTCTTCCAGAACCAGTTTAGGAGCCAAAAATGTAATTATCTCACTGAAGTGTCTATACGCTTGACAATTATCAAAATCAAATACACTCCAAATAATAAATATTTGCCCTCATTATATATATTTAAAAGCATGTACTTACTGCAGGCTCTGAAGGAGAATTCCAAAGCTCCAAAAGACTAAAGCCATTGCAGGAGCAATTGAATACATTGATAATCTTACAAAGTAACCTCTTTAAAGGAAAAATACTTTTGACAAAGAATAAATCCCAAAAATATTACTTAAAAATCAGCCAGGTATAAAAACAAAAAATGTACCCATTTATAACCAAATACCACAAACTGATATAAATGTTCCAAGTGAACAAAATTTTTATTACAAACTGGCATCAATCAAAATCTAGCACAGTGCTTCTAAATTGCTGTCATATTACCAGGGCTCTGCTAGTCCAACAACAGAACACAGAGAGAGCAGAAACTAGTAGTTTTTATTGAAGTTCAAGCTTTAAAGTCAACTAGGCCATAGTTCAAATTATTGCCACTCCCTAAAAGTGTGACATAGACAAGTTACTAAACCTGACTTTTACGTTCTTGTTATAAAGTAGAAATATTAATAGTATACATGGAAGTCTTTGGGAAGACTAAGTGAGGTTACACAAGCCCACAAAGCACATTACTGTGGTGCTTATGACACAGCAACCCCTCAATAAATGTAGTTATTATTATTTTTCTTTTACAACTTGGCTAATACAGTGGTCCCCCCTTGTCTGCGGGGGGTACATTCCAAGACCCACAGCTGATGGCCTGAAATCACAGCTAGTACCAAACACTATAGATGACATGCATGAATTTCTCTTTCCCTCTTCATAATTTCACAAATAGAAGATTTATTCTTATAGCAGATTTTCACAACCTTAGCATAGGATTTTTTTCCTTTCCTTATTAAGTCGAGAACTTTTATCTTTTCACTTAAAGGATGCACTTTCTAGGCCGGGCGCGGTGGCTCACACCTGTAATCCTAGCACCCTGGGAGGCTGAGGCGGGAGGATCCCTCAAGGTCAGGAGTTCAAGATCAGCCTGAACAAGAGCGAGACTCCGTCTCTACTAAAAATAGAAAGAAATTATCTGGACAACTAAAAATATATATAGAAAAAATTAGCTGGGCATGGTGGCGCATGCCTGTAGTCCTAGCTATTTGGGAGGCTGAGGCAGGAGGATCCCTTGAGCCCAGGAGTTTGAGGTTGCTGTGAGCTAGGCTGATGCAACGACACTCTAGCCTGGGCAACAGAGTGAGACTCTGTCTCAAAAAAAGAAAAAGAAAAAAACAAAAGGATGCACTTTCTGGCTTCTCTTCGGCATATCTGAACTGTCAGCCTCACTACTCTTGAGTTTTGGGGCTATTATGAAGAAAAATAAGGGTGACCTGAACACAAGCACTGTGATATCGGGGCAGTCGATCTGGTGAGCGAGATGGCTACGACGTGGGTAGAGTAGACAGCGTGATCTGCTGGTCAAAGGGATGATTCGTGTCCTCCATGGGACAGAGTAGAGTGGCCGAAAATTTCATCATGTTACTCAGAATGGCACACTAATTCAAAAGTTAGTAATTGATAATTTCTGTACTTTTCTATTTATTGATATTATTTTCAAACAGTGGTTGACTGCAGGGAACTAGAACCATGGAAAGAGAAATTACAGATAAGGGGAACTGCTGCAGAGAGTCTTGAATGTGTTAGGAGCAGTCAACAAAAATAATAAAGCCTGACTGCCATCAGGGGTTGCCAGTATGCACTGTGGATTCGCAGGACCCTCTCAGTGTCCAAAACTGCAGGCAGGTTAGAGCAAACAAGTTGAAGGTCATAGACACGCAGTGTATACAGGCAGTACTGACAACCAGACACCAGAGCAAAAGCTTTCATTGAACCCAAACTGGCCTGAGAGATGACAAACTTGCTTCTCTGGCCCTGTGTTCGGCGACAGGAGGTCTCTTGCTCACAACCAAAGGAGAGTAAGAGAGAATCCCAAAGGCAAATGGAGAAAGGAGCAAAGTGAGGCGGTACTGGCCCTGGGCCAAAGGGACAGTCACAACTGACTCTGCACAGATCCGAGTCTGTGTTCTACCTGCCGGCACACATTTCCCTTTTAAACCAGCCTTTCCTCTACCCAGACCCCACTTCAATCCCCAGAATTACTCTGGCTAGTTTAAATGAAAGCAACTCCTTGAGGCATGAAGGGGACACCACACCCCAGGTGAGACTCGCAGGCTTGTCTGTCCAGCACCAGGCCACCATGTATGGCACATGCTCAGACCACAAATTCCCTCCCCACTGCTCCCTGGTCACGGGCATGACTGCAGGTCAGCTGTGCTCAAGCTGTTGGGATGAAGTGGCCCACCAAGACCAGCGAGTGGGAACCTAGGGACCACCAGCTTCATCTGAACACGGTGTTTGAGAAGCTGCTGTGTGCACAAACGCATGCTTACAAGCACTTGTGAAAATGAAGACCTGCTCTTGTGCACTGGGTGGTAACCTAGAGAAAGGCTGGAAATCCACTCTGCCAGCCAGCAAGGCAGATCACATGGAGCAAGTGTCCGCCATCAACAGAGGCCCCGAGATTTTAGTCACTGGAGCTAAGAAGCAAGATCCCTTCATCTCTCCCCATTTTAACACATTAACTGCCACGTGAGTTGTATTTAACTCACGCTAGTTTTGAGCCCAGGGCCTCATAAAGCAAAACCTGGGCAAAACCCTGCAGTTGGTTCATGAAAACCTTACTTGTTGATGATCTTATTGTTATAATTAATATTGAAAAATGTATTCTAAAAACATGGATTAAATGAATAGAAGTCAGTAAATTTCATTTTTCATTAAATTAGAAAGGATTATTTTGTTTTCAAAGTTTTTATTCTATTTTTGTAACAAAACACCATGGCCCCAAGGAAAAAAATTTTTTTTCTAGTGTGGCAGTCAATGTGTTAAAACAGGCGCCTCGTCTAAGAAAGAATGTGACTTCTCCATATAGTGCCAGAGCTGCAACAAAAGCCAAGCTCCTAAACTAGTCAGGGCACTTTGGGGAAGCTAATTAATATCTAAGATTTAATTTCCTAATCTATAAACCATGGATCATAATATGAGCCCTCCCTGCCTCACAGGTCAGTTGTGAAGACATAACAATACAGACTTGTATTTGTAAGACACTTTACAGTTTTGTAAGGGCGTTCTCATGCGATCTTTGTGGTCCCAAAGGGATAACGATGAGATCTATAACTGTATTATTTCCCCTGTCAATTTTCTCTTAGCACAAGGTCAGCCAAAAGCCACAAAACAATATCAACATTCTAGTTCAAAACAGGAAACCTAGCAGAGTTTGTCAATAAAGGAGAGTCAGCAGACCCGGGATGCTATTTAATCCTGCTGAGATAAAGAGGGAAATTCTTAAAGGGACTATTCTTCTTGGGAATACACTGATCTTTCCCCTTTAGAATGAACAGTATGGTTGGGAGATAAGGAAGGTATAGGACAGTCAAGGAAGGATTAAGGACTCTCTACCAAATAGTCTGAGACTCTAGGCCCTGCAGATCAAAGCCTCATGGCAGTTCTTGAAGCCTCACCCAACAGATCTCTAAGACAACTACTGTTTACACCCATTGCAACTCTTCCCCCTCCCTTTTCATCCCTTCTTTCAACAAATATGAACTGAACACCTACTAAGTTCTAAACACTGGTGGATTGTTGAGGAAAAATAAAAGACATACTCTCCTCCTTCATGGGGTTTAGAGTTTCACGGTAGGGAAAATTAAATAAAGCAACACATCACTACACACACCACTGCAACAGAGGTAGGTACGTTCAACAAGCAATAGGTCATCTGCACAGCTGCAGAACAAGAAGGGAGCCCTGCGAGGAAGCAACAACTGTCTCAGCACTCAGCACGGCGTCGCTCCCTGTAAGTGTGCCAAACGCGGATTAAGCACATGCTGGGACGCTCCCAGCTGCAACAGAAGCCACACCACCAATCAGTAAGGGGCCAAGGGCAGGAGGAGGGTGTAATTACCCACCAAGCACCAACACTCTAGGCAGCAAAAAACATGCTGTCTTCCAGCTGTTTGTGTATCGTCAGAAAAGAAATTAAGATGTCATTAGGAAGAAATTAAATAATGTGCACGTTGTCGTGACAACAAAGACGCAGGCTGCCAGATCCTGCTCCGAGCGGAGATTGCCCACACACAGCCCCTTTCTTGAGATCAACTCTGCAGAGACAAAGGAGGAGACTCTGCCTTACCAGTGTTCTTCCCCTTGTAGAAAATCTTCATGTCCATCAACCCCGTGAGCTGGCTGGCCAGAATCTCCATCTGGGCCCCGCTGTATTTGGAAGCTCGGAATATGCTAAGTTGTGTCCAGTCATCCCAGTAGATTTCATTCTAAAAAGAAAACCTTTGCCTGTTAGTCCAGCTCTTCAGTTCTTTATTCTGGTCTCTCTGTAGGGACAAGAGCTCCCATGTGCGCAGGAGACAACCACCATTTATTGGCTGCATGATCGACCTGATCAAGAGTCCACTTAAATGCAAGAGTCACTGATTTTATCTGAACTTTACCAGATATCCACACAGAAGGAAACGCCCAAAAGCAACTATCTGATAAGCATTCGAGTTTGACCACAAGCCCAGTCCCCTCAGTTTGAAATCTGCTTCCCAGTGTTGAGAAGAGCCATTCTGTTCTCTAGTGTCAAAAGAGAACTGCAAGGCCTCATAGGTAGTGCAGAGCTCACCTGAAGTCATGGGGGAATGCAGTGAGCAAACTCCGCAAGAGATGAAGACACCAAGCCCCCAAATGAGGCTCCTGGCACTGAAGGGCAGGACAAGAATGGTCATGGAAAGTAACCTTCACTTTTAACCTTTGGAAACGTGAACCCCGGCGCCCCTGGCATTCCTTCAAATGAGCTCTTTTTTAAATGTAAGACAGCATCTCTGCAAAAGCCCAGAGATGACAGGTTCTTGTCCTCAGGTGCTCTTCACCAACTCTAGCAGAACGCCTGACAGTGGCCACAAATGGGCTCACCTTAAAGACAGCGATGGCATAGGGGTGTGGGAGGTTATCCAGGATGACCGAGCGCCGCTGGCCGCTGAAAGTGATCCGCTCAATGCAGTCCAGGTAGGCATCCGTCCAGTAGATCCACTGGTCGTCCACGGAGATGCCGTTGGGCCACTTCACATCCTCGGACACAAGACGATATACAGCAGAACCATCCATGTCACTCCGATAAATCCCAGGCTTCAGGTCTCCCCAGTCCGTCCAGAACATCACCCTGGTCAAAATGGAGACAGAACGCACGTCCCATAAAAACTAGAGGAAAGGGAGCTCAAATACTCCTCCAAAAAGGTAAGAAATCCCTCTAGAACAATAAGGCCAGTTATTGCAGCATTATTATATTTAATAATAATCTATAATTGTAATAGTTGAAACCACTTAATTCCTTGACCCAGAAATCCCTCTACTGGAATTTATCTATGGATAGAATCCAATTACGCAAAGATAATATGCAAAGATAATGTACAAAGAAATGTATATATATGTATATCAACCTTAACGTTAATCTGTAGAGAAAGTGCTACATTATGGTGCATACAACAAAATACTATGAAACCTAAAAATCTGTATGTGGTCACATAAAACTATCGTCAATACGTACTAAGTATTTTTTTTAAAGGTACCGAATAGTAAATATACTATGATTCTATTTGCTGTATGTGTGTCTTAAGGATAATACCAGGATGTGAGTAAAAGCAATAGTGAATGATATGCAACAAATTACTGGCAATGATTACACTGAGGAAATGTCAGGGTGAGGGTTAAGAATGAGAACAAAGGAAAAATACTTTTCATTTCATAAACTTCTGTTATCTCTAAATATTTTCAATCAAGTACATACACTAGTTTTAGAATTTTCTTTTAAAAAATAGTGTTAATTCTCAATCATAAATGCTATGAGAGAAGAAAGGCTAATCCAGAATTTTCCTCTTAGTTCTGTTTCCTTCAGGTAATGATTTAATAAAAAGCACCTTTGCATTTGCCAAATGCATACTGATTATAGGAAAACCTACATACACTAAGGAAGCAGGGGAAAGATGGAATGAATTACATGTTTGCACCATGCATGAAACTCAAGAGTCCTCACAACATCCAGGCAGGCCTGCCTATGTCTACAAAGATCCTCTTTTAACATCACCTTTCTAGAGAAACACCCCACAGATGCAAGACATCTGGATGCCTACAGAGATTCTGACGCTTGCTAACAAAAAGCGAATGGAGTTACCTAACTGTGACGACTAAGCTATGGTTTCAAAAATCTCAGTTAATAGATTATTTCAACCACAGTCATGAGAAACAGAGTTTTTGTCCAGCCATTTGTGTTTTCATGAGAGTCTATTGTTGCGGCATTTGACATAATGCTGATTTCCACTTGGGGCTACACTTACCCTTCTTGGGGCACGAGGACCAGAGCCCTGGGCCGATCGAGCACAGAGGAATTGACGATTGTGAGTCGGAAGTCGCCATCTGGATTAGCTACCTGACAAAAACAGAAGGGGAAGGCGGGGTGGATCTGGGCTCCTTAAAAGGCCCACCTTGTCAAAGGCTCCTACTCAGCTTCTGTCTACAGACACCCCTCTATGCGTTTCTGATTCCCCCACCAGACTGATCTGGGAAATGAGCCCTGATTACCAGTCAGAACGAGTTGTTCTTCCCTCTGGCTCATGTGACAATGTCATGGTCTGACAGAGGAGCCAGAACCACGTGTGCCCCCAGTTCCTGGGACATGATGATCTATCTGTACAGAGTAAGCACTCAATAAGAAAAGTACTCAGATAAGGACTTAAGCATTTACTTATTTAATGCACCCACATTAGTCCACATTCCAAAGCCACCAATGGCTCTCCATTGCCCACAAACAAATCCGTGTGTCCTCTTTTTGCTGTGGGGTGTCCAGATGTGGGTCTCATTTTCTCTCCTCCATTTCTGCTGGGTTGGTCATCTCGTGGTTCTCCAAGCCCGATCACATTCCCTCCTGTCTGCTCTTGCCACATCCCTTCCTGGGCCTGTCCGCTCCACTGCTTGCTCTCATCAAGTCGGAACTTTCCTTCGAAACTCACTTTCAGGCCCACCTCCTTTCTAACTCTTCTGATCCACCTCGATCAATAAGCATCAGTGGCTCTGATCATTGACTCACTCACACCACTCTGCATAAACAGTATTTGAGTTGTACAGTGGTTGCCCCACAAGCCTGTGGAAGGACAGACCCTATGCCCCACCTGCATCCTCCTAGCCCCTAGCAAAGTGCTGCCACACACAACGAAGAAAGGAGAGAGAGCAGTAATGAGACCACCAAGGCAATGCGTAGGAGGTGCTGGGCACCGCTCATCGTGTTCATCTGTTAGCGTCCATGTGAGGTGGACACTAAATTATCCTCCCCCCTGGCAGGGCTCAGCTCAGACAGCATATCCTCAAGACACCTCTCTGGTGCCTTTCTAATGTTGCTCCACATCCTATGGCACGACCACATTGCCCTGCTTTACATTCTTCGCAGCCCTTATTACCAACAGAACTGATTTCTTTATTATTTGCTTCCTCCACTTAAATGTGAGCTCCATCAGAACAGGAACTTGTATGTCTCGCCCAGCGCTGCATCCTCAGGACCCAAAACCACACCGGCATGTCTCACGCAAGGGAATAGACGAATCTTCACCTTGCACATGAAGACACTGAGAGCATAAGGACCTTGCCCCCTGTCACTGAGCTAGCGGAGTGAACCCTGAACCCAGGTCTGTCTCTCAGGTCTGTGCCTTTTGTCTTGCAACTCCTCTTGTCTCCCTGTGTGTCCCTGTTTCCACCGTGCTGCCCCTTAACCTGCATGCCACACCTCCACGTGCAGGATAAAGGGGTGCTGAGGCCGTGCCCTCGGCCGGAGTTCAGTGTACCTACGTTCCTCGAGACGACGGTTTTGTTAGTTCAGAGGCCATTCGTTACCCTCACGTTGCCGTGGGTATACAGAGCAGGAGAGGTTACTAGGTAACTAAGTGGCATAGATGTCAAGTGGGGATTAATAACAATAATAATGATAATGATACTGTCATTATTACTCTAACCGACTACAATAATACTACACTATTATTGTTATAGCATTATGATAATGCCAGAGTATTATTATCACTACTGTTATTACACTATGCCTCTGCTAGCCAAAATATAAACTTTTAGGTGTCTTAAAAAATTCTCCGACAGATTCTGGCATCCTGTTTTCATGTGGGCCCTTCATGGCAGTGAAGGGTCACGCTGAGACTTTCCCTTGTTCTCCCTTCTCCAGAGGCTCTGCGGGTCCATTCTGTGGAAATCCTCAGGAAATGTCCACAGCAATTTGATACATGGGCTCCCATCTCTGTGTCAAACCTGGCTCAAAGCCCGGGCGCCCCACCTGCTCCCGTGACTAGGAACACACGTACCTCAATCTTTTTAAAACCAGCGTCCACCCAGTACAGTAACTGGCTGAGGGGTTCAAAAGCCAAAGCTTCTACAGTCTCCAGGCCAGAACTGATGATCACCTCTTGCCCTGTGCTCCCATTCAAACAGAGGCGCTGAAGAGAGAAAAATAAATAATAAATGCTATGAAATGTTCAAATGGCCTCCTGCCCAGTCAGTCCCATGGGGGGTAAACCTCTACTCAGCTGGCAGCACAGGCAAAGGATGAGATGTTTCATGTTAGTTGACTTTCCAGATACGTGAAGCCAGGTTTTAATAAAGGCATTTTAAAAACGTATTGTGGTTTCCTTTTTCAAACAGAACAATTAAACAGAATGTAACCGTATATATTATTCCACATTATCACGATGAACACTGGTTACTAAACTATGGTGTATCACAATAATGAGGTTGGAAATTTCTGAGATGTATGAGTCTGTTTGCTTTTAAGACAAATGAAACCAGATTGCTGTGATTTTTAAGTTCTTCTGTCTGCTTTTATACCCTTTCTTCCCGTGAGGCTCTTGGCCATCAGGTGCTGTTGTTGGGACAGCTATGCTCAATGGTCACTGCCATCCCCTACCGAGCCTCCCCAAATACCCAGACACTGTAAAATTTCTATTGGGTTGGAAGTCTAGATAAAACTTGGAATTGCTCTTCTAAAAGGATTAAGTAGACAATGAATAAAAATCAAACAGCTCTCCTTTAAAATGCATGGATTTGAGCATATGGCTATCTGGCCTGTCCAGGGATCTTTAATGCTTGCTCCCTGGTTCTTATCTGGGTTCAGAACGGCTGAAGTGGATAATTACATGAACAATGGATAAGTCAAGTGTTACTACAGCATAATTTGAGAAGAAAGATGCTTAAAGAGGCAGTTGGCACAATAGGGGGTGACTAATAATCCTACATTGTTAGTCCCAACACATTCGGGGCATGAAAAGTGAGACCTTACTTACAAGCAGGTCTGTGGATTTGGGGCTTCCTTTATCCTTCCTATATGGACAGAGGAAAGCAGGGAAAGAAAAATACTAACGCAGAAAACTGTGAAGTTTTATGTCAGCCCTGAGAGTCACCACTTACAAACCTCTAACTACCCATTTCCATAGACCCTTCTGCATGAAGCTTATTGGGACGGGGCAGTCACAAGGCACACCCCCAGGACGGGACCAAGGGCTGACTCACCTGGATGATGTCCAAGGCCAGGTCAGACCAATACAGGCAATTGCGCTCATAGTCAAAGTCCAGGGACACTGCTGCCCGCAGCCCAGAAACAGGCAACTGCTCCGTGGCTCCTGAGGCCAGGTCATAGCGGTGGATAGACTTCCGCATGCTGTACAGGATGAACTCGTTCTCCTCTGCCAGACACACAAAACAACGGGAGGTCGGACCCAGGGGATGCTACAGAGGTCCTGGCATGTCTGACCTATTTTTCCCTGACACACAGACATCAAACCCACTGGCAAGTAGCGTGGATCAAGTGAAAGAATGTAGGAGTCAAGACTCAGAAGGCGTGTGATGGACTCACATTTCTGCCTTGGGCAAGTTACTGAAACGCCAGTGGATCTGTTTCTTTGTCTGCAAGTGTTTCACTTGTTACATTTATTTTTTAATCTAAATCTCCCAATATGCATGCTTCAACGCCCATACTTCAGAGCTCAGCTTAAAAGTCTTCAAAGTCACACCTGCCAACATGATTGGACCAATCACCATGTTCTCCCTTGTCATATGACTGTATCACGCAGCACCATAATCCTGTTGACTGGAGACCATTCATCACTGAGGCCTTGTAACTAAGCTTTCTAATCCACTTGCTCTCTCACTCATATTTTGTTCACAGTGCCATATGGCAATTATATCAACCTATTAGATTTTCAAAACAATAATAATACATTTGTTCTTGACTATCGACAAAATGTTTCACAATATAATCATCATAAAGACTGTTTCCACTTAACAAATACTTACACAATGTATTTACTATGTACCAGGCACCGATTAATCCTCATAACAACTGCATGATGGTAGGACTATTATTAACCCAATTTTATAAAGAGAAAACTGAGACCAGAGAGGTTAAGTAACTCACCCATGGTCACATAACCAGCAAGTGGCAGAGCCAAGCTGAAGCCAGGCACTCTACATCCAGAGTCTCTGCTTTAACCACTATACTGTGCTGCCTCTTAGGATATACATGGTAATGTTGCCATTTTTTAAGACTTAGAAATACAGGCCCAGAGTGCTTAAGAGACTTGCCTAATGTCAGACAACAAGTAACAAGAAGAGCCCGTGCTTTCTCTTTTCCACTTGGGGAAAACCCTGGAAAACACTCAGGCTTTTCCCCAGGAGTGGAGATGAGCAGTATATCAGCATCTGTGTCTAAAGCATCCATTTGGACGGCACGTTGCATATGGGAGCAAGATACAAATCTGAAAAGTACCCTTTGCTACTATATACCTGGATCACCCAGCACCCCCCCACCCCGTTCCATTCAGTCAGTTAACATGCACTAGCCACCTTCTTTATACAGCTTCACTACACATCAGCAGTCCCCAACCTTTTTGGCACCAGGGACCAGTTTCATGGAAGACAATTTTCCACAGATGGGGGAAGGGAGGGAGGGTTGCTGGGGGGCTGGGGGTAGGGGTGGTCAGCAGAGCTCTGCAGCCCGGTCCCTAACAGATCACAGCCCAGTACCAATCCACAGCCTGGGGGTTGGGGACCAGAGGTATAGATAATACATCAACAAATAAATCCACCTAGAATTTTTAATAAGGTAAGTTTGCCTTCTTTTCCTTTGGCTTCATCTCATTTCAAACCACATGATAACTAACCTCTGCTTTTGGTTGTCCAGAAAACCTTCCCACTGTAATTCCCAGGGAGGGGCAGTCGAGACGTGGGGCATGTGACAGCCGCAGTCACAGCGTGACCTTTGCCCCCATCTCTCTCCAGCATCTATCAACCTCACTCTGCTACTTTGGGTTTCTTCCTTCTCAGAAACCAATGCCCTTACAGTAGAACCCGGGGCCAGAAATACTTGCTTTGGGATTAGGCACAGAGCAGGAGGCAGTGTTTCAGTGTGCAACACTTAACCTAGAAAAGGAACAACTGTTGGCTGATCCCAGCTATACATGAGCACAGCCTAAAGATGTGTGTTGTTACAGTAATCATAAAGGAAGAAAAATTACTGCATTTTAAAAACTCTTCCAGATGCCCAGATTACCTCATCTTTGCAAAGATGTTACGGTTCCCATTAGTCCTACGAAACCATCTTTTTCTCTCCAGGTACACCCCCACCTCCTATTCCGTGAGTTTTTTTTTCTCTTTTACATTTAGGAGGTAGCCTACAATGAAATGAGATTTTTCCACTTCATTCCCTGTTCTGTCCTCTCCTATTAGAAGAGAAAATAGCTTTCCTGCCAGTTTAGATGGCTTTAAACAAACTGTTTTGTCCCTTGCTGAATTATCTTCAGAAATATTTATTACAAAAGTATGTACTCCAGCCCCTTAAGAGCAATCACTCAAACCCTACTAACTCAAGCCCCATCAATAACAGCTCTTGTGAGGGAAATATTTGAATATTATCTGCTCATTTGTAGGAATCTGCTGAAGTGGTGGTTCTTTTTAAGTCTCCACAGTGAGGTATGTTAATTACGCTGGTAATGATGGAAGATTAAATTAAGGGACTAATGAGCTTAGCATGAAAAACACCGGGCAAGCTGGCAGCAGTGAGCAAACGAGAGGGCCGCCCTGCCCTGCCTGCGGAGACGACGCTTCTTTCACGATTCATCTGGCGCTTACGGCCGCCCCATTAGACGACACCACCACGGCTGATGGAGTCAGCTCCGGTCTTTTGCCTCCACCAAGAGGGGTGAGCAGGAGGAGGGGCTCAGAGGCAATAAAGAAGCTCTAAATGAATAAGAACTGGAAACAGAGTGAAGAAAAAAAGAGGCCCAGAGATCGCCTACTTTTTAAAGTATCATAAGTTCATGTCTATATTACAAATACCCCAACACGTTACATCACCCCTAAATCAACTTAAAATGTGTTTTAGAACATGCTATACCTCTATAGCATGTATAATCACTCCAAAGACGTTTTTCTTAATTAGCATCCATAATGACCATCTAAAATAATGAGAATGACACTTATTATATTTACCATCTGGGCAATGTCCAATGAAGAGAATGGGGCTTAGAGTCTGAATTTTAACTTCGTTACTTACTAGATGTGTGACCTTAAGTTATTAAACCCTCTCCTCTGAACATGCTCCCTCATGTTAAAAATAAAAGTTGATAATATCTGTTTCACTGCGTTGTTGAAAGGATTAAATTGGCAACACACGGAAAAGTACATTGAAATCTATAAAATTCCATTAAAATATTAGTGATAATTACTATTACAATTACTATTATTATTATAGTATTAGTTATAATACTATAGCCCTCATCAATAACACAGTATAGTATGTTATTAGTTATAATTACTACTATTATTATAAAATTAAGATAGACCACTTAACTACTTCCTAGGGAGTCTCTTTATATTCAACTTTGACAAACAGATTAAGGAACACACAAAAGCTTATGGGCACCGCTCTGCCCCAACGAATGCTGGTATTTTTCAACGAACAAAGGGATTTCCCTCAAAAAATTGAGCTGACGCAAAATATTTTCCATTTCTATAAAGGGGTAAGGCTATATATAAATGCAGTTTGGATACCAAGCTTAGGGGGAAAAAAGAAACTCTGTGATGCCTGTAATTGCCATTATTTTTCTCCACTAAGAAGAGCCACAAGCCTGGCCACGGGTGGGATCATGACAATGCTTCAGTGGTACCTCAGGAGTCAAAGAGTAGAAACCACCTCTCTTACCTGCCAGGGGACAGGGCACCAGTTCTCCTTCCAGTCGTGCCTCAACATCTCCTCCGCTACAAGTGTCCCCAGAAATCTTCCGGTAGCTGTCACACCCACCCCAAGAGCAAGAGGTCAGAAACATCAAAGAACAGTCTTGAAGGCATCCCAGGTGGGGGCATGTTTCCTGCCCATGGACAACAGATTGCATCATCCACTTCCCTATAGAACTAAGAGGAGGACGTTTAGTCGTCCTGAGCCACTTCTGCTCATAATTAGACCAGGCAGGCCCAAACAATTTAGAGTACTGTCCTGGGCAAGATTTTTAAGTATCTCTTTAATAAACTCTGAAGATATTTCCCCACTGCAGTGGATGATTTAAGATACTCCCAGAGTTACAGAGACACAGGCTTGCAATTTTTTTCTCACTGGAGGTAAAACAGTTTGCAGACATCATACTTTTAAACGTTGCCCAAACTACTTGCAACCTGAAAACTTGGAATTCTAGAATTTATAGTATAAAAGAAAGCCAGGTGGTCCTCTATGTTCTCTTTCTCCATATGCCGATCCCCTGTGAACCTGACATGGCAACTTTCGTGATACCTACCCTCTGGTTCTCCTGTAAGTAGAACCCACAGGACAAGGCACGGGAGGGGAGTATGACTTCCCAGTAAATTCCGGATCTGGAACACAAACCTCTAATGACAAATCTTCACTCATCTTGAAACCGAAGTCACTAAAAAGGCAATTGGGGTTTGTCAAGGCCATTGTTTTACACATTTCAGATATTTCAGTACCAACCCTTCTGGCTTTTCCCATACTTACTATCTATCACTTTTATTATAAGTTATTTAACATGTCCTTTTAAAAAATACTCTTTTTTTTTTTTTACTATAAAGTATATCTTCAAAAGAAGCTTTATATCTGAACCACAATTGGAAAACCACTGTCGTATGTCATAAATAGACAAGAACAATACACATCATGCCAAATCAAAATAATATTAAATTTTAGCTAGGTCCAGTTCCTACTCAAAGACTCTGGGCCTGCCCTTTCTTTGTGAAAAGGAATTCACAAATGTTACAGAATTACTAGCACCCAGTGAGACTTTCTCCTTGACATAATCAGAATTATTAATAGAAGAGAAATTAAAAAACCTTTTTAAAAATTATTTTGACTAAGAGTTCAATGTTATTTAAGGCCATGTTCACAAGCTACCTAAATCATCTTGGGTGTCTCTTCCTGTACTTTGAGATACAGCAGTTTAGTTCACAAGACCTCCTATGGTCTGGAGGTCACACCTGCCACACCTCCCAGCTTGAGGGGCAGCACCCTGGAGTAGGAAGCAGGAGACCCTGGTGGACTCTTGGCTCTGCCTTCAACTGCACACCTTCTCTAGCCACACCTGACAACCCTGAGATGAGGCAGCTGTGTATGCACTTTCCAAGGCCCTGCCCAAGCTGTAAATTCCATAACTCAAAAGGATTTTCCATGTTCGTTTGCTCTACCAGAAAAGCTATGTTTACTCTATTCGGTTCAACCAAATACTTATTAAACATTTCCCATATGAAAAGTATTAACAGATATGGGGCAGCCATAATCCACGTTGAGCAATTTGTTGAGGATTATTCAAAAGGCAGCAGTCTGACAAACTGTTTATATCAAACAGGTCTCACTCATTACATCAGTTCATGTTTACTGAATGGCTACTTTAAATCTTTTTAGGGACTGGGTGAAGCTTTAGCCAATTACTTATTTGCCTCTAGCAGCAAAGCACCCTTCTTGGGCAGCTTTCTTCGACTGTAGGTCATGACCTAGTGGACGGTGAAAGCACTTGGGAAATCCAACACCAGCTTCCTTCCCTCCCAGAAAAGAACAGAAGATTGCAAACTGCATCACACATTTAAAAGTAAATGCTGTCCCATAAAACTTTTGTTTTAATTATGTGTGTGTAGGTATCCGCATATGCATATAGGTGTAGGTACAGGGTCATACTAGAAAATGTATTGCTTACTAGGGTTTGCAGTCAAGAATTTGAAAGCCACGCAATTTGGCAATGTGGTGAAATATAAAGATGTAAAAGAAACTACTCCTGAAATCAGGGGACATATGAGCCAACAACTGGGCTTCCCAGTGTGGTATGACATGACTATCAGAAATATCCTGATCTTCAAATACAGTTGTCACCAGCACCTGAACTAATGGACAGATACTACAAGCTCTCATCTCATTTCCTGTTGTCCCTCTTGGGACTGTTTCCCTTCTCAATGCCATGGTCCAATCCCATCGAATGCCTCCAAGCACCACACAGGCAAGCTGGCTCCTTTCTGGCAGTTATAGCAAGCACAGGAACCACCGGGGAGGGCCTGAAACCAATACACCCTCTACCATTCTCTCGGGGTCATCACCCTCACCATCTCATTTGGCCTGCAACCCAGCTCCGTGAGGGCAGAGCAGGTGGCTTTACTGGTCTGTAATAAAAAGACTCGGCACACAGCGGGGAAAAGCATCCAGCAGGTTCCAGTAAGCCAGACAGGGTAGGCATGGTAGACCAGTAGGAGCAAGGCCAGCTTACCCAGGAAGGCACACCAAGCTCCATCTGTTTTTTGTTTGCTGAGGAGGTTGGGAGAGGGGGAGAGGTACAAAGGAAAAAGGAAGATCTGGAAGATCTGAATGTTTGTTATTTTAAAAAAAAAAAAAAAAAAAAAAAAGTCTAAAAGTGGTCATGAAAGAAAAAACCCCAAAGATTCATTGGATTTTCTTATATATTTTCTAATTAGTCTGAGTTTTATTTTGAAGTGCCTATTGGAGATAGAAAAGGGGGCGAGAGAGGGCCCTGTAGTCTTTTCAGGGGTTAGGGCCTCTGCAGTCTCAATCCAGTCCAGGGAGAGTGGCCCCCAGCTAACAAAGCTCTCAGATTAGCTCACAAGGTGGGGTGCTAAGAAGAAAGAAGGGGCAAAGAGCACTGAGCTGACGTCACTGGGAACACCAAACGGCTCCGTGCTTTTGCCGTCAAAGTGTCTGTGTCGTTACCTTTCAAAGGGAAGGACTGCCCTGTACGGTCTCAGCCTTGCTGCTGGAAGGGCGAACTTGCAAATAAGCAGCACCAGTGTCACCAGGGAGCTTGACGGTGGAACTGCAGGCCCCAGAACTGCTGACTGAGGCAGAGACTGCCTTTTAACCAGACTCCTGGTGCTTCATATGCACATTAAAGTTTTAGAAGCACTGGTCTTAGAGCAGAAGTGGTCAAATCTGGTTCCTCTGGTTGTTTTGTAAATAGGTTTTTATTGGCTCACAGCCACGCCCATTCATCTATAGCTGCTTTCATTCACCTATGGGTGCTGCCATGGGCCCAGTTGAGTAGCTGCAACAGAGATCACAGAAACCATATGGTCTACAAAGCCTAAAACATTCACTGTAGGGCCCTGTTCTGACCTCTGGTCTAGAACACATCAGAGTTTTCTGGCTTTGGTCAAGACAAGTATGGCTGCTCAAAGCAAAATTTAGTTCCTTTGTGCCTTGGCAACCACTGAAATATAAGTTCTGTGTTTATCGTTTACGTGCAATACCCACGCTCTTTTGAAGCCCCTGCCTAACCTACAACTATTTCATGTTCATGTTCACTTATACACTCTAGGGACCGTCTAGGAGCTCTGAGTGCCTATGTGCGCTGCTGCCAGAATCATCTTCCCATAGCTAAGCTCTGTTCAGAGCATCACTTCTCCTCAAAAGCCTCCAAAGACCCCTGGCATATAGGGCAAGGTCCATTCCCTTCAGGGTCTCTACCTGTCCCGTATTCTGTCTTTTCAGCTTCATCTCCAATCACTGCCACTGCTTCATACACCAACAAGGCCTCCAAACTAAACCACCAACATCTGCTGCCCCCCACCTGCCCATTGCTGCCACATGGTCTAGAATGCTTCTGTCCACATCTCCAGACGCTCCCTTAGAGTCCATCTCAAATAGTGCTGCTCCCAAAAATGTCACAATTCCCCAGCAGCAAATCATAGCCCTCTCCTTCCTTGCAAGAATCACGATAAAAGCACCAGTTCCTCCTGTAAGGCACCTGCTGCCCTCCACCTCCCGTCCCAGTTATCTATACATAGGTCACTCCTCCTACTTTTAATATTCTCAGCAGTGCCTTGGATATTTTGCTCAAGGAATAGTAAATGAGGCAAAAATATATATATACTTCCAGCACTTGAAGTTTCCCCCCAAAACAAATATATATATACACACACACACACACACACACACATATACACACACACATACATATATGTAAATACACACACACACATACCCTTGTTTCAAATAAAGAAATAAATCCCCTCTCGAATGGGGGGCCTAAGGAAAAGGATTTGCCTATAATGGAATTTGTCACATCTTCCCTTTTTGGGTTACCCTCGTAGAAACAAATCCCAGAGCTATCTATTCCTGAATAAATAACTGTAGCTCCCCCAGTCATAACACGTCTACCATGTCACATGGCTGTAAAGCTAAAGAGGACAACTTACGTAAAAGGTGCCTCCCATAGTTTCTGGCACATAAAAGACACTTAATAAATATTTGTTTCCTTTCTCCCCTTCCCTTCCTCAGGGGAAGGGATCGTGGCCTGATCTGTTCCCCCATACTGCTGCACTGCTGAGTGAATAAAACACAACTAATTCCCTAGTCATTGAAAAACTCACCATTCATAGTCCTCCCGCGTGCAGGAGCAGTTGGACACAACAACTGGCCTGTCGAAGTCTTCTCCATTAAAGCACGTTGCATGGGGCGTCCTCCGTTTGAAAACCGTCTTGTGTCCTAGCAAACACTCATTCCCCCGCTCATCGGACGGGGACCACAGCTTGTAGTCATTCTCTGTGCAGGGAACCCCTGAGGAAAAGAAACAGAGCAGGAAGCATTAGAGGCAGGCCTGCGTGGGGCTTCCTGTCATACCTGCCCCTTGGCTGAGTCCTCCACTTCCTGTGCATCCTATTGCTGCCCCATGAGCACACAGACCTCAGGAGCCACCCCAAGCCTCTAATGGGCTGGCTTTGAAGCTGGGCAGCAGCGATGCAAGTGAAAATGGTACTACCTGAAATGCAGGCATCCATTTGAGAAAGCTGGGAAGAAGTAAGCCACCTTGGGGCACTACCCAAACTTCTGAAATAGTTCAGGACGGTCAGCAGTTCCCTTTAGAAACAGCTACTCAGAAGTGTTTCTCTCCTAGGGAATCAGGGAAAGGCTGAAGCCTTGATGGGCGGTGTCACTCAGGGGTATTGTTCCCTGCCTGCTCCCTCGGGCAGGGTGGACACATCCGGAAATGTGGCCAGAGAGCGAAAGAGAGTTCACTTGTCCTATTTGGAGGCACAGGGTCTTCATGCAAAGAGGCTGAGAAACAGCTGGACACTGACACTGTCACTCCAGCTGCCCACACTCACTCAAAATGTAAGTGGAGTGCTTTCTACAGGAATCCAAATATACCTATGTCTATATTGGTACTTTGTGTCTTCAGTCAGATTAAACATGACCCGAGGATGACACACAACTGTCAATTCAATACCAGGCATGTTGGCAAACTTATTAAACCCCGACTGACCATAAGGCTATCGGTCTGTCCAGCAGGTAGAGTCCTGCACGGGACAAGTTCCTGTTAGTAAGGACATTATAATCTAGTTGATGGAAGATGACACACACAGAGGAACAGACACAAATTTACAATTCAAGGCATGATGAGTATGCTTATGTGCTGGGCGGCATGGAGAAGAGGGGAGTTATCTTCTGGTTGGGGCATTAGCAGCAAGTGTGTTGGACCCTGAAATATGAAAAGGATTTCAAATAGTGAAGACTGAGTGGGTGGGGCTCAGAAGGAACCGGGTGCATTCTGGGTAGCTGGAATAATGTTAGTCAGGGATGAGGAGGAGGAAAGGGCAGGGTAACATGGGGAGGCAGGGAGAGGATGCTGAAGTTTCCCTTCTCCGTGCTTATTTACACATCTAATGTCTAGACCAGCAGATCACAACTAGATCCTAGATGGCTTTGAGAGGACCCTGCATCACTTGGTACACTGACATATAGACAGTAAGGCATCCTCCCTGATTATGTCCAACTGGACTAATGATTTGGAAAAATGTCTTTCATTCATTCATTCATCCATCCATCCGTATACTCAACAGACATATTATTAAACCTACTATGTGCCAGGAACTGCACAGGGAAACTAAGATACAAAGAATAACACACAGTCCTATTAAGAAGAACTGAGCAAATCCTCAATTACCTCCCTGTGATTTTTGCTAAGTTGTATGTGCCATTTCCCCCAGTGAATCACAAGCGCTTTTCTCATCTGGGGCTTTGCACACAACAGGTAGTCAATAAATATCTATGTGAAAAAGACCATGGAGGCAACAGCTTACCCAAGGCATCCGTGGCATTGACCTGGAGGATCAGCCAGCTATGGACATTCTCTTTGTTCGAGCCAAAGATGGTGAAGACAGTGCTCTTCTCCCCAGGTTCCGTGAGGAGGCCGTACACAAACAATGGCTTCTCAGAGAAGACGAACGTTTTCCATGTCTCCCCTTCATTGGTACTGTATCTGCCAAAATGCAAGTAAAACAATCCTTGCTGTTAGTATCTCTAAGGCAAGGGCTTGGTTTCCAGACAACATTCACCATTAACAGGAACCAGGGCTCCTTGGAGAAATGGCTAATCCTGGGCTAAAGCAGGCAAAGTTTAAGGCTGTGCCAGCAAGCAAGGAAGAGCTCAGAGACTAAGGCAGTCATCTCAAAGGACATAGGAGCCAGCTTTGTGGGGCTCCCACTGGCCAAATCTAGGAAAATTTAAACATAAAAAAGAAAAATGATGGTAACAGACTGTACATTGAATAAAAATAGGGCATGGGTCTCTAACGATACTAAGAGAGGAGCAAAGGAGGGAATTTTTTTCTCATATTAGAATACCACCTAACAAAGGCTGACGACAGTAACAGAATGAAAAAACTTACCATTCTGTAAAACCCACTGTAATAACCAAATCAGACAAGGGTCACCATGGCATGCTAAAACCACTGGGGGAAAGTAGGGGGAGCCAGGATGTTCATATGGTCTAAAGATATCAACCCATAGAAAAATCATTCACTACAAAGGGGGAAATGTACATTTACAGAGGACAATCTGGGTGTCACAACCTTAACCAAACTCAGCATCACCAACAGTGGGACAACTCGACATTATGTTTCCACTGAATAAAGCATTGAGACTAACACCTCATCTGTGTCCAACTATACATCATCTATACAACTGGATAAATCCAAAATGTGGGACATCCTACATGACAACTGCTCTGGATTCTTCAAAAATATTAAGGCCATGAAAACCAAATAAACAAAAAAGGCAGAGGGCTTGTTATAGATCAAAAGAGACTAAAGAGGTGTCACAACAAAATGCAAACATAAGCAAATTTGCAATGTGTAAATCCAATCCAGGATTCAGTTCAGGATGGACTAAATCCTGGATTGTGCAGGGGTGGGTAGGGAGGAACTGCCATAAATAATAATAGGATCCATAAAAAATATGGGACAATTGAGAAAATATAAATATAGTCTGTAAGTAATAGTGAGCTTATGTTAATTTTCTTAGGTGTGATAACGCCTTTGTGATTATGTGGGAAAATGCCGTTATTTACTGGAGATACATATTTAAGTAGTTAACCGTGAAGGAGCATGATGTCTGCAACTTTCTTTCAAACGATTCAGCTAAAAAAGAACAGATAGGATACCTAATAGAACAGATAAATAGATTGAAGTAGAAGTAAAGTAAGGTTGGGCGTGGTGGCTCACACCTGTAATCCCAGCACTCTGGGATGCCGAGGCAGGAGGATTGCTTAAGTTCAGGAGTTTGAGACCAGCCTGAGCAAGAGCAAGAGCAAGAGCTCATCTCTACTACTAAAATAAAAGAAAGAAAGAAAAATTAGCTGGGCACAGTGGCACAGGCCTGTAGTCCCAGCTACTTGGGAGGCGCAGGCAGGAGGATCGCTTGAGCCCAGGAGTTTGAAGTTGCTGTGAGCATGATGATGCCACTGCAATCTGGCCTAGGCAATTAGAGTGAAACTCTGTCTCAAAAAAAAAAAAAAAACAAACATTAAAGTAAATTAGGATAAACAGGATATATAGATAGATTATAGAAGTAAATTGGCAGATTTAACAATTAGTGACCCAGGTAAAGGTTACATGGTGTTTATATAGCTCTTCCAACTTTTGCGTAGTCTTAAAAATTAAAAGTAAAAAGTTGGAGAAACAGTATATCCCAGGAAAAGTCTCTAAGACAGACTATATCAGAACAGGGAAGCAAGCACTTGAAAAAATAATCAGCACTTAAGTAATTGTACTAATTTTAAATTATCTTTTGGACTGAACAAGGGGGTGAGGGGGGAGGAAAAATACCTGCCTGATACTTGCTTCATCATCCAGGGAGCAGCTGAGGTGCTCAACATGAGAAACACTCAATTAGAGCTTTCTTTAGAATCACGGAGCTACTGGGTCTCTTGTAAATCCTAATTATATACATAACATTTTCTTTCACCCTTCCTGTGTTTTGAGATTTTAGTTTTACTCCCTCAGGATGCTAACACTTGACATAAATCCTTTTTCATGACAGCACTCCATTCAAACACTTCTTCTCAAATTGAGATTACTAAATTGACACTTCTACAAGAAGGCGAGGGGTTAAACCAAGTGGTAAGGTTACAAGGCAACACAACGAATGTCAATGGGAGACTAAGAGATCTCTTCTACAGATATTTAAAAGAGTAGAAATTCTCATCTCGCCTGCTTTTGGTTTAAACGAATTTCAAAGCAGATTTTTGGAGATGTTAACTCATTCAAATTCCCTCCTTGTACCAGCGTAAAGACTTAGTACCACCTTTTAACAGAGTTGGCCCATTATCCAGACCCAATGGTAGCTATCCACCCGCCCTGTGATAATGCTGGAGTCCATCTACTTGTACCTTGCCAACTTAACTCTATTCAAGAGCTTCTCAAACTCAAGATCACCTAAAGAAATAAACCATCCCATTTCTTGAGAGGTGCCCAGAGGATTCTAACAATCACTCATTAATGAAACCAACAAGCAGGTGCGTGACCAAGCACAGCCTTGTATTTGAGAATAAACCACACATTTAGAACGTGGTGCTTTTTCAGAATTTTAGGGAAAGGGCAGTCCTATTATCAACTGCAACAGTTAAGGGAACATCTGTTTTGGACCGAATGCTGACCCCTAAAGGAGAATCTGTGTTGGTGAAGAGAAAGTGACAAGAACCTTGTAAGAAAACAAACCATCAGCCTGACCAACATAGTGAGACCCCGTCTCCACAAGAAAAAAATTATTTTAAATTAGCCAGGCATGGTGGCATGCACTTGTAGTCCAAGCTACTACTCAGGAGGCTGAGGCAGGAGGATCGCCTGAGCCCAGAAGTCTGAGGTTGCGGTGAGCTATGATCACATCACTGCACTCCAGCCTGGGTGACAGAGTGAGATCCTGTCTCAAAAAAAGAAAAAGAAAACAAACCCAGTCATCTTTGTATTCTTAAGTTGTGAAAGAGGCACAGGGCCCTAGCCTTTAGGAATGGAGAATTCAAACTGTTCAGATAAAAATATAGATATAATCCCATGGCCAAAAACTATCAAGAGGATAGGAAGGTCAGAAAATGTAATAATATAATAAATCACAGATACTTTAAAAGAAGGAAGCAGTGGTAGATGCCCCACTTATGACTCTAATGTGTAGCTACACAGAAAGGTTCTTGACAAGCTCAGGTTTTTAAAGAATATGTTCAAGATGGGGAAAAAGTCACATAACCAAGGGTAAAAAATTAAAGAGCAGTAGTAACTGCTAGTTAATTCTAAATGTAATTTTTATAGCTAATAGTCTATTGGAATAGTAGCCAGATACCTCACGTTCAAAATGAATCAAGGACTATGTTTCAAATTACCAAAATAATTGGTAGATTGGTGGCTTGGTTACTTATTAAGTTCTATAAAGAATTAGAGAGAAACAGGATCATTGTTCTGATAACCAATAGTATAAATAATAACAGATACAATTATCAATAAAAAAGATATATATATTCATTCATTTATGAAAACCATCACCCAGTTCTGCTTATCTTTATTAGACCTTTGAACTGCAGAATATCATGCTTCTTGGCTAAATGGAAAAATGTGAACAAATATAGACTTCATTAGTAGAAATTTTTAAAAAATAACCTAGCAGTAAAGCTGGGTCTCCAAAAAAAAAAAAAAAAAAACCCCAAAAAAACCACACAAAAGAATCTTTATTTTGCTTTTATCATTATCAAAAAGAATGATCTTCAAACGGAACAAGGTTAAAAAAAAAAAAAAAAAACAGAAGTTAAAGGAAAATGAGTACAAAATAAATTCTAGGGAACTGAGAGCTTTAAAGATAGGATGATTACAGAGTGCCTTTTAATAATCTCTAGAAGAATCGTGGAGAACAAAGATCTCAAAGACTAGACTAGGAAGAATGGTTTTACTTCCCTGAAGAAGAAAAGGTGGTTTCAAGAATGGATTATGAAACAGGTGATTTGAGAGCACTTAGAAGAAAAGGAAGTCAGGCTGGGACTGTTATAGAAATGGTTTTACACACAAGTCATAACAAACTAATCCCATTTCTTTTTCTCATGATAATTCCTGATTTGAAGAACAGGATAATGATACAGAACATTCTTTTTTTCAGGAAGATCTCTGTGGACCACACAGTTAGATAAAATTCACTGCTGGTGCAACAAACAAATCCCAAGTGTGCTGACGTATGTTTTGATCTCAACCCAGAATGGGTCCTCTAGTTCTCACAGAGCGTAACACACGTGTCAATGATCTGGATGGGGATCTGGAAGGTGAATCTACCAAATTTGCAAAGGGCACAAGGCTAATTGTCCACATTATACACTAAATGCTAAAAACAGGATTCAAATCAAAAGAATAAGCAAAAACGAGAGTAAAAACAAAGCTCTACATGTAGTTTCGAAAACCTGTCTGCTCAAATACAGGATGGGGAACATCTGGTCTTTAATGAGATCCATAAGAAAAAAGGATCTCTCAGTTTTTTAGTTAAATTGAACTCAGCCCACTGATACAGGTTACAAGATGAATAAATCTCAAAATTATTATGCTGAGTAAAAGCAGCCAAATACAAAAAATACAAACATATGAAATTCTGGAATAGGCAGGACTAACCTACAGTAAAAAAGACCAGCCATTGCCTGTAATTGGGGTGGGAGGGTGGGGGTGGGGAGCATGACTAGGAAGGGGCACAGGGTATTTTCTGGGGTGATGGAAATGCTCTACATCTTCTCATGCATCCTTCAGAAGTAATTAAATGGTATATTTAAGATCTGAGCATCTCGTGGTATATAAATGACACCTTAATTTTTTAAAAAAGTAGGAGCCACTAGTTTGAAATGGCTGTCAAAAATATGAACACAGTCTGAGGCTTTTATTAACAGAAATAGAGTATCCAGAATCATGTAGCTATTAATCCCAATGTCTTCTGCATGTCAGCCTACCGGGGTCAGATGCAAGCCCCACATTTTAAGGCACCAACATCATGAGACAGACCTAAAGGAGAACCCAGAAGGTGGAGATTCAGGAGTCTACAGCATATGAGGAAAGGAGCGGGGATGTTCGCCATGGAATGGCAGATGCTAGAAGGACATGGACGGGGTCCTTAAATATCTGAAAGGCTTTCTGGTAAAAGGAAATGCCTGTTGTGTATCTCCACGAAGCAGAACTAAGCCCACTGCATAAAAGCTAGAGGGAGGAGAATTTGGGCTCTCTTACTAGGAAACTTTCATTCATAAATGAACAATTGAAGAAATGAACAACAAACTGTCCCAAAGAGAAACAGAAGCACCTTTTGATGTATACGGCAAATTCCTCACTACTTGAATTGTTCAAGCAAAGACTGGATGACCATCTATCAAAGACGGCGTAGAGAAAATTCTTGCAAAGGGTGGCAAAAGGCTGAACCAGATGATATCACGTGCCCAGACTCCTGCTGGACACTTCTCCTTGGACATGCCGCAGCCTCTTCAATCCCACTAGTCCACGCCTGCACTCAGGATATTGCCCTGCAAGCCAGCTCCTTTACCTCCGCTTTCCTGTGAGTGGTACAGTCAGTTCCCCTGTCACTCCGGGATAGTCAGAAATCTTGTCCCGCAGACCTAGCCCTCGAACCCACCCCCACGCCATCTCTCACTCCAGTCGGGCTCCACTCAAATTCCCCCTCCTCGTTCTGCCAGAGCCATCTTTCCATAATGCAAATCTAACCATGCCACCCCCTATTGAAAACCCTCAAAGACACTCTACCACCTCAAAAGCAAAGTTTAATCTCTTTAGTAAGGCACAGGTAAGGTCCCCTAGGACCAGCATCTACATCCATACACCTTACCTCAAGCCTCCTTTCTCACCGCTCCCCCCGGGAATTTGCATTCTATTAACACTAAAGAGCCTGCATTCTACACTGACTCCTGCTGCCCCCACTTTGCTCCAGGTGTCTCTAACCCTGGAAAGGCATTCCGGTCTTGTTTTCACACTTTCAGTCTCATCCTGGTCTCCCAGACAGCACTGGCTGGACCTCACTCTGCCTCCCACTGAGCCCTGTGATCACCTCGATCTCACACCCTTCTCTCTGAGTGACCTGATCCTGGGAGCGTTTTCCACCAGACTGCCATTCACCAGGAAAAGATCTCTTACTCGCTTTTCTGTCTCTGGTACCTGGCACCTTTCCTAGCACACAGAGGGGCACTAATTAATTTTTTAACCCTGTCTCTCCATTTCTTGACAGTTAAGAGATGGTAAGAAGAACACCTGCTCCTCTATACCTCAAGAGGCGGAAGGAGGGGTTAGAATGAAGTAGGGGCCACTCTGTTTGCGCGCACTGGTGGGTGTTACTACTGGTGGCAGGCGCTGCAATCGAGTGAAGAGGTGAACTGCCACCTCCCACATTCTGGGACGTCCAGGAAAGACAGCTGCTCTGCTTTGTGGACTCTTTGCAGGGGCTCTTCAGGATTCCCAGAGTGCATCCCTATGAAATCGGAAACCTCCTTACAGAAAAGATCCTTGGCAAGTCCAAAATATCACTAGTAACTACCAATACTATCATCATGCTGACCCGCAAACTGCCAAGAAGAAACAGAAATTGATCTCGTCTTTCAGGACTGAGCCAACAAATTTGTGTTTGGATCTTTCTTGGTCAGGGTGCAAAAACACAACCCCTTCTCTGAAGCACGCTGATTATACACAAGAAAAAGATACTGCTCCTATGCATCCTGGGCAGGTTCGCAGCACCAGTGTGCTAAATGAACGAGTAAGTGAATCCCTAGCGCAGGCTCACGTTTACTCATTTCAGACATGTAGACACAACAGCAAAACAAAGCGTTCCACTTCTCGCTCTCAGTTTCAATTAACAATAACAAAGGTAACAGTCTCAGTGGAGAATCACTGCAGAAGCCGAAACAAGTAACAATCAACTCTTAGTTATCTGTGCTAATCAGGGAGAGAAAGACATGAATAATTTAAAAGAACAACCAAAACACACACACACACACACACACACACACACACACACATACAAACCCCTCTTATTTTAAGCAATGTTTCAACTTCTGTCCCCACTACCTCTTATTTGAGTTACTGACGTTATTTTACTTGGCTTTCCTCCAGAAAGATGGGTATCAGGTCAGCAAGCCCCCTTTCAAAACAAGACCCGCTCCCAGCCTGTCTTTCCAATTAGCTCAGAAACATCACAGAGCCCCAGGAGGCCCGAGCAGCTCCCGCACAGTGCCCCACTCAAATAGTGCCCCACTCGCCTTTGCGTCCTTGGTATCTAGTACGACATCTGGTTCATTGCGGATATTCAACAAATGTTTGTGTAATTGACCTGAAATGATTCCTAACAGAAATGTGCTCAAGTTCCAGCCAGGGCACTAACTCCTGACTAATCACTTATTCCCTTGTGTGAAAACTGAGCAAGATGGGCTGGGTCATTTCCGGTGCCTCCTGGGCACCACCAGGTTGCACACATCCAGGGAGCCCCTACTCACATTTCTGCTCCAGGGATTGTCATTTACACAGAGCACAACAGCAGTGGTCTCCCGTGGAGTTGTGCAACTGGCACACTACCCAGGTTCCTTTCAGTTTTATAAATAAGTAAAAAAAAAAAAAAAAAATAAGCAATCTCAGAAGACTAAGTATGCATGATCTATTTCAATTCAATATTTGCTAAGTGCCTACTAATAGGTATAGAGCAGAAATACTTATCTACAAAGGCCTTACTAACAAATTGAAGAATTCAGGCAAATGATGAAAACGTAACTAACAAAAGGAACCAGGGTATGATCAATGCCGAATTAACCGGACAGCCCATAAATGCTACGAGACACAAAGGAGAGATCACTGTGGTTGGAGCAGCCAGATTCAGAAGGGGCCTGAAGCTCTACCAACAACAGAAATCCAGTTTTGTCAGAAGCAGCCTCCATTCATGCATGGGCACCACAGTAAATCACCACTGTGGTTTAAGGATATCAACTCACTTCAATATTATTTCCTGCTTTTCAGAGCAGCAGGAGGAGAAGCAAAACACCTCTGTGAACAACACACTGAGTAAATGCCAGGTGGCTACCCAGATTCAGGCCAAGCTCAGGCTGGTATCTGGGACACATGCACCTGTCAGTACGAGGCCTGTATGTATTTTCACGTTTGCAAGTGATTTATTTGAACCGTGTGTACAGACACCTCGAAATGATCTGTACAAATAGAGGAACGCTACAGTGTCCACGATCCCCCAAAGTCTACAACCCCGAAGTCATTTTTAAATGTCTGGGGAGGGCACTATGATTTGTTGGCAGCAGGTTTATTTTCCTGATCGTGTTTTGCTGCAGCTAGTGCAGAATGACGCTGCGTTCCCTGAGCACATATGCACCGACAGATGGTGTAAGAGGACTAAAATCACGCTCGGGCCTTCAGAGGAGCCAGCTTGGAATGCAAATGTGATCTGTAGAGAAGTTAAACAAGGAAAATCGAGAACGGACTCTAAAATCCGAGAGCCATGCAAAGAATGAAATGCAGTCCTAGGAAGCCAAACTATGTCCCCTACGTGTCTTTCACACATAGCAGGGTACCAACTACTATTGTTTGCTCACTTATCTTACAGTAAGAGGGTGGGGTGCTTGAGGGTGGGGGACAGCACCCTATTTATCTTTAGATACACAGTACCTGGCATGATTAGTGCTTGCTAAATGCATGAGATGAGAATTAAATTAGTGGATATATAAATGACAGCATAACTGTGAGAAGCGCTGTGCTTTGTGACAGTCATCCTCTGAGCAAACACCAATCTGAATATGGATACAGAATGTGGCATACAAACAGGGCGTCTTCTGACTCCTGCCTCTAAAGAAACAGCTGACCAGCGCTACGCTGAACAGAGAACAGCCAGGTGGAAAGCTAAATGCCAGTGCTCTGCCTCTTCCTCCCTCAGCACATGTCAAATTAACTACAGGGGAAAACTCAGCTGCTATGATCTCTTTTCCCCAACCACCCACCTCTCTGTTTCTAAAAGGAGCAAAGGAAAAGAAAGCTTTTCCTTGCATTAAACAAGATGATTACAGAGGCCCTCTCAGCCTCCTTCGGTAATCTATCTAATGGGTTCAGCTCAAAAACAGGGACAAGTTAGGGCCAGTCTGCCCTGACCTAACGTTAACTGTTTGAGAACTCAGACAAAAGTCATCAAAGGACTGATTCTGATAAAATCAAAACTTAAAAGAGTAGAAGTTACAAACTCCTGATATTTTTGCTTTTCAAAACAATATATGGCAAAGAATATGTGACATAATCTAAAGACCCAAGCTTTAACCCTGCCTCTGTCACTAACAAATGGGAAGACCCTGGGAAAGTTACTTCACCTTGCTCAGCCTCAGTTTTCTCATCTGTAAAATGAAGCCGTTAACTCCAAGTAGCCCTTCCAGCTCATCTATGAGAACCTTCCAAAACCTCACATAGCACAGCAAAAGTCAATCGGCTAGCAAGTCACACGCATTCTGTAAATTATTGCTCCTGTATTACTTATTCATTAGTCATTCTATGAGTAAAGCTGTGTGTCACTCACAAAGCAAAGAAAGAGAAATTAAAGAGTCTCTAGTTTTTTTTTAGTCATTATTAATTATTTATATAGAGTTGTACTTTTCCAAATCAATAAAATGATTTTGCTTGTTCCCCACAATACCCCTAGAAAGGGGGTATTGAAAGGACAGGGATACAAAGGACGGTTTGTTATTCCCATTTTACAGATAAGGAAAGTTTAAGTAATTTCCAGAGGTCACAAATTGTGCTACCAACATGCTAATGCTGTAGAAAGATAATTTATTTATAATCACAGACATAAATTTCTGGGAGAACAGTCAGATGTTAGAAGACTTAACCAGAGGCACTTACTTCAGCTCGTTGGTCTCCGTGCCCTGGGCAATGGCCATGATGATTCCTCCGTGGTCCCCCCATGTGTAGTAGTGAGGTCCCGGAAGTGCCTGAAGAGGAAAAGCCAGTGCTCATGTCACTGCTGTGAAGGTAGCTGTGCAGAAGCCATGTAAATGCACGTGCGCGCACACACACATTAGCAATCAAGCATTTGAATACGATTGTTCAGTTTATAATACACACTCACATACATTATCTCATCTGCTCCACACGATCCTAGGGATAGGCAGAGCAAGGTCTGGTATCCCAATTTTTTTCCCAAATGAAGAAACAAGGGGTTAATACTAACATGGCAAAGTGTGAACAGCAGAGGTAAGACTCAAGCCCAAATCTTTGACTCTCCCCAACACATGATTAAAAATTAACCAACTAGGGTTGCAGTTCTACTATGACAGGATAAGCCCCCTACAGCCCATCCTTCCTGCTAATTACAACTAAAAATTCTGGGCAAAATACAAAAAGCAACTTCCAGAGGATGCTGAAAAGTAAACAAAAGCAGGAGCTTATGGAAGGGATTTAAAACCAGGAGAAGCTACGCACACAGTTGTGGGTTTCCTGGCATGGCTTTGCCCTGAGGGAAAGCCCCAGTCATGGAATACACCTCAGTCCTAGTCAGAGAACTGAACTTTCTGCCAAAAGAACCAGGAAAAGGAGCCCCTGCAGGCTGGGGAAAATGCAGATGGACTCCCAGAGGGGTAGTGTCAAAAAAGTAAATCAAATTCTGTGTATGAACTTACGTAAGCCTCAGCCTAACCCCTGATCTATACATGTTTATGCCCAAACCAGCAGAACAAAGGTTTAGCACACTAATCTGAGATTTGAACTATCACCCACAGAAAGCAAGACAGAACAGTCAGAACCTAACAGGCCAATTACATACTTTAAAAAAAAAAAATTCCTCCAGAAGATGATTTAATTTCATGTATTTCATTCACATGTCCAGAATACAAACCAAAACTATTCAACATATAGCCTACAAACATATCTATAAGATGTGTCCAATTCTCAAGGAAAAAGAAAGTCAATAGGCACCAATCCTAAGATAATTCATATATGGGACTTTTAAAACAGCTATTATAACCATGTTCCATGAAGAAAAGAAAAACACATGTGAAATGAGCAAAAGATAAGAATTCTCCCCAAAGGAGTGAAAACAGCTTTTCAAAAATGAACCAAATAGAAGTTTTATTAACAGAAAAATACAGTATCTGAAATAAATTCACTGATGGGCTCGATATCAGAGCAGAAATGACAGAGGAATTAGTGAACTTGAAGGTAAATACAGACCAACAGCAACTATCCATTCTGAAGAACATACAGGATTATTGAACTTCCTATTACAAAACGGTGGCATAGAGGCGAGCTGGCTTCTCTTCCTCACACCAAAAAAACCAAAGCAAATATACAGCCCCAAGATCTTCATCAGCAACAACCCAGAACTCAAGTATAAGAAAGAGACAGTTCCCGGGGCACAGAGAAGTGGAAAAACTGAGCGGAGAGTCGGAGAACCGGACTTCCATATCCACGACACTCTTCCCCCTCATTTGGCCAGGCACCAACTGCACGGAAAATCTCCCCTCAACTCAAAGTTCCTACACTGAAAAAAGTGAAATTGAGGCGCTGAACCAGCTTCCCCACGTTCTTGGGCTCTCTGGCAGGAGATCTGTCCTTTCCTTAACCTACGGGTAGCATCGTAACTGCCTGAAGGAAGAAACATCCCGGAGGAGGTGGGATTACCATCTCCAGCCCTGAAATTCTGCTCTGTGCCTTGGACAAAGGAGATGCCAAATCAGAGCGGCTGTAGGAGGATCGTTACCCAGGACACAAACCCCTAGCCATTATCTGGTTATCCCACACTGCTGGGATAATCCCTTTGGGACCTCCTCCATCTGGGACAGGCAGTGCTCTAATCATTTACCAGAGCAGAGGTGAACCTGCGCTTAAGGCGCCACCTAGAGCTGAAAAGTAGGCAGCCACCTAGCAGGGAGGATTCACTAAGCAAACACGTTCAGTAAAAACCAAAACGTTTTCCAGAATAGACCATATCTTAGACCACAGTCAGAGTCTAGTATAAATAACTAATCCTTCAGTGCAAAGACACAGATGTGTGCCCACAAGAAACAACGGCAAACAAGGAACCGTGACCTCCCCCAAAGGACAAAGCAAAAATCCACTGACTGACCCTAATGAGATGGCAATTTGTGAGCTGTCTAACCAAAAATTCAAAATTGTATTTTTAAGAAAACTCAGTGATCTCCGAGAATAACACAGAAAAGCAATTCACAAATTCATCAGAAAAATCTGATAAAGAGATTGAAATAATAAAAAAGTCAAACAAAACGTGGAACTGAGAAGTATATTTGCTAAACTGAGAAATTCTTTAGAGGCTCTCAACAACAGAATGAACCAAGTAGAGGAAAGAATCAGTGAGCCTGAAGATACACAGAGGAGAAAAAAGAAAAAATAATGAAAAAGAATAAATACCATTACAAGATACAGAAAATTATCTCAGAAGACCAAATCTAAGAATTGTTGGTGTTCAGAGAGAGCTGAGCAAGAGCAATGGGGAGATATAATAGCTTATTCAAAGAAACAATAACAGAAAACTTTTCAAAACTTGAGAAATATATAAATATCCACGTACAGGAAGATCTTAGAATACCAGGCAGATTCAACCCAAATAAGACTATCCCAAGGTATTTAATAATCAAACTCTCAAAGGTCAAGGACCAAGAGAAGATCTAAAAGTAATGAGAGATAAGAAGCAAATAACAAGTAAAGGGGCTCCAATTCATCTGACAACAGACTTCCCTACATGCCAGAAGGCAGAGAAAGACATTCTCAAAATATTCAAAGAAAAAACAAACCACAACCCAAGAATATTGTAGCAGCAAAACTGTCATTCAAATTTGAAGGAGAGATAAAGTCTTTCACAGACAAATAAGGCTGAGAGAATTCATCACCAGACCCATCTTGCAAGAAATGCTAGAGGGAGTTCTTCAAACTGAAAGAAAAAAATACTAACATGCAAAAAAAAAACAAGTCTCAAGGTATAAAATCCACTGGTGGATTGAGTACGTGGACAAACCCAGAATACTCTATTATTATATTTGTGGTTTCAATCCCCCCATAACTCTAGTACAAAGCCCAAAAGACAAATCTATCAAAAACAATAATAGCTACTACAACCTGTTAAGAGATAGATCATTTAAAAATATGTAAATTGAGACAACTAAGAGTTAGTATGTTGGGGGCATAAAGTTTAACTATAGAATTTTTTTGTAAGTTTTTCTTTTTGCTTTTTTTAATATTCTTTTATTTGTGTCCTAAGATAAGTCATCTTATTCTTTTATTTGTGTCCTAAGAGTTGTCATCTCTTTAAAATAACTTGTTATGGGCTGGGCGCAGTGGCTCACGCCTGTAATCCTAGCACTCTGGGAGGCCGAGGCAGGCAGATTGTTTGAGCTCAGGAGTTCGAGACCAGCCTGAGCAAGAGCGAGACCCCGTCTCTACTAAAAAAAATAGAAAGAAATTGGCCAAACAACTAAAAATAGAAAAAATTAGCCAGGCATGGTGGTGCGTGCCTGTAGTCCCAGCTAGCTGGGAGGCTGAGGCAGGAGGATCGCTTGAGCCCAGGAGTTTGAGGTTGCTGTGAGCTAGGCTGACGCCACGGCTCTCTAGCTCAGTCAAGAGAGTGAGACTCTGTCTCAAAAAAAATAAATAAATAAAAAATAACTTGTTATGTCTATAAAATGTTTATGTAAGCCTTGTGGTAATCACAGCACAAAAATCTATAATAGATTCTATAGAAATAAAAAGCAACAGATTTAAACATACTACCAGAGAATATCAGTTAACTACAAATGAAGACAGCAAGAAAGGAAGAAAGAGGAATCTCAAAACAACCAGAGAACAAGCAACAAAATGGTATTAGTAAGTCCTTATTTATCAATAATAACACTGAATGTAAATGGTCTCAACTCTCCAATTAAAAGGCATAGAGGGGCTGAATGGATAAAGAAACAAGACCCAATTATAAGCTGCCTTCAATAAACCCACTTCACCTACAAAGACATATACAGACTGAAAGTGAAGGGGTGGAAAAAGATACTCCATGCAATTGGAAACCAAAAAAGAACAGAAGTAGCTATACTTGTATCAGAGAAAAGAGACTACAAAGACTATTAAAAAAAGACAAGAAGGGTTCTTATATAATGATAAAGGAGTCAATTCAGCAAGAGGATATAACAACTACAAATATGTATGTACCTAACACCAGAGCTCCCAGATATATAAAGCAAACTTTAATAGACCAAAAGGGAGAGATAGACTGCAATACAATAATAGTAGGGGACTTTAACACCCCACTCTAATGATGGACAGACAATCCAGGCAGAAAATAGTGGCGCTAGGCAAGGTAAACTCATGCCTATGATCCCAGCACTTTGGGAGAGCCAGGCGGGAGGATCACTTGAGGCCAAGAGCTCAAGACCAGTCTGGGCAACATAGCAAGAACCTGCGTCTACAAAAAATAATTTTAAAAAGCCAGGCATGGTTGTGCAAGCCTGTAGTCCCAGCTATTTGGTAGGCTGAGGCAGGAGGATTGCTTAAGCCCATGACTTCAAGGTTACAGGGAGCTATGATCACAGCACTGCACTCCAGCCTAGGCAATACGACAAGACCTTGTCTCCAAAAAAAAAAAAAAAAAAAAAAAAAAACAGAAACCGCAGACTTAAACCACACACTAGATCTAACCAAGCCTAACTGACATTTACAGAACACTTCACCCAACTGCTACAGAAAACACATTCTTTTTCTCAATACATGGAACATTTTCCAGAATAGACCATATCTTAGACCACAAAACAAATCTGTACAAATTTTGAAAAACAGAAATCCTATCAAGTGTCTTCTCTGACCACAATGGAATAAAACTAGAAATCAATAATAAGAAGAATCTTGAAAAATACACAAACACATGGAAATTAAACAATATGTTCCTGAATGACCAATGGGTCAATAAAGACATTAAAAAAGAAATGTAAAAATT